GAGGGGGAGTGTTGGAAATATGACTATATGTTCCGACGTCTAGATTGATCCAGACTAACACGTGTATCAACACGTTGTATGTCACATGACATTCCTTAGCAATCAGCTCCACAATGATGTCATACTGACATCATATTATACGTCATGTTCCATGACCTTCTGCACTATTCTTTACTATACTGAGTAGTAGTTTCCTTTTACGCTCTTGGTCCGTGCGTATCTACTCATGTATATAAACCCGGGGATTTCTTCCTCAATCCCCAGTTCGAATCTCATATTTGTTCTTCTGTCTACTCGACAACTGAGCCCTCAAAGCTTACCTCAACTTATTCAAAAGCTACTACCTTTCTGAATAAAGGCAAGTGTTCGTGCCTCGCTCTTTTATTGCTTCCCGTTCCTCTGCGCAATACCTCAGGCCTCAGGGACCAGCGGTGAATGGGAATCATTCAGTGCAGCTCTCAGTCGGGACATGAATTTCTGAAGCAACATGCCATTTCAGGTTGCAGTTTATGTCTGCAAGATCGCAACGTGTAGAAGGTTACCAACTGCTTGGATCACTACAGCCGTCAGATGTCATAGTGGATCTGCACTTCGAGTCATCGCACCGATCCACTTGGGGATGCCGCAAGCCAGGTTCGCGTGTTTGCTAGTCACGGCCTGAAGACCTGATTACTGGATCCCGTCACTCTGATGTAGCTACTTCACAATATCTAGTCGATGTGTCCAGTCGTAAGTCACCACTTTTATATGTCAGATGTCCGGAAGCGCTACAAGTATAAGAGTTGTTATTAGGTGCTACCGACTTTCCAAGTCTGTTTTTCTTCGGTGCATCAGGCCGGGCGTAATATGCATAATATGGAGGTCCGGGACTGTGCCATCCTGCTTGCTGCAGCGAGGCATGTCTAATGGACGTCATCTCATGTACGTGGTGCTCTAAAAACATGCTGTGGCATTTTATGTCCCCTGCTTATATTTACCGTTTCCTACCTCCGCGATGAATGGGAGGGCGCTGCCAATAATAGTCGTTCATTCTACTCATCCACCCCTGGCCAGTGGTAATAATGGTATCAGTCATTGATCGCAAGGGAAACTCCCTTATCTGGGACGAGGGGAAAATAAGTGCCGGGTTACCTTCTCCGCGGCTAACTTTTGATGTGTATCCTGGCACATTCCCAATAAGTGTGGACCCTAGCACATTCCGACTCCGGGCTTCACCCACGGTGCCCTCCAGTGGCCCCTGTCGAAAGTTGGGTTGGCATGGTCTAGACCATATAAGAGGCATGTAAACGGTGAGGATTTCTTTCACGAAGTAAAAATGCCTCCCAACCCGCCTAAACTGACCTTCTCCTGCTCGACCCTTCCGACCTGTTCACTCGATGAATTCGACATGGTTGAGGACACTTACTTGACGCCGACTCAACTCGTGCGTTACCTTGACCAAGACATCTTGTATGTGCTCAAATTCAGCATAGCAACCTGCCTGGCCCAACGTAGAGCATCCTGCTTATCCAAGGTACGGCGAAGGAGGGGGTGAACCATCGTCGCAGCTGAGTTACCAAGGTCAGCTTTCTTTTCTTTTCTCATGGTCGCAGCCTGACAAGATAGAAGGACTCGTTGGCAACGAGTCGTATTCGTTCAGTGACTTTGTCAGATATACCTCGGGGCAGAGTCAAAAAGAACGTCCATGCACAACATTTGCACCTGATACTACCACTTTGGATACAGAGTTGGGTCTAGCCCGAGGGGGTGATGCTGATACAATGCTTCCTCAAAACGCAGTACAGGAAGTGACCCACAAATATCGAGCGAACTACCCTGCAAGAGCCCCAACCGATGTAAGCAATGTTTATTTAATTCGTTACCACGACCAGTTCCTCACGTCATGCATCCTTCCAACATCGTATATCTAGAAAAGCCAGTATTCCAACTGCCCTTCAACAAGTTGCCTCTGTTTATGTGTAGATGGGACTTTGTGTCTGCAAGAGATCAGCTGTGCTACAGTTCCGAGCCACTTTGTTTCCCATGGCGTAAAGAAGAAGTCTCGCAAGGAGGCGATCCGTTGTATGTGGAAAGGGTGTGTCAAAACAGTTGCTCGACACACATTTGCCCGCCACATTCGTGAAGTACACCTTGGACACGCCAGGGCAACGGGTCCACAGCTCGGAGAATGATTCAGGGCAACAAGCCAAACCCCCCTTGGGGGATGGTGCAGACGCCCCTGCTGATGGGGGCATTCCGGCCTGGAAGTGAGTACATTTGTACCAGACAATACTTCGAGACTACCTCTCACCTTTGAATCACAGAACACAAGTTATGGATTAGAACGGACTGTTGTTCATCGACAGAATTGTTGAGGCTTACCTCTATATATGTGTAGGGATTCAAAACAGTCCACTCTTGAGCGGACGTACATTTCTAGTAGCCGTCTTTCTTAATTCTTTATCTGTCTCTGTTGCTTAACTTAGGTCCTGTACGACATCCATGACAGGCCCTAAGTTCCTCTAAATAACCGGTCTTCAAAGTCGTCCGGCTCACCGGACCACGTCCAAGCCCGAGGCTGTCATTGGCTGTGAACATGCTCTACTTTTATCGACGTAGCCAGTCGCCCGACCTGCATTGTAAATAATTATGATTGAAATTAGGGGGTTACTTATGCAGTCACCATAAGTAAGCGAATAGATGGTTTAAATCTGTCACTGCCCGGTCGTGACCATGATTCCACCGTTCCCTGTCCCCCTGATGGTTGAGACTTGGTACTGAATCGGATTATCAAATTACAGAGTGGCTGGGGAGGGGGAAGAACGTGCCACTGCGAGATCTGATCACAAATGTGTTCCCAGACCAGGACTGCTCCGCGTCCTCGAATATTAGCTGTTGGAACTCGCGCCACTATCAGATTGCCTGATTTAACAGCAACTAGCGCTCACCTGCAGAGCCCCCCGATCGAATGGTAACGAGGCAACGACAACAGTCCATGCCTGGAACAAGTTAATCACACCATACATGTCCACTCCTTGTTTGCAACGCACATCAGTATTGCCATCTCCTGGGGAAGACACCTGTAGACTTCTATCACCAAGTAGCAGTGCATGAGAACCACTAAAGTCCCAGTCAATGATCGCTGGTACACGGCAGGGAGAAGAATGGCAAAGCGCTTGGTTAACTTCGGTCAGGACTTCCAGGATAAATAGAACATACCTCACTCTGAAATTCCACCCATGTAGATCGCTGTGCCGCAACACGAAGGGGTATTCGCGTATGGATGGGCCATAAAATCATTCATCCTGCTCTTGGCGAGCTCGAACTCCTAGGTGTCGAGTTAGAAACGCATTCCCCCATCTCTTCCCAGAATTCTGCTTCGTGAGTTGGAAGTGTGTCTTCGTGCAACATCCGATCCATGTAATGATAGGTCGAAGGCTGACTGAACGTATTCGCGCATAGACTCGTATCTGTTTAAAGTATGAGTACACAAAGAAGATCGTCGTCGTCGAAGCACTGATAGCCCAGTGCTATATAGGCCAAAAGTCAGGTAAACATACCCCTCCACTCGCGGCGTCCCATTCACTGTGAGCCAGGGAATACCATCTAGGGTGATCCCCCGATCAACTTGAAGTTCGTCTTTGTCCTCATCGTACGCATTATCTTTGCGATTTGGTTGGCCACATTCAGCCTTTCCTCCTCTGTCACACACACAATACAGGGTATTTCCATCGATATATTCCACGGCTATGAATATCGATCCACAGGTGCAGCTATGAGCGTAGATAACCAGTGGGTCTGAGATCGAGGGCACCCTACGGCGGACCACATCTGCCATCGGAAGGTGGTATCGGGATCGATTGGAAAGTGCAAAGCAAAGTGAAAGGAGCGGTCGGATTGACTAGTGTCAAGGTTAAGGATGTGTACGAAATTGTAACTTCCTTGCATAACCTCGGTGCCACCTGATTTAGAAACAAGTTTCGAGGATAAAATCGCAGTGGGACTCGCTATGTGGCGAAAAATATCCCCTTTGAGAGAGAATCAACGACCTCGGCGAGTCGGAGGGCAGAGGTTTGAGAGAGATGCCATTGTGATGGCAGTTGAGGTTCCGTACAGACAGGGTACGTGTGAGTGGCGTTTTTTTAAGGAGTTCATGCGTCCGGGTCGCCGTGGCACGACAGAAGCCCTAGGCGGCCAAAAGTATAGAGGGTAATGTAATTATTATCACGGTCCTCGATTTGAGAACCTGTCCCTGCTGATGTCGTGCAGTGTATGCATTCATAGTACCAGCAATTAGACTTGTTGTCGACTTTCTCAAGCCACTGGAAATTGTCTGTTACAAGCTTTGGGGGCGGGCGGCCTCTCCATGACATCATTCAACCATTTGTGCTGAGTCATAGAGTTTAAAACATACGCACTAATCTGACATACTGCCACCTTCTGCAAGACCCAGAACGCTGCGGCCGGCAATTGCCACTGGCGAAATGGCAAACTTCTGCTAACAGCACTACGTGCGAGGGAGAAAGTAAAGGGGGGCGACTCAGCTGCACACATTTCGTTCGTTTGTACTCATCTCGATGCCTATTGCAAGCCACTGAATGTAAACCATGCCCCCGAATTTGCTGGACTACGACTGATTCGGGCGTGGGAAGCAATCACGCGACTGCTCCAGTACGTTAACACAGAAAGAAGGTTCGGACGATTTTCAACAGTGTGCTTTGTCTCATGGTTTTGTTCGATGACGTCCAACACAGCCTTTGGTGAATGCCTAGAGAACTTTCCGGGCCTGTCACTTTCACACGTAAGGTGGCCGAACTTGGTACCCGCCATCCTCTCTCTGGCGTCCTTGGAGTGCCTGCAGAGTCAAGATGTGCCTGACCTTGCAGCGCCCTCAAAAAGGCCGTTCCCATAGATCATTACTTCTTCCGAATCAGTTTTAGCTCGATCCAGCTCAGTCAATGAACTTGGCTGAACATATTTAAAGGCATGTGGATAGCAGGATCTCTTCCACCAAGGAAAAAATGCAGCCCGCCCAACCTAAGCTGACCTTCTCTCTTTCCACCCTTTTGATATCTTCATTTGATGAATCCGACATGCTCAATGGTGCTGTTAGGGACACGTATTTGACACCAACTCAACCTGTGCGTTTCCCTGACCAAGGCATCCCGTGTGTGTTCAAACTTAGCATAGAGACTCCCCGGGCCCAACGCAGAGCACCCTACTTGTTCGAGGTACAGTGAAGGGAGGGGTGATTCATCATCAGAACTGCATCACCAAGGTCAGCCTTTTGTCTTTCTTTCTTTTTTTTTGTGGTCGCAGCCTGACAAGACAGAAGGACTCGCCGGCAACGACTCGTATTCGTTCAGTGACTTTGTCAGATATACCTCGGAGCAAAGTCAAAAAGAACATCCGTGCACGACATTTGCACCTGATACTACCGCTTGGGATACAGAGTTGGAGTTGAGTCTAACTCAAGGGGGTGATGCTGATAAGGTGCTTCCTCAAAACGCAGTACAGGAAGCGACCCACGGATACCGAGCGAGCTACCGCGCAGAAGCCCCACCCGATGTAAGCAATGTTCATTTAATTCGTTACCACGACCAGCTCCTCACGTCATGCATCTTTTCAACATCATACTTCTAGGAGAGCCGGTATTCCAACTGCCCCTCAACAAGTTGCCTCTGTTTATGCGTAGGAGGAACTTTGTGTCTGCAAGAGATCAGCTGTGCTACAGTTCCAAGCCACTTCGTTGGCCATGGAATAGAGAATAAGTCTCGCAAGGAGGCGATCCGCTGCATGTGGAAAGGGTGTGTCAAAACAGTTGCTCGACACACATTTGTCCGCCACATTCGTGAAGTGCACCTTGGGCATGTCAGGGGGACGAGGCTCCACAGCTGGGAGAACGATTCAGGGCAACAAGCCCAATCCCCCTTCCTTGGGGGATAGTGCAGATGCCCCCCGCTAATGGGGGCATCCCAGCCTGGAAGTGAATACATTTGTACTAGACAATACTTTGAGACTACCTCTTACCTTTGAATCACAGAACGCAAATTATGGATTAGAACAGACTGTTGTTCATCGGCGGAATTGTTGAGACTTGCCTCCATATATGTGTGTAGGCATTCAAAACATACCACTCTTGAGCGGACGTAGATTTCTAGTGGCCGTCCTTCTTAACTCTTCAATATCAGTCTCTGTTGCTTAACTCAGATCCTGAACGGCGTCCATGCGGCTCTAAGTACCCTCGCGCCTGATCGAAGGTAAAAACTCGGCCCTGGGAGTACCGCCGTTGCTGCTGCTGTCGGCTCGCATGCCGCTATTCGTTTTGAATAAGTACCGACCTCATCACCTAAATAACCAGTCTTCAAAGTCGTCCAGCTCACTGGACTACGTTGAGGCCCGAGATTGTCATTGGCTGTGAACATCCTCTAATTTTATCGACCCAGCTGGTCGCCCGGCCCGTATTATAAATATCTTAACTTATGACCATGGTCAGAGGGTCACTTATACACGATGCACAGTAATTACTACGCGTGTTTGCCCAGGTTACATACGCCAGCCCTCCGGGAAACCCAGGACGCGATTTGAATCGGATTAACAAATTCTAGACAAGGACTGTAATGTGACACTATTGGGTTTCCTGATTTAGCAGCAGCTAGCACTCACCGGCAGAGGCCCCGGTAACGAGGCAACCTTCCAAGCCCAGAACAAGTTAATCACGCCAAAACCTTGTCTCGGCCCGTTTTGGCATTGTGGTCAAGGTCGAACAGCCTCACGGACACCACTAACCTCTTCAGCTGAAAGTCACGTAGGAATGGTCTAGCGAGCTCCTCAATCTGGAGTAGTCCTATTGCTGTCCTCTTGGGAAGACACCTTGAAGCTTCTATCAGCGAGCAGCAGTGCATAGGGACCACTAAAGTCCCAGTCGATGATCGCTAGTACACGGCAGGGAGAAGAATGGCTAAACGCTTGGTTAACATCGATCTGAAAGACTTCCGAGATAGATAGAACATACCTCACTGTGACATTCTGCCCATATAAATCGCTGTGCCGCAACACGAAGGGGTGTCCGCGTATCGCTGGGCCATAAAATCATTCCTCCTGCTCTTCATGAGCTCGAACGCCTCCTTGGGTGTCGAGTTGGAAACGCATTCGCCCATCCCTTGCCTAAATTCTGCTTCGTGAGTCGGAAGTGTGTCTTTGTGCAACATCCGATCCATGTAATGATAGGTCGAAGGCCGACTGAACGTATTCTCGCATGGATTCGTACCCGTTTAAAGTATGAGTACGCAATGCAGATGGTCGTCGAAGCGCTGACCGCCCAATGCTATATAGACCAAAAGTCCGGTAAGCATACCTTTCCGCTTGCGGCGTCCCGTTCACTGTGAGCCAGAAGATACCATCTGGGCTGATCCCACCGATCAACCTGAAGTTCGTCTTTGTCCTCATCGCACGCATTATCTCTGCAATTTGGTTGGCCACATTCAGCCTTTCCTCCTCTTTCTCAAACACAACACAGGGTATTTCCATCGATATATTCCATGGCTATGAATTCCGATCCACAGGTGCAGCTATGAGCGTAGATAACCAGAGTGAGTATGCTGAGATCGAGGGCACCCTACGGCGGACCACATCTGCCATCGGAAGGTGGTATCGGAATCGATTGGAAAGTGCAAAACAAAGTGAAAGGAGCGGTCGGATTGACTAGTGTCAGGGTTAAGGATGTGTACGAAATCGTAACTTCCTTGCATAACCTCGGTGCTATCTAATCTAGAAACAAGCTTCGAGGATAAAATCGCAGTGGGTCTCTCTACGGGGGCAAAAAATATCCCCTTTGAGAGAGAATCAACGACCTCGGCGAGTCGGAGGGCGGAGTTTTGAGAGAGATGCCATTGTGATGGCAGTTGAGGTTCCGTACAGACAGGGTACGTGTAGGTGGCGTTCTTTAAGGAGTTCACGCGCCCCGGTCGCCGTGGCACGACAGAAGCCCTAGACGGCCAAAAGTATAGAGGGCATGTGGTTAAGAATCCTTGAGATTACCCCGCAATCCTGGCCCAAGTTGTGTGGCCTAGGATACGATGAATTTCAAGACGAACAACCTCAACAGTTGCTTCAGCGTCGGCAACATACTGCAGTGACCAATAAACTGTTAAGCAGCCTCAGACATAGGTGAGACACAATACACAAGGCCACAAGAATAGGTCACCACTAGCAGCCACCAGCCCGTGTTGCTGTTGGACTGAGCTCACCGTCCACCTTCACAGTTCGACGACAACACTCGCGCTGGTCACTACCACCAACAGGCAATCGACAGGGAATGATGGGCAAAGCGACGGTGTATGTATTTGGCAACTCACGCATCGGTGCTCTCAGGCTGACAGTAACAGAAAACTCGTGCCTGTGCCTGAGATACATAGTCTGTGGTCCAGGAGTTGGAGCTTTACATGATTATAAGGCGCAACACGATATGCAAAATAGCGGCGGAAGCAATATCAGAAGATCGGTATATAGTCATGTATCCTGTCCCTCGCGTCTTGAGCAATACACTCCGCTATCCACGTGAGGTTACGAATCTCCTGCTCCTTCAACTTCACGTAACTATAAAACACCCCGTATTGGAATTGCTGCAGGAACGCCTCCTTGTTCAGGCGCACTTCTGTTCGGAAGAACCGGTCTTCCAACTGCGCCGCTATCCCTAGTTCTCCTAAATCTTGACTGCCCCCAGGCGAGTTGTCAAAAAAGGACCGGTATTCTGGGATGTTTTCGCAGACTAGCCGGACTTGTTCTATATCGTCTGCTTTGGCGAGAGCATTGTTCCCATCAGGGAATAATCTGCCGATGGCAGGGAAGAGCTTCGCGCGTTGCTCCTTTGTCAGTTCGGTGCCGAATGAATTGATGGAGATGTTAATTGTCCGCCGGTCAGCTTCAAATGCCAGAATAGTGCGCATCACGTCCGACGTTGGTGATCCAAGCGCACCCACGAAGTCGTAGAAGTCTTCAAGATAAGCTTTATAAATGGTATTCCGAATGATCTCGATGTTGAGATCGTCGAGGTCTGCCGCGGAGAGACAATTTCGGAAGTATGGGGCTGGGCGTTTCAGTAATACAATCAACTGCTGCACGTAGTTGGCGTCTCCCGATCACTTACCAAGGGGTGTCTCTACGAGTACACTCTGATACAGTTCCTCAACGTTGGTCGCGACACAAAGTGCGGGCATCGACTCGAACACGCCGAGTGGATGGCACCGCTCCAATAGTTCGTGCGTGTCTCGTTCGTGCAAGGTACCGGTGATCAGGAGAACAACGTTGTCGATCATATAGCTATATCTGGAGAGAACGTGCTGCGATCAGTATTCCCTCCGCAGGGATACAGCACGCAAACACGGACGTGATATAATCAAGGAATTTGCTGAGCGGCTCGACAGCGTTGCTGCGGAGGAAATTGAACTGGTGGACAAGTAGTTGTGTTGCCCGATCCGAGATTATGGTGGTCGTCGGCGAGGCCTCGTTCGCGAGGAAGTTACCATAGTCGGTTGCGGAAAGCTGAGTTTTGAGGTCTATCAGAGTCGAGTAAGGCATGTGGGTGACGTCGATGTGGAGAAAGCGGTACCTTCCAGTGTCTCGCATTGCGTCAGGCTGGCGTAGTGATTCTGGGTCAGGATGCCAGCCTTGTAGCCTCGCACGATGCCTTCAAGGAAGCCGTTATTGACCTTTGAAGATGTCAGCCATCATAGACATTCGGTAGAAAGTTCACGAGACAGACGTTGAAGAAAAGGCCCTCCATTACACTCCAAACTGAGCTGGTCAACTCCGAGTATTTCTCTTCTTCGGTGTTGCAGCAATTAGGTCCCAGCAGTTTCCCACGCTACTACATAGGAGCCATTTCCAGTCGTGGATTTGAGTCGTCGTCCTGGGTGAGACTCACTAGACTACTACTGTACATTGAACGAGCACATGGAAGCACGCCATCGCCTCAGATATTATATGTGGAGTTCCATGTAGGCCAACTCGTGGTTCCGCCTTCGCGAATGTCCTGCGGGTATTACTATATGTCTCGAGGTCCAGATTCTATTGCGCCATCTACGCCAGTGGTTGCGATAGATGTGGAAGGTCTCTTCACAGCGATGCAGGGCGTTATAAGAAACCCTTTGCAGGAGGATTCATGTGTCGACTCCCCATGTCTACCCCAGAGAGATCGGTACATTCCGACAAGGTCCGATATACACCAACATCCCAAAATAATGGCCCTACATTGGTCCTACATCTGGGAAACAGCTACGCGACGCGGCTGTTGACAACTCTTTTCGCACCTGAGCAAGCCCTCTCATTGGCCGGTAAGTGTTGTACCGAGCGCGAAAGGAGTCTTACGACAAGTCACTCCCAAACGGAGGCATCCATACGCTGCTCATCCCCTCGGGTAGTTTTGCAGATGCTATTGAGGACCAAGGAACTACTGGCAATGTCGACTTGAGGTTGTTGCCAATACTTACACTACTCTACCTGCTTAGCTTCCTTGACAGGTAAGGTGTCCTTTAATAATGCCTCATGTACCTCATCTCGTTCGATTCAAATATCGGAAATGCAAGGTGAGTCTTCACGCTTTCTCAGTGGGTTGGACTGTCATGACCGGTGGTCCGTTTCAAAATTGAAGGCTATGTTTGAGAGGCAATTTTCAGTTTGTGATACTCACTTTTGGTCAAATCTCCATATCCTTGTACTGGCGTATAACACAGCAATGGCCATTTATTTTGGCGGCTATATCGTATTCGGGGTTCCGTTAACCGTAGGTACATCAGTGACTCTGTGCATGCTACCTATTCAGTATTAAATCCGTGCTCTCTCCTGCCTAGATCATGTAAACACCTAACTCATTACCTTTCCTTGGGTCGACTGACTAGCGTTCCCTAACTTAAGCGCTTTGACCCTCATGTGGGGCATCGTCTCTATCTGCCAAGGGCTAGCCAAGAACCATGCAGGACTGTTCGGCATGAGGTTGCAGAAGTGACTAATCTATGCTGTTGATCCGCGTGCACACATTAGCCCTCAAGTTTTGGTTGCCATCGAAGCTGGCCGCTTTTCTGGCATCATATGCCTATTCTCCGTTTACAATCAAAGGTAAAGTAAGTAAGAACCTACCGGGAGCCTCCTCTGAAGTTGTACTCCAGTTGGCGTGTCGTCATTGTCTTCGGTGGGGCTGCGTTAGCAAGTGCCTTCATAACAATGTATCTTTTCTTAGATCATGGAGTCCTCTAACGCCGCTCAGGAATATTCGCATACGCAGTCGGTTTGATGAACGGTATTGGTGGCCGCAAGCGTTGGAAATGATGAGCTTCTCCCCGTTCATGTTGTGCTCACCGCACCGACGAATGGTTTTCGTATTGGAAGGCATTCTCACAGCGGTCATTTCGCTGATCGCCTACCTCCTCGCGCCAACATGGTCATTTAAGGCAAAATTCGTTCGCTTCCATAAAAACGCTAATATGGTACGTCTCCCTACCGTTGACTACACAACTCACCGAGGCAGAGCGTGAACGCCTGCTGGAAAGGTTGCGAATCAACTCTAACCCCGGAATGAACCAAACTCTCCAGTGGTCATCCGTCCGACAAGCGTTCGGAGATCATCTAGTCTGGGTATATGATTTATTGTTTCACGGCTTTTCATTCGTGGGTTTATACATGCGAGTGGCCATTCACTCAGATCAGCCCACAATTATCGCAGACCTTGGTTTCGTGACGTAGCAAGCACAATTGTATGTTACTCCCTACGTTTCTGCCGAATATGCACTGAAAACGTTTAATTAGAATGGCAGTCCCTCCAAACGCTCTCGCCGGTATTTCTATATGGAAAACTGTTTGACTGTCCAGCAGGTGGAACCTTCGGGTTCCCTTAATCATTGCGGCGGCCCATACGGCCATAGGAGGTGGGGCTAGTTTATTAAGGTTATCGGAGTAAGGTCCGGACTTCCAAACGTTCAGGGTATATTATCTTGTTGACACGCAAAACTCGTGAGTAGGATCGGACCACATGGATGGCATATAATCTAATGAGAATATAATTAACAGCGAGCTCGCAATATTTTGGCATTCTCCTGGCGACAGGTAGGTACTTACTCTTTTCCTACTTCGCTTCTCACTTACTCTTCATAAGCGGGTGTGTGCACTGGCAATTCCCTCCTCTTAGGGTTCATGCAATTGCAATGTGCGCCGTGGACTTTCAACAGCACATTTAATTCGGGACGTTGACGGCTATCCGGGTGGGTTTTTCCGGGCAAACAAAGCGAGCGAGTGCGGTCGCGCTGCGGGTTACCGGGGACGACATTGCCGCCATAGCCGGATGTCTAATATACAGGCCCTCGCTTAGCGCTCATCTCTGCCGGAAACCTAACCTGACCGCGATTGGGTGCTTACTTTTTGCAATCCTCGCCACATGTTACTTGTGGGTGATGATGGCACGGGAGAATAGGAAAAAAGGCTTATGTTACTGGCGGAGGGAAAGATTGACTATTTCGAAACGGAGGAAGAAAGGATTAGATTAGATGATCGTTCCATTCACTATACATATCAACTTTGATGATGGATGGTATTCTGCGCCAGGCTACGTGGCGAAGGGGTGGGCGTAAATTAGGTGTTTCTACATACAAAGTGATTAGTTATGTAGAGTCGGAATATACAGTCAGAAAAAAGTAATGGAGCATGCATTGTTCCGTAATGTCCCCCGATCCTCACTTAACTGGCAACGTTGCTGCGGCGACGTTTATTTGCCCGCGATTTCTGAAATCGATACTCATCGTCCTCGTCATCACTGTAGTCTTCTTCAGGTGCATCTGGTCCATATAACTGTTTGCGTTTGTCAAGGTCCACCTTACGCAACGAACGGAGATGCGTGGTAAGGGACTTGTGAAACTCAGACTAGACAGGCCATCAGTACCTTCGTGCAGAATTGTACTAGGGAAAAGTACCTTGTTAACTCTTAGTTTACCATCTGGTGGAGTAATCTTCTCCAAACGCCTGCGCTTCTCCTTGTACTGCAACGGGAGTTAGCTAAGAAATTCTATGTGAGCAAACACTGAGGAATTTACCTTCCGTTGCTCCTCTGCCAGAAGAGCAGACAGGTGCTTGATCCAACGCTGGAGATTTGACTCAACCTTCCGCTTCTTCGCCTGCATAGTCATCAGTGCGACCATTGCATTCTCATCATCAGACTCGACAATGGCCTCGTCATCCGAATCCGGGATAATATAAGACGTGGCGGTTGTCGCTGTCGATCTTCGCGGTCTCTTCCGGCATATCCGCGGTGGCGTCGACGACGACGGGTCTGCTTGGCACAAGGAATGTGATACCGTGGCTGGGCTCGTCTCTTTCTTAACGTCCCTGATCCTGTGCTTCCCATGTTGTCTCGGTTCTATCACCAGTGTCTGCTTGGAGAGATAGTCTTCCTCGCTGAAATAGAATTCGGCTCCGAGTTCGATTTCGTGGTACAGGCAGAAATTCTATCCCCAATCATAAGGAAGTTCCACACGGCGGCTAGAACGTCACTCACGGGTGCTCTGCCCAAATGTGCAAGAAGCTTGAAATGTTTAAGAGTGATAGGCACGCGCGCCGCCAGAGAGTTCGGTCCAGGCGTGGGGAGATAAAGGTGAAGCAGCTATTCACAAGCCGTCGCCAAATTGGTCGGGGTTGAATCAACAATTTTACATACCGTACTGTTGTTGTTGATGACCGCATGAGTAAAGAAGACTGCCATTATAGGGCTCTCGGGAGGATAGGTTTCCTTGACCCATCTTCCAACTTGCAAAAATTCTGGTCCACGTCAATACTGTACTGCGACGTACCTCTTGAACCACTTACCAGCTGGATAACCAAGTTTTGCTTGGACCTCACTATTGTACATGTTGTAATAATATGAGCGCCTACGCGCCCGAATCGGGGCCATCTCATCCTGGCGGATCATCGCGGAAAGGGTATCCTGGCCAATGGCACCCTGTGATTAAGCTATTCAGCACGTTTGCCATGAATGCCTATCCAAGGAAAAGTAAACCAACCAGTTCAACATCGTCAGTGCTTGAAGTCGTGTCGTCTTCAACTGCATCCTCCATGTGGATGTCGTAGTTCTCCCGGGGCGACTCCGCAGCACTCGACGGACCCGGTGCTTCATCAGTACCAAGTGGCTCAGTATTCGACGAGCCATTGGCTGAGCGCTGGTGAGTGGCGTTAGAGCTCACTCGACTCGCCTTTGTGCTACTATAATCGGGACACAGCGGTGCCTCGTAAGCCACACAAGCCTGCTCATCCTCTAATGGGGGTAAATCGGCTATTGAGAGTGTATATCGCTGAACAGCAGCTTCGGCAACGAATTCCTTCAATCCATAATATTCGGTTAATCTTCTAATGGTTTTCCCCTATAGAGCCTGAATATAGCTGATATTTTAAAAAAGATGGACAGATACCTTGCTTCCGACTCCGAGACACGTGACGACAACTTCATGAACAAGTTCTTTAATCGCCTTTGGGCTCATATCCATTTCTTCTCTGGCGTAATCAAGGATGATAATAGGCTTCTCGATAAAAGGATTTGTCAAAATGGTCAGGATGTCCTGGCGGGTCACAGGAAGTAGGTTGAGACTCTGCAGCTTGCTCTTCGCCATGGTTAAAGGTGAGGAAGGTTGGAGCATGCCATCGAATAGGAAAACTGTCAAAAGCATGGCAGTCCGAACCGTCAGATCATTCGATGGGAAGTCGGAGTAAAGTTGACGCAAAACATTCGTGGTATACCCGGTCATTATAGAGCGAGACTTCACGAAGAGCTGCGAAAGTGAAACGTCAATAACTGCGCGGCATACTCCTATTCGGCCCAATCCACCTTTATCAATTCAATTACCAAACCACTAGACAAGATCGTCAGCCAGTAGCACCACTATTGCAAAGGAATGCATTACCGAAGTGAAAACAACAGATCCCCCGTGCGGTCCAATGTTTTGAGAGCACGATACGCTGACTCGTTAGTCTTGGCTTCCATACAGACTTCAGCTGCCACGGTGCGACTAAGGAACATCCTGAGCGACCGATTTCAGCACAAACTGCGCCACACATAGTCGCGCATCAATACCTAGGGTCCAGCCGTTTCAATTCCCGAACGTTGGAAACGATCTCCTCTGACCGATCCACGGTGCTGAGTGACTGCTTCTCAAACATCTTACGGAAAATGAAGTCGCGGTACTGATAATGAAGTTGAGAATCACACCCGGCGATGACGTCAGTTTTCAGTACCTTTGGGTCAATCCGAAAGCCGTTTGCTTCTGCGTATGGCAATAGCCTCGGTTCGACTGCAAGTGCTATCGGGAGCTGAAACATAAGCGGATCCTACAATGACCGGGTAATCAATACGCAGCAAATCTGGGACCATTCCCCAAACCTTCATGCTGAATGGGATAAACTGGGATCGTAGTCAACTTTTGATGACCACCAATGGAGAACAAAAGACTGTGGCGCACTCTATACCGTTGGAATATGTCACGAATTTCCTCCCAGTTCTTTTGCCTCATATGCGAAGGGAGTCTGCTATCCTTTAAAAAGGCATGGAATTTGGATCCGTCATCCTCATGCTTGCCCACCGGTACTTCGTTATCAAACATCTCGGCGGCGACCTTCTGGAAGTATGAGAAAACCGAGGGACGGACGGAACGAACCCATTGTGACTTGATAAAAGGTGCATTTCCGCGGTAGAAGTGATGGATGGCGACCTGAAGGAGGTAACGAGATATATGCGCCCCACTATTGAAAAGAATCTGTGGAGAAAGGTATACATGATCAGTAGATGGCCCCGGTCGGCAAGCACTTGACCAGCATGTGTTTTGTCACGCGGAAGACTCACATCAATAACCCTTTCGTCCAAAATTTTCCCTTTACCCAACGCCCAAAACATCGCATCCATATGGCCATAGCGAGACAGAAAATAGTGGGCACGGACATACGGGTCTCTGGAGACATGGAGGAAACGCTTGGAGGTGAGAGTCAGAGCAGTGGGATCTTCGAGTTCGTAGATGATAAGTGCGATGACTTCATCTATAGGCGGCGTATCTGAGCATACATGCGGTGAAAAGCAACGGTCTCACACACCGCAAAGACGCTGCATGGTGGAAAGCGGGCCGCGACAGCAGATAGCCAACGAAATCGTAGACGCTGCGGGCGACCACTAGTGGAATCAATAAGACAAGCCTGTCCTGAATGCAGGCAACGACGAGCAGAGCCCGATCTAAGTGGACCCCGACCCTTGTTTGTGGTGGTGATGGTTGAACGCCAAGGTGTTGTGTGAGCCAAATTGTGAGAGCCTCAAAGAATCGGACTTCCAAATTCGTCCGCGATTTCCATACGGTAGTAACTTTCTTGACACCCAATCTCCTCCCTCAAGCTCCTATCTGTGCAGGGCAGTGCAAGTACGATAAAGATGCTGTTCAACTCATACAAGGTGTAGTTAGCCGTCATTTTTTCGTAGAACGGGCGTTGTCCATGACAGATGCCGGCATACAAAATCCGTATTCTAAAACTGCCTGTTATAGTAACTCGTATAAACCCTCCAAGGCAGCTTCCAGTCACGGACTTGCAACGACGGATGAAACACATCGAAGTTGACAGACTCCAGTCGAGTCAGTATGGACACCGTAGGAATCTACGTTGCAAGGTTAAACGTCAAACTAGACGATCCAGAGTATGACGCACGGCGGCAGAAAACAGGGGCATCACCGCTTGCGGGACTTTACCCCCTGTTTCCTTGAACATCTCTCGCGCGGTCATCATGTTGTCATTTGCGATCGTGGAAAGCTCGAAGACGGCATCCTCCAGTTCCTTAGACGTTGCGTGTTTGGAGAACACCTCCTGTTGTTTGACACCGTGCTTTGCAGTAATCTCGGCGGGTATGACCATCACTCCTTTCGACGCATGAAAAGGGAAGGCACGTAAGAAAGTGGCAAAGGACTGGGCGATGCCCAAATGTGAAGCAGCATGAGAAAATATCGCCGATTCCTGGCGGAGCATCGACAGGATAAGGTAGAAGAATGTGGAAGATGTCGACTCCGCGTGGGCAGTCATGGACTCGACAGTCAGATGTGTTGGGGAGAATAGCTCTTCTTCCTATTCAGAATCAGCAGTCGAAATACTATTGACAGGCGCACACCACTTACCCTCGCATATATCATCCTCTGAAAGTGATACTGAGCCAAATGACTATTTTGTGTTACCTGGTGCAAGGCAATGGCAATAGGATGCCGGGGAGGCGCGTTCTGCCCAGATGTCAATGAAATGTAAATGCCGACATGCCCGAAACCACTCACCTTGAATATGTCCTTGACAGCATTTCTCCAGAACACGAACCGACCTTGCCCAAGGGTCGTTTGCGACACGGCTTCCTTCACGGTTGCCAATTCAATCTTGCGTGACCGAGTTCAGCGACCGATACACTCTGAACATTCCAGGCAAACAGTACTCACATAGAATGCTCTCAGTGCATAGTATCCAGGTCGATACACTTGTGAATACAGCTGTGAGGTCAAGAAGGCTTCATAGTCATGTTTCCGAACGAGATCTTTGCAATAGTCGGCCGCCTCGGATATTCCAGCAGAAGAACGAACGCATGGAGTGGTAGAGAACGTATTACTATTCCCCAGTCTTCCTAGTCGCCGTGCATGACCAGCTAGATGAGCTGTAGTGCGCCACTGCCTGAGCGGAACCATGAAATCATGACAAGAAAATCGAGGTTCGGTACTAGGCGGTGTCCGGGGAACCGACAGTCGTTACGAATACCCCGGAATCATCCCTCGGACCTCCAGGGAACGATTGTCTTAGGCACTTCCTAGAAGAGACGACGATGTCGGCTCCATCAGGGCTTCAGAAGGAAGTCCTCGCGTTGTACAGACGGTAACCGTCTCTTCGTTACGTTCATTCGTGCTTCGCTCATGTATGTCTAGCGCACTACGAATGGTACGGACGAAACCGCCGCACACGCAGGACAAGTTCTCGCTCTTGGTTCGTTATATGTTTCATGTCCAAGCGTCTGCCGTATCACCCCGCAATGTCTCAGCAATCGAGCATCTACTTAGACGCGGAAGAAGACAGATAGAGTTGTACGAGAATCCGTCTATTAGAGACTGTCACATTTCTCAGGATATGAGGGACTGGGAGCAAAGCCGGAGGAAATATCATAGTCAAACCAGCTAGCGCTAGTCTTGCAAGGTGGACAACGAGCTGTTTCAATTAGGCCGAGATATCCATGTGTACATAAGGAGGACAATACCGTTCGGAGGCCGGGCACACGAGTGTCATCGTACCTCACGCGGCAAAGCCCTACGTCTACTCTTCACTCGATAAAACGGATCTGTTATTTTCTTCGGAATCTCCTTCTTCGAGCCTTCCCCAGTATCAAGAATCTTCTCATATACCACCCGCCGCTCGTTGATAACATACTTCAAACGGGCCATCGACTTTCGGCACTATGAAACGGCTGTGGGAAACGGCCCAGGATGAGTATCCTCAAGTTACTCACCAGGCGGTCTCGGACAGAAGCCGCAAGTGATTCAGTGCTGCGAATTCCGAGTCTTCTAGCCTCCTCTTTTTGCGTTGCGAGGATATTGCGTTCCCGTAGTAGTACATACCACAACGTGTGCAGGTCTTTGAAGCTTTTACGGCGAAGCTCCGATGCAATCCATGACCTCCCTGAGAACTGCATTGTGAGACAAGAACGACCGCACAGTGATTCTAGCACATACCCGACTCGGCGTAGGCATCTCGAGGTTCGACGGTCTCATAAGTTACTTTGCCTTCAGAATCCACATTCTTCCGGAAGAAAGCCCACAATCCGTGATTTGGATCAACCTCTACGCCCAAGTGCGGTCGACTTCCAGGTGGTTTCGTTTGCTTAGCCGTAGCATTACCCTGGGCCTCGACGGGTGCAGTTCCCGCAGCAGAATGACTCGATGTGACAGCTTCAGTCGACGCGCATCGAGTGAAGGGCATAATGCGCATTAAACGCAACGAACGCGCTGCAAGCATAGTGGAAACCTTCCTCCCAAGGCAATTGAGAAGGAGACGCAGTGGACGTGGATGGGCTTGTAAATTCTTGGCACAGCCACCCAATCCACAGTTGCCTCTTCCGGACGATCCGCCTATATGGACTTGAGCGGCCCGCTGGCACAAGTGATGAAGATCCTTGCGAAAATTCACCGCGACGGAGGGGAAAAAATACCGCAAAAGCAGGGGCGGCTATTCGACAGGATAAGGATAAGCAAATTACTCTCCCCGCCGGCGTAGCGGATCGACCGTTACTTCCGTCTCTTGTGGGATTATAGCCAATCCATCCCCTACTCATGCATACCATCTAGCGTACTCTATCATGCGCACCTTCTTTCTGCTGGTCGTGTCTCTCGCCGCCTTATCCAATGCACTTGTCCTACGACAAGCACCCCCTGCTCAACCGACGGCTGCTGGTGCTAACCCGGGCACGGGAGGATTACTGACAACGAGTGGGTTCACATCCTTGCTTTAGTGCTGCTCTGATTTTTTTTGTCTAGCTGCGAATGCTGCTGTGAACAGCGCTCCTTACACCGTACCCATTAACACGGCCACCTACTTCTGGACCAGTGTCAGTATCATCCCAGGTGTAAGCACGATTCACATGTGAGCATGACTTAACATCAGGTGAGTCATCGGCTTTTCCATTTGATCAGTCATTATAACACACTTCACGTCCATAGTTCTGGGGAGCGTGGTTGTTTGATGCTTGGTGTGACTCGAAGTATCATAGAAATCGAAATCCGAATGTACATGCCAGCTAGTATTAGAGAGAATATTCATGATTTTGAGTTGCTCTCTGCGAGATAAGTTCGTTCGTGTCTCATCTTCCTTGGCGTAAGTCTAAGGGTTAGTGGGCGGATAGTCACTTTCGAAATTATACTTCCGCACATGATCCCGTCTTCCGCAGTCGCGGACGGAAGATGATCGCGACCCGATGCCTGAGCTGCACAAGAGTCGCCTCAGAACCCATAAGACATCGACGCGCTCTATAACCCGCCATACCCTCGACCACTTCTTCGCCTCTCAATTTGGACCCGCAACCATGTTCCTTTTTCGGCTTGCTGTTGTTCTTGCCCTGCTCTGCATTCCGCTGACCAACGCGTCACCTAACCCGTTCCCGGATGCTGGGCGCAGGGGTTACGCCGGCCACACGAGACATGTCGGCCATCCTGGGCATCCCAGGGACCCTGCTCACCCTGCGCATCCGCGAAACGTGGACAGTCACCGTGCGCATCATAGAAACCATGGCCGGCAAATCGGACCACGAGTGAGTTCGCTTTGACATTCGTTCCACGGACACCAGGCCAAGTGCACTCCTCAGCAGGCTCAGCAACAAAACACCAAGCGTGGGGGCGCCGGCGGTTGCCTCAACACTTTTACCGTGACAGAAACCACTACTTCCACAGCACACTACACATCAACGTCGATCGTTCAGACCACTCAGGTAGTCTCATCGACCGAATTGGCGACCGAGACCTATACTGCCACCGTCACGGTCACCACAACTCCCAAAGTGGTAGCATCCACAGAGTGGATAACGGCAACGGCAACAGCCACAATAACCCCCAAGATGATCACGTCAACGATCTGGGTGAGTAGTACCCAGATGGCGCAGACAACTGCTGTGAGTAGCTTTGTGGCACTTAAGACTGATGGTTGATGAAACCCGTTTAAAGTACTGAACACGGACCTGACGGCGACGGAGATTGTTGCGATACGAGTTTGAAGAAACTTGGACTCTTGACTCCGGACAATTGACGACCGAAAAAAGCCTTGCCTGTATCTCCTCACGCAACGTACGATTTCAAAGGTATCGGACTTGATAGTGTCATTGGCACTGTTATTAACGAATGCAGAAAATGGAAACATATCGATAGAATGATATAGAATTATTTCTTTGGTCTCTGCGCTGATTGCATCATGAGCGATGACGCAAAAACTATCGCGAAGACACGCACCTCCATATTTACTCCTTGCTGACATGCGTCCCACAACGCCACCAAAGTCTAATGCACCGCGAACGATTTTGTAGCTGGGGACCGATTCGTAAGAGAGACTAGAGAAAACCCCGAAACGAGCCTCTAACGCACCGGACACCTGGCAGATCTTGCGCGCGACCACCACGGACCAACACAACACTGTGCTCCTGCAGGTTGTGCCCTTCTCCCTGAATGTACGCCATGACGGTATTCCCGTTCGTCAGCTTCACACGGGCAACTTTTCGCTTTGCCGAGTTGGGTTTCTTCGGAGCCATGATAAATATCTGAGCACAGACGCCTTTCTTTTGCGGACAGTTGTCTAGGAGTGGCGACTTTGCCTTGGAAGCTTTCTGGGGCTTCTTTCGGCGCATGGTTTGGTTCAAAGTCATGGAAAGCGACGAAGAAGAGCTGAAGGACCTAGTGTAGAGAAACGAAGCCCCCGCTGCAGTTGGCTTGTGATGGGACATGAGAGCCCATGTTTGAGGCACTCTGCAACAGCTCCGCAAGACCGACAGCATCTTCCTCCAAGTGAACACAGAGACGGTGGCTTGTAAGTTCCGATACTCCGTATGTAGTTCATTATGTAAGCACGCGCCACTAACTTCTGCCGACGATTTATTGCTCCAGTTACCAGACCGTCTATGAGGCTGCCGTCGATTAACAGCTTGCCTCTGTCTAGTTAACAGACTACGGCGATATGGCGAGCAGGTGAACGGCAGGTGCGTCTTATTGGACATGGCAACTGATATACATAGCTGTGCAGAGCCTCGTGTCGCTCTCGTTACAGAATGGAATTATACCGGGAATCTAGTGTTTTGATTCCCTCCCATGGCGGAGCGCTGGACATCGCATCCCCGACCCACATTCTATGCAGCGTAAATGCCAGATACTTCCCCCTCAGGATCTCCGGCCGTTATCACGCCACCGGGCAGGTTACTGCGTCTGCCTCATACCATGCCCTCTAGGGTTATGCCGTTAGGTATACTAGCTCCTCCCGTTGGTATCTGTATCAGGATCTCGGCGGTTCGACCCCACAATTCAATAACCTTGAACTAGATTTCGTCCCATAGAGAATCACGGATATCACGTTCCGCTGATCTGTCGGGAGTCGAGTCCCACTAGGGGGAGCTTTCCCAAGCTCCTCGATGAGAGTCAGCGACTCGCACTGTTTTTGTCTCCTCTTGAACAGTCCGGGACAAGGCCTTCAAATACCCAAGAGATGACCCACCGTGAGCGTCGAAAATTCCAGAAATTCGTGGAATGTTCGTAATCACAACAGCAACTCCATCTCTGGAACCTTCTTCCCCTTGATCGCAGCTTGTTCGTCTCAAGGCTACCTTGTTGTTGCCAACGTGGCTGGTACTTGCTCTCCGTTCACCCCGTACGTTATGGTGGTTTTTACACAATCCGCTCACCAGCTCTGGCGGTGAGGGGGGAAGTCAGATTATATACGTGCAGGACCGACCTTGCACCCAGACGTTTTGGTAAGAGGTTCTGTTCCCCTCCGCTGGGTGACTCAATAGTTGTGTGAAGTGGACACCTGCAATAAATACATAAACAAAAGTCGTCTTGCACCGTGTGGCATCAGGTGGTAATACAGACAACGGGTGGGGGCATATACGGCACGTGTTTTTCTGTGAATGCCTTATCCTCACTGCGCGGCGCCTCACCCCACTGTTGACGTCTTGCTCCCCGTTCCTCATGCTCACAGTTTCATTCTTGTCGTTTCTCCCCGCCGATATCACTGACTATATTCTGCACGCTCACCCCGAGCTCTCCCTGGCGTGACTCCATGGCCTTGTACATTTCTGGCGTTACGCTTCAATCCAGTCGGCTGCTCGCTCTTTGAGGGAGTCCCTGCGACGTCGCTGTATTTCCCTTCCTCTGTGTACTCTTACTCCGTCTCATTTTTCCTTGATAACTCCCAAATCTTTTGTCCTGCCTACTGCGGGAACATGGATATTGTCATCTCAAACTATTAGTGGAGGAGACGCGTGACGCCAGACAAAAAAGACTTAGTACGCTGTGGCTCTGGTGTGCGACACGTAAATGAACTCAAAATATAATTTGCAGTAGTTGTCCATGAAGTCATTTTGGTATCGGGCGATATGCATGCTGTGCAAGTTCACTGGTCGAGATGCCAATTTCATGAATGGAACATGCACTTGCAGATCCTACTCGCAAGAGAAGAGTGTGCGAAAAGGCGAGATGATGGTAGAAACGTCATCCTGATGTACTCCGTCTTACTTTTGCGTTCGCACCTTACACACTGTCGTCTTAACAAACTTCCCTCCTTTCCTTTCTTGAGAATTTGTGCTACCTGAAGTCTGCCATTGCATCGTATCCGTTCGAGCGAAGGAAAGCATAAAACATGTGCACAGAGTCCACTGTGTTTTCACTCTCAAATTTCGGGTCCAGGGGCGATGACACCGGGGCCTCAGAGGGGGGGACAACGGTCAGAACAACTGGGTTGGTATGACTCTACGGGCACTTCCATCACCACGACCGCTTGGTGTGTATTATGAAGATATGTTGGTTGGCCACGCTACCAGGTCGGTAGCCTCAAGGTTATCACATGAACTTCGTATACAGACAAGCTTGATCAGATCAATTACATAACCAAATTACAAGTAACCGCGTATGGGCCGGCCCTAGATAGCAGTCAGTACGCGTCTCCGCTCCTCATTATTTACCGTCAGTTAACACGTTGACCGAAGAATGCCTGCCGCGTCTCGAAAGCGAGCTTCGCGTGCACGCAGGGAGCCGTCTGATGACCACATAGAAGCGGGTGACCTTACCCAATGCAACGATGAAGCCGTAGACTCTGAGGCGAGCGACGGCGAGCAGTCACGTAGAACGGTGAAGAAGGATAAGAAAGATAAGAAGGGCAAGGCTGTACACGGAGAGGGAGGTCTAGCTCTCGAATCTGACAATGACGACGGGAGGATCGATGTGGAGAACTTCCGCGACCAGCCCCTGGATAAGAAGGAAGGCGCAAAGCTGCACGGTATAGCACAGGATTGGGAATTAATTAGGAAGCAAATACATCAAGGCTCCTTTTCCCTTGTCAAGGATGTCGCCATATCCCTTGCGGACGTAATGGAAGTTGATCAGTCCGTGGAGGTTCGTTATTTGCAATGTATCGGTTTTGTGGCTCACAGAATCCTCAAGGCGTTGAATGGAGTTGATGTCATCATGAAGGAGCTCCTGGACATTGACCAAGAAATGCTCTTCCGTGAGGAAACCCTGAAGGAGCTCCACCAGAAACTCATGCTTGGAGAGCGCGTGGTGAGTCAACTTCCGAATAGATGTCTTATTCATTTTATAGCGGCCTTCCAGGAGGATGTGATGGATAGATATGAAAACGGGGTGAAAGAGAAGATAGACCATTACCGCAGCAAGACCAGTCGCCAGAAGTACGGACCCAGTGTGGTGTACACGCAATTCAGGGAAGGCATCTTTGTCCGTCTACATCACATTCATTGTTGAACCTGAAACTAATATCCCTACAAATAGGAGGTACAAAATCCGGGCGCCCCGATACCACCTATCAAAGAATTCATTCCAAGAGGTATGTATCCACCGATTCAATGAAACTTTTTCTGATCACATCCAAAGAACGTGGTGATGGCAGTGATGATGATGAAGATCTTGAAATCGGAGGCGTAACTCAGGATTACAAGTGTCCTATTACGCTGACCACACTAGTGAACCCCATGACCTCGTAGGTGGCTACAAGCCACTCATACGATCAAATTTCTTAACTACCGCTTTTAGCAAGGTCTGCGGACATTCATTTTCCGGAGATGCCATACAGGAATACCTCCAACGGGCTAGAGCAGATGGGATTGCGTGCCCTGCGGCGGGATGCAAGAAGAGACTGACGATGGCAGTGTTACGTCCAGACAAGGATCTGGAAAAGAAAATCAAGATAGCGGCACGGCAACGTCAAAGGCTGGCAGAAGATAGTGACGACGGCGAGGTGATAGAATAGATCCAGTTGTAATTTCCGCAAGCTGCTTTGCTGCATTGTAGGTCCTTTTTTCTTTCTTACCCCTAAGCTGTGACAAATTCGAACTAGATTGCTACCTTCATGCTTCTTACATTTTGGTCGGACTGCAGCTCAGTGTCGCAGTAGAGCTAGACCGAACCATCAGTTTCTGTATGCATTACGGGCTATCACTAATCATTGAGTAATATCTAGTCAGTCCTCGCGAAAACCTACTTTGTGGAAGGTATGGATGGACAGTGTCCTTGTGCTCGCCCGTCACGAATGCGAAATGTCCACTAGACCACCTGTCTCCCTCAGTTGTTGTTCCCTTTCCCTGTTCCTTCTGACTACCTTCTCTATCTCACAACCCAATGCCCAGCACCACGCATTTCGTTCAACTTTGTTCCTCGTCTTGAAAACGACGGTCTTGAATTTAGCTGAAGGAGGCGGGACTTGACTTGCCTGACTACCACCGGTGGAGGTCCGAGTTTTACGGTACCATAACATGAAAAGGACATCCTCTAGTGGTTCGTCCGCCTCAAGGCCGTCACAGTATCGCCTTGGAGGAGTCGGATCACCATAATTAAGTTCTTCCCTAGGCAAAGCAAGAGTCGCAAGGTAGCCAGAATAAATGTATGCATCCAACAAACTGATATCACGCCAATGCCGACGGTGCAACGTTGAACTCCGTCTCACTTGGAATTGGATCAGATGCCCCGACACTAAGACCAATTGTGACATCCTGAAGAATTCAGTTGCCAAGTCAGGCCGGCCAAAAACACAGCCAGCGACAATCACTAACTTGTATTGGCCCCTGAAGCCTCTTCTCATGAATACACGCCCACTTTTGATGACACTTTTGCAATCACTCAACGCGCACCAGCGATACAGGGACGTCAAAGAAGGCAATGATGCTGCCAAGTCCCATGGAGCTTCGGGTGGAGTAGAACCGCCGTTATCATTGTTGCGTTTGGGCAGCCTCGGTGTTAGTTGCGGCCGTTGATTGATCACATCGGATATGTCGATCTCGAGCTTTGCATCCTCCTTATGTCGTTGCGTCCAATAAGTGACAAGGGCTCGGAGCTTGTCGATCCACTCGCGGCAATTCCGAACTGAGTATGCCTGCCGAGGATAAGCAAAATAAGTGATAGCGGATGTCAACTGAGTTTACCTCCAATCGTATCACGGGGCCAGAGACTAAAACAATTTCGAAAGAACGCTGTAGCCGCAGCCTCAGCGGGTCCTGCGCCTTCGCAAGACCCTCGACTCCACCTTCATCTGCGTCGATCAATAGATCGCTGTCTTGTTCCCCTTGCTGCGCCTCCGGGAGCACAGCTCTCACACTTTGAATATTCCTGAGGTCCATAACACCATAAGCAGAACGAATCTGAGTAACTCCTCTTTCAATCTCATTCCTGAAAATGCCCTCTGCATACTGATCGACATTCGTTAGACTGTCGACTATATGCGAGAGGTGTGTGCTCGGAGGTGCAGGTGGGTTTGCATCATTCGGAGAAAGCGCAAAGAGATTGCCGTCATGTGTTGAAACGTAGATGCGTTGTCTCTGGCCTTGCGTCTTGATACGATCAAGATAACCTTCGACATCCGGTGGCTCTTCCATCCTCATTCCATCCGGTAGACGAATAAATTCTCGAAAATGGTCAACAGTCCGTATTTCGAGATGAGGTAATTTCCGGCCCTACTGTACCATTAGCTCCCCGCGCGCACAAAATACAGAACTGCCTAACCTGCTTGAGCGATAAACCGCACAGGATTGACCATCGCCTGTCGTTACCTTGAACGTCTGTGGGCTGCCAGATCCACTCCAGTTGATCCTCTAGTCGCCAGGCTAACGCCAATCGTTTTCCCCCCTGCAAATCTTGTCTGATGGAATTCCAATCGAAAAAGACGATGCCGGGTACACCGCAGGCAGAAATCACCGACTGTCGCACTGTCTCAAGGATATTGTCGACGCTGAATACCTCATAAGCCCTGTCAAGGTTGGCAACGTCTCCTAAGGGGACATCGATCTTAAGACGGGTGTTAGTAGTAGGGTAACTAATCTCAATAGACGGTGGGATCCGACAGCGGAAGTGGCGCCTAAAGTAGTTGGGAGTTATGTTCACAAAACCTCGCTGACAGTCTCACCACAAATGCCAGAGCCAGTCTTCAGCCCTCGTGCGGCTCTTGACTTTGAAGATGAACACATTCGTGCCCTCTTTCAAGCCGAACAAGACTCTCGCCTTTAAGCGGGGATCATCAACTGGAATCGGGGGGCAATGAACACAGAAGGTGAGGTCGGCAAAAGAATAGAGAGAAACATTTGTCCGCGAGGATGTCAGAGGAATCAGGAAAGCGAGTTTTTTGTGGCCGGTAAAGAACTCCCTTCCAGGAAGAGTCTGAAAGAACCATGTCAACACTGGCAAGTTATGCGGAAAATAATTACGAACATAATCATCGTATATTTCAATTCTCAGACCCCTCCAGACGACCAAGAATTCAGCCCAACCTTCCTCATGGAACTTGGTTGTGTGACGATGCTCTACCTCATCGAAATCTCTCGGATGGCCTTCCGTTGGCATGTGACTAACCCTCACGAGCATGCGGTCTCTTACCGGGTCAGACAGTACCTGGATTCGTTAGAGCTCTATACTCACCGCGAAGTATTACCTCATCGACCCCAAACTGCCTTGGGGAGGCAGATGTGGCATCAGCACTGCTCTCTACCACTTCATCTCTTGCAGGCGTAAGAACACCCTGTGGCCTCAGCGTGCCTTCTATTGGGAGGTCGTCCGCAACTTGGTCACCTGGATAATGAACTCTGGGACGGACGGTCTCATGTGCATTTCCGCGCTCAATAGCTGTTTCAGACTGGATGGCCTCTCCACTGGGACGATCACCCTGTGCACCTAATGGTTCTGTTCTTGATACGGGTCTCTCCAACACTGAGGCTCCAGCACTTAACGCAGGAGCAGTGGCAGATGGCAGAAGCACAGAGCCGGAAGAATGGATATAATTACCAGACCCTTCAGGCGAAGGTGATAATGCCTGGTTTGAGTTCAGCGACTGCGAACGTGGACCAGCCGGAGTTGTTACATGCATGCTTGCAGCACTTAATGACGCGACTGCGACCGGAACCTGATCAAGAGCCTGCGCTGCGGGTGCACTGCTCACCAGTGGAGTGTTTTTGTCAAGAATGTTTACTCCGAGAACGTTTCCGATCTCGAATGAGCATCCGGCCCAACGTGTTGGGTGGGCAGCTGTGCGTGATTGACGCCGGAAAGGGCGGATCCATTCACTTTCCCTCCAACGTCTGACCAGTTCCGTCCGAACATCTGCCCTTGTGTCGTCATTCCAGTCTTCTAGCTTGCCACCCTGGCGAACAAAAAAATGAATGGCGTGGTTGTCCATCGCTCTCGAAAGAGAACTATTTTCGTTATCGTCGGTTTCGCGTAATATCGTTTCACCCACACGGTCTGCCACAGAAAACACCTTCTCGGGCATAGGGCCGATGAAGAACCTGCGATAAGGACAGTGGTCTCCAGGGGGGTGTTGTGTCATCCTCGTGCTTGGACACTACGGAATTGGATCAGGTGCAACCAAGTCTCCAAGGCAGCAAAGACTACCTTTGTCATAAAACGTTATCCCGCGAAGGGGATGCTGCAGACAACAGTTAGATCAGAGCCAGCAACCAAGTCTCCTCTCCACAGTGAATATCGCGCAACGTGGAACTGACATCAAACCCTAACCTCACGCTAGGGGCCCACAAGCCCACGGGGTCTGTTTCGCATGTCTATCTATTAGTTGACGACTCCCAATGGCTATTCGACAGCTAAGTAGAATATGATTACAGGCATTATATAGAGTGGGGATTCTCGGTAAATATTATCCAGTTGAATGTTCAAGTGACAGTGATGAAACTTCATGAGGGCTACTTTTGTTCCGACTCGTCAACCTTGGGACGCTTAGCCTGATGTAAAAGCTTGTGCGATTCCGCAACGTATTCCTCAGCCTCTGATCTCTCAAACCTACCATATTGATTAACACGGCTCATGAGCCAGAAGAAGTGGCTTCCTTACCCTAGTTTTTTGCCCTTGACATGCATGTCCGGTTCACGAAGGGCAAAAGGGTTGACGTCCGTTTTGGGGTTCAGATTGGCCAGGCTATGATTGATGAACCGGTGTGTTGACTCATCGGAGCGGACGGCATATATGACGTCCAGAAGCTTTGCGTCATTCGGCAGCCGCCAGTAATCTTTGGCGATCTCGGGCGCAGGCATGTCGGTCCATTCTGGTAAGTGCCCAGCTTCCATTTCCTGTATGCATCGTGTACTTCGTACAGGGTGTGACGATTTGTCAATATGATTAATAAGTGAGGTACTCACTAAGTCAAGACAGCCTCTTCCTCCAAATAGCCAACGAAGCGATGGCACGTCTTCGGTAATATCAAGTACGAGAAAACTAGGCGATTTCGTATCAGAAAGCCCGAATGACACTAGGATATCAACTTACAGAACAGATTCGAGAATACACCCTGTGCGCCGAGTACCATGGCACGGAACCATATAGAGGGCTTCTTGAGAGCCATAAACGTCCTTCACGTGGTTGCCACATCAGAATCTGATGGAATAACCCGACACAACCCACTCACATCAAGTGCATTCTTTCATTTTCTGCGTCTTCTAGAAGTGTGTGAATCCACCCAGAGTCTCGGCGCTGAGGCCCGCAGTAAGAATTACGCTTTAGCTATTGTACATGATGCTTACCATTGACCTGAGACTCGTCAGATGTCTCAACATAGCCGCAACCATGCCTGGTACGCCAGCTATTGTTTCAAGGAACAGGATCCGCTTTACAACGCCATGAGTCTGGTTCGACCAAATAAGGTTTACGGATTCGTAACATACCATCAACCACGCCTGTTCTGTGAGGACATATCCCCCGCGCCTTAGTTCTTCCAACGACATACTGCCACTGTTCGGGGGTAACGGTTTATGTTTATACCCAGAGGCAAGGTCGAAACCCCATCTGCACGATCGATCAGAACGGCGCGGTAAATCGAGCAGTGTGCAACATACCTGCATAGTTTGACCAGGTTAAGCGCGAGTTTGTCCGAAAACGTTTCGGGTTGGCGGTGAAGAACCTGTAATTGACATGAGGTGTCTCGCAACACGTTTCATCTCACAACTTTCCTCAACAGCTTTGAGTTCCTCTGGGGAATACACAGGGTGGAACAGCACCCAGTCCCCGTGAACAGCAGGAGGAACTGTGGTAGCCTTTTCAGTGTCCTCTATTGCACCCTTCTTTGATAACGCGAGGTCTTCTACCATTGCCCGAAGCATTAGCAAAGGCTATAACCAAGGCCAACACAAACGAACCTGGATGCGGTCCTTCTGAACCAGTGCTTACACTGTCCCTCTGTGCCCTACTCAACGAGTTCTGGTTGACTGTCGCGGTATGGAGCTGTGCTCGGTATGTGAATACGGCATAACGGTTAGGGGCTCTTCTTGACTCGGCGATAGCAGAGCGCAAAATTAATGGATACGGATGACCAACAGAACGGAGGACGGTAGTTTTCAGCAACGCGGACATGATGTAGACGAAGTAAACTGCAATAGACGCCATTCGCCACCGCACAACATAGCCCATTTATGCTGACTGAGCACCCGTCCAATCCCGATATCATCCGAAATGGGCCGTTCCGACAGCCTAATCAGCAGTCGTCTCACAAGCTTGTATAAAGCCTCTATTACGCCGACAACAGTGAGCGGGTCCCAGCTCCCATCACCTATGACGACGGCCACCGGTACTGATAGAGTCGCCGCACTGATGGACCAATCGTGGCGCTCTGCCCTATTAGTCACCAATCAGCATCCATATATGGAAGGTCTACAAGAACAAGATCATTATGTATTTCCTGTCCATAGTAGTGAGTAGTGGCGTAAATACCGACGGTCCGACAACGCAAACTTGTCTCAGATTAGTACGTCTTACAATTGCGATCAGGGATGATATCAATCTGGTAACTTTTTTTATTACCTGCAGCCTCGTGTTGTGGGCCCCTTGCAACATGATAGGGTGGCGATGGGCGCGCGCATGTTGATGATGACGGTATGTTTAGATACCCAGTTTGTCTCGTATCGGGCGCAGTCATGAAAAATGGAACACGCGCATCAAAATGGAAGCTTGTTGACGCACAGGGATGGCGGGACTAGAAGCTGTGGTCCCTGAAGCCAGTTATACCACCAAATAAATATCAGCGACGTTCCGTCATAGCTCACGCATGTGCTACGGGGAGGTGGTCATTACCAGTATTATCTTGAGATTCCATACTGAAAGAAGCTATATAGATTATTAAGGAAAATACATCCACAGCAAGCGGAGTCGTCCACGATCGGCCAAAGTTGCATGCTACGGTCTGGATCTTGAAGTAGGGTCAGTAGCGAAGGTGGGGCAGATATAAATGGAAACAGGAGGCGTCATCTTTGAGGACGTTGGCAACGAGAATATGCTCCGTCGTCCTGCCAAAGAGGGAAGTGGTTAGCGCTCGCGTTCACCTGACGTCTTGTCCTCTATTGGTAAACCTTGGCAACTGGGTTTCGGGTATGATGGAGCGACACAGCGTCGGTGAGAACGTCAGCCCCACCTTCATTATATTGCGGTGGGAGAGAAGGAGAGCAACGGTGGCGCCAGGGAGGTACAAACCAAGCACTTGGGAGTTTATGGGATCGTAAGGCAGGGACAGAGTTCATTACCGGACTTCAAGCACGCAGAGCGCCATATGCAAAATACCGCTAACAGGTACGTTCCTTGCCATATGTTGTTGCGGCACATGATCGTCCCATCAGAGCATGTTGATGTTCGCTTGCCAGACATGGGACTTCGGATGACACAATTGTACAGTGACACTGAAACATGAGATTTTCATGTCCGAGGTAGAGGGTGAAGAGGTCAATACCGAAGGACCATCATCTGACGAGAGGGGTGGGCAGCGCATCGAGGAGGGAGGATCGCGAACGGAAACTTTGCATCCGCTAAGATGGCATGTCAGGCGCAGCAACCAGTACGGCGTTGGATCGTTGTCCGCCGGCGTGCGAAGAGGGAAGATTAATTGCACACGGCAACCTCCTGCGGAGAACATGCTTCCAATGCACGGTGCTTTCAACGAGGCATCGGAGACGCGATGTGATCAAAGGGGGCAACTGCACAGGATCCGTGCACTAATTACGCACGCGATACTGACCAAACATCTGGTGGCCATAGGGCAATGCCTGCAGGGTGTCACCGGGGAGTAAACGTCTTTGTCGATAATGATAGGTAGTGGTGGAAGGGTGCCCGGCATTATTGCATGATCTATAGTGAAGATCTCGCCTCCAGTGCATCTGAGAACGAGAAGTTGCATTTAGTTTGGGTGCACAGGACAGACAATCCAGGTGGCGTAACGGCCAGCCGGCTCCGTTGCATGCTACGTATGACACTGGCGATTGCATGGATAACTTTGGGAACTGTGGACGGTTTCAACGTGTTCATGGATCCCTGGCCGATGTCAGTTGTTGAATAAGGCGGCTCGATAGAGTATAAGGACGACAGACGCTCGTGCTGGGTTGGTCCCCCATGATGTGCATGCACGCGAGGGTGCTCTGATTCGACAAAAACCACATATTAGCTCTGCCATTTCGACAGCCGACAGACTACAGACATATAAAAAGTGAACTCAGTCTTCGCTGGAACATCTCTTCTTCCACACCTTCACGCTGGAAAGCGCAGGCAGATGCGTCACACCGATGGAGAACGTCGGCCAGTACAGTAGCACGCTCGTCTATCCTTCTCCGACCTCACGCACCCACGATGCACCCGATAATCACCCCGTAAACGCGTCCTCTTCGTGGTTGCAAAGCCACAAGCCCTCTGCCGGCTCCCCCGGTGCTCATAATCAGCCCTCCCCCGTCTACCCCGTAGTCGACCGCTCAGCCGATCACGAACACTATGCTTCTCCGCCTGCGTCTGCTTCATATGGATCCATGCACTCCGCTGCTGACCAGTTTTCCAATTATCCCCAGTCCCCTAGCGTTCGTACCACGGACGAGGCACATCCCCTAGCAGGCATGAACCTCCCCCCCCAGGTGTCGGGTAGCATCGGACCCGACCGAGTGACGCGTCGGCAAACGCGCACACACTCGTCGCTTCACCTTGGAATAAGGAGAGACCGCCCCTCGCAAGCAGACGTCCAAAATGGGCAACAAGACGGCGATGCTGAGGTCCGTCCTTAGTGTGGCATGGCATCCGTGGTTATTTGGAATACTGATCACCTCCGCACAGCAACCCACCTACTTCATGTCCCCAGCCAGTGCCATTTCCAGGCCACAGACGCCAACTCATTGCCCCGACTCTGCTCGTTATCCGCAACAGCCGGACCGCAACTCTATGTACTCTATTCCTTCTGGCGGTGGCAATGGCGGCATGCCTCTACAATCACCTCGTTATCTGCCGACCCCTGTTTCGGGTTCACCGTACTCTCCATTCTCCCTCTTCCCTGCACACTCACGTTCCGCCTCATCATATTCAACGTCTAATCCGCGTTCCACTTCCCCGGCACTGAGTGCCGCTTCGGCTTTGACTTCCATATCGTCTTCCAATTCTACACCTAATACACAAACATTTGCGGGATACCCGCTTCCATCGCCTCCGGTTGGACCCGTCGCACAACGGGCGAAACAACGCAAGCAACGTCTCTTTAACGTGGATCGCAAGGCTATATGTGTGTACCATCAAGAAAACCCGAACGCAAGACAGGAAGATATTGCCGCTCGTTATGGCGTAGAGCGTAGTACCATTAGCAAGATCCTAAAACACAAGACAAAATGGATGAACGTCCCAGAGGACGACGACATGCGTGTCGCTAAACACCGGTGAGCCGGGCATTGACCTCCGTCTGCATTGCCGCCTTGATTAACTCCCCCCCCCCCCCCCCCCCCCTTCCCCTTCAGGCCATCAAAGTTCCCTGAGGTCGAGGAAGAGCTAGTGAATTGGCTCGTCCAAATGAAGCAACAGAACACCCTGCTCACGGATGCGCTCATCCGCAACAAGGCCAAAGAGACCGCCAGAAATTTGCAGATCCCCGAAGAGAGATTCAAGGCTAGTTCCGGATGGGTGGAAAATTTCAAGCATCGCCATAACATTCGGAAAGGCGTATGGCTGGGCTACAGCAAGGTTCTTCACCCAACTCGCGGTATCGGCGCCACCCATCTCAGGAAGGGCAGTAACGAGAATGCCTTATCTCCCCTCAATCCTGCGTTCGAGTCACGGTCAGAAACATTGGCTCGCCGTGAGTCTACGAACACGGGGGACGAGGATGATATGGAATCCGAAGATGACCAGGATCTCGACGCTCCGCAAAGCCATCAACCTGTTCCAGGTTCCTCCCACTCTCAGCAAGCAGAGGCATCGGCTTCCCATCACCCTCTTCCCCCTATTTGGACCATGCATCACGAACCGCTTTCATCGAACGAAACGCCGATCTCCGCCTCTGGGTCACAGCCATGCGTCGTTCCCCAACACCCGTTCTCATCACACGAAGATCAGCACCCGGACGCTGTGGTCACAAACGTGCATCAGAATCCACTTCCATTGCCTGCACAGCAACATATGCCAGTGTCACAGTCGCAGCAGGATGTCCAATTATCTAGTCATGGGGATGCGCCTACGACATACCCCGCGCCAGTCGTTGTATACCAAATAGCACCCATCACCTCTTCGGGAAGTACTATTCCCGATATTACGGAGGCAGAAGAAGCGATCAACAAGGTTATCCACTTTGTGGACTCGCAGTCCCCTGGCATCCTTAACCAGGATGAAAGAGATATGCTTACACAAATCAAGAATGCGCTCTTCCAGGCGGCGAGCGGCGTTCCGTACGTGCGGGAACGCAGATGAAGGCGTCTTTACCGCGATCGGATATTTCGCTTGGTCCCCCCACGAGACTTCGTTTGGTTAGCATCCTCTGCGAGCGGCAGTGATTTTTACAACACACGAAAAAAAAAAGGTTTCCACGTGATCCTACTGTATCATTTCTACGATTCCTCTGGTAACGTCTGTTTTACGTCGTCTCACTTGCATATGCAATCCGCGCACTCTTGCATGATGATCGCTTTTTTTTTTCTTTCACTATCCCAGCATCCAATATCACATTAGCATGAGACGTGATCCTCACTTTTTTTTTTTTTTTTGCATTCCCCCCATGATAATCCTTCTACGTAGCTACTACCTACCACTCAATTTTATCATCGCCCGATATCCTATAGTTGTTCCCATGTTCGTTTTGTTTGTGACTTGCACACAGCATCACTCGTCACTCATGGACCTTCCTTTCCACCGGTGTACGCACTACCTACGAACCCACACTCGAGTCGCAGCTGTCTCATATCCGTTTAGTACTTTAATTCATTCTGAGCACAGGCCCCCCGGGTGAGGTGCTCCCGAATAACATAGGGTTACATGGAGGATACACAGACGGGCAAGACTTCTTCCTGCCACGCTCGGTATGGAGTGGATCGTGGGTAGATACAGATCAGGATATAGATAAGCGGGGATCTGCCCGCCTGCTGCCGGATGAAGGTTTTTTTCTTCTCTCTGGACAGGCAAGCGGACCGTTCGGTGGTAGGGTCGGTTGAGAGCACGAGGGCAGTCCCTGCATGACGCTAATCCGGGACAATACCCACGTCAGCGAACGGGTGACTATCTGCCAGGGGATTGCTTCAGAATCGGTGAAATGAATGAACTTTATGTTGTGGTGTGGACGAAACGATTACGCAAAGGCAGTGCGATCAATGCTTCGCGTTCTTGGATCCTTTGGAAGAATCCCTGTGGCAAAATATAAATTACAACAAGAACGGATAGATTCCAAAACGTGTAAGGCTTGTTTTGTGTAGCTGTGTACACGGAAGAGGAGAAGAAAAAGGAAACAAACATACGGTTGTTGTTGTTGTTGTTGTTGTTCCGCAGCGGTGCTTTTCATGATAGTAAGTTTTCCAGAAGATGCAGCAGTAGCCATCTGCTGTTCAATCGATCGAGTGTGTTTGGCTGTGAGGGCCTGCGCAGAGAGACGTTCAATACATTCGGCACGTTCATTAACGATGATGATGATAGCAACTACGATCGTTATGTCCAAATCCTTCGGGCTCACCTTTCGGGCTGCTGCTTCTTTGACAAGGGCTGGTTTTTTGGGTGGTTGTATTCGCCTTCCTTTCTTTGGTTGCGATGGTTTTGATGGTTTTCTGGATGACGAGGCTTTGCTTTGCAGCCCCTTCGTCTTGCCTTGTACCATGTCTGCCTAGTGTCCCCAGGCAGGCACGATGATGGAAGGCTGGCAATACGGGCTATTACTAAATTTGGAAAATAAATTGCCGACGGTAATCGGGACTTTCCGGTGTCCGTGGGAACTTTGACTGGCTATGTGGGTCGGCGGTTTCTGGCATCACCGGAGGTTGTGTTGCTTGATGTTGGCCAAAGCTCAGCTGTTGCGCGTCCAGCGTTCAGCCTGTCGTCCAGAGCAAGGTAGGTGTCGAACTGGTGTTTCGTGTATGACAATTCCTTCTCAGCAGGTTGTCTTTCCGTAGCGTGCTCTGCATGACCTCGTTACTCTACCTGGTCAAAAACCAGTCATCTCATATGGTCCTCCTGGCTACAGCGCCGTGAGTGGCCATGTCGTCACAGTCTTTGGCTGCACCTGGTTTTCTCGGAAGATACCTTGTGTCCAAGCTCGGTGCGCCGCAATCAGCAACTATGCCCCTCAATTCGTCCGACTCACTTACGCCCTTCCTCTTGTGACAGCACGGATGGGTACCCAAGTTGTCGTTCCATATCGTGATGAGGACGAAAAGCGGCACTTAAAGCCGATGGGTGATTTGGGACAGATTGTCTCCATGGTACCAACTCATTTTGCGAATGGGAGGTCCACTAATTTGTTTGTTTGTTGTGCCTCTCCCCCTCTCTATCTGTAGGAATGGGATATCCGGAATGAAGGGCAGATAGCGGAGTGCCTTAGGCATTCTGACATCGTCTACAACCTTGTCGGACGTGATTATGAGACAAAGTAATGTTTTTTCTTCATCTTCTTGGTTGTCAAGTCACCCATGGAACCGTTTCATCTTGTTCGGATCACAGGAACTTTAAGTTCGCGGATGTCCATGTGACTGGTGCGGAGAGAATAGCGAAGGTTGCCTGCCGATCATGGCGTCCAGCGCCTTGTTCATGTTTCCCACCTGAATGCTTCTGCGAACGTCAACTTCTGAATACTATCGCACTAAAGCAGAGGGCGAAGAACGGGTGAGAAGTGTGTTCCCCAACGTCACCGTAGTCAGGCCAGCGACCATGTTCGGCTACGAGGACAAGCTGTTGAACAATATGGCTAGTGAGTGTCCCATGACTCGGTGCGCGCGTCCCGGGTTTTAAACCTTGTCCGTAGCCTGGCCCATTTGGTGGAAGCTGAACTTCGGAGAGACGAAAATAAGACCGGTACACGTAAGAGTTGACTTCATTTGTCAGTCAAGCTTGATAATGAAGCCATTTTGGATGTTATTTGTAGGTTATTGATGTCGCACAAGCGTTGGCGAATCTGATGTCGACTCCGCAACTCACGCGCACAGTGTCGCTACCTGGGCCGAGTACGCTGACTTACGAGTATTTGTTGGAGCTTGTCGCGTCCGTGACGTACCGAGCACCTTCGCGTGCGCCTGTTGTTCCGAAGCCGATCGCGTTAGCGGTTGCCAGGGCAGCACAAATGGCATGGTGGCCGCTCATCAACCCCGATGAAGTGGAGAGGAGGTTCATCGATGACGCGAATGTTCCGGGCGATTGGAACGTGGTTGGCGTGTGTCCCGACGAGGTGGAGAATCACGCTATCACCTACCTTCGAAGATATCGACTCGCGTACGTATACTTTGTTGACGGGGATTCGTCCTGTGTTCTTTTTTTGTTGTCTGACATGCCAATTGGAATTGTTTGATGATACAGAAAAGATTACCCTCGCCCGGTACTATTCCCCGCGCGGCCAACTTAGGTGAGTCATCTCCGATGGGTGCGGTCGCGTGTTGAACATGTGGAGATGATGTGTTGATATGTCATCAGAGAGCGATACCACGTTGATGGGTACTTGTTTATGCCTGTCAGTAGATGTTGGCAATTTGTTTGTTATTATATGGAATTGGACCAAGGCTAGATAGGACTTGGGAGATGAATTCTACTCCCAAAGGGGGAGGGGGACATGGAACGTTCAAAACCCGCTCAGGATGTGGCAAATGAAAACCACGGGGTGCAAGGCGGAAGGTTTTAATTATTACTATAGCGCGTGATGAGATAAGACATGTGTGCGAAGATGAATGACCCATCGACTATTGCGGAGCGGTGGGTGGTGGCTGACGGAGCGGTGAGGGGAGGGGGGGAAAAGGAACAGGGCAGCTTAGCGTGAGAGTGTGAATGAGCGGAGTGGAAGCGGTCACAAGGACATGAAAAGCTCTACTTTATGGACTTAAAATCCAGGGGGGACAACCGCCTTTTGACCAGACTGCTGGGTGGACCCTGGGGGTGGTGGATAGGGATGATCCGGCCATCATCTGAGGGAAGGGTGTCAGTTACAGGGAATTTGTAGTTGGGAGAATGGAAATGGACGAACGTGTTGTGCGCCCTGCTGCTGGGCCATGATTTCTTTCTCCTGGGCGACGATCTTTGCCTCGTCTTCGAGGGAGAGGGCGAGGGGCAGTCCGACGAGGAGTGCAGACGTGGTGACGATCCAGACGACGTTGCCGAGCACCTTGCCTGTATTTTTTACGAACGAGGCGGTTTTGGACGCCTTTGAGGCGATGTTGTGTCTGGTTGTGGGGGGTATGATATCGACGAGGGCGGTGAGACGGTCATAGAAGGACTCGTCTGCAGAGAGCTCTGAGGATATGGACGACAGAGACTCCGTCGAGGACGTGCGCGACGACGACGGCGAGGCGTAGGGCGAGGCGTGGCCCTCCTTGTCTTCGACGATTTCGACTTTGACCATCGTTTGAGTTTGCAAAATTATGGGTGCGGTGCCGAAATGACGACTCAATATGGCCGAGTTGAAACTCCGCCGGGTGTGTCTATGCTGTCAAACTCTGACTGGAAAATCCGATGGCGCACAGACGCTGATCTTATAAGGGGAACTCAATGGAAGCACACTCCAGCACAGATCACCACCACCACCACCACCACCCTCTGTGAACTCGCCATGGACTCGTCCCACTCGTTCTCGCAACCAGGTAACCGACCATAGTGTGATCAGATCTCTGCGACTGTCTCTCACCTGCCCATCCGACCCAGGACTCGTCCTGCCAACCCCGTCCTTGCAGAACCAGATCCATGAGCTCGCAAAGTCCCTTCCTCCCCCCAGGAAACAAAACATTGCCTGTGATGCCTGCAGGTCGGTCCCAATCTACTCGCCCCGTCGTCCGTCCCCTTGACCCCCAGCAGAGCTAGAAAGGTCAAGTGCTGCAAGCTGCCCGGCCAGGACAAGGTGTGTAACTGGGTCTCCGTCTGTGCCGCCTCCGAATTCTCAGCTTCTCCTTGCTAGTGTCAAGTCAGTCGCTTCCATGCTTAATCTACTTTCGTCTCATTTCTTGTAATCAGCATTGTATGTCAAAGAATTATCCGTGCACGTTCGTATTTCTGCTTCTCTCTCCCACGATATATCCCGCATCTGTCCATTCCATAGGCATTACGTCCAGCAGGCAACCAGCGAGAAGAAGCGCAACGGCGCAGCTCGCAGACCAAGAGGTCTTTCCACTAGCTCAAGGTAGGACAGTGCGTTCACTGTTCGCCTCGTGCCGTCGCTCATGCTAGGCGCCCCTTTCCAATATATACACGCACACACACTCGTCCATCCACTCCGTAGTAATTCTTCCGCTTCTCCTGGGTACGCCATTCAATTGACCCGTTTTGTAGACCCTGAACGTGTCCAACTTAGCCATTCCCCCGTCGAAAACGGTATATTCCCGTGGTCCAAGTCGACGTGGAGTATCCCGTGGGGACCCCGCATCAGTAATCATGCGGCACACCTCTTCCAGACTAGCACCCCAAATTTATTATATCACCTCTTTGCCCCACCTGACTACGGCACCCTGTCCGTCTGCCTTATTTCCCCATTCCCCTCTCTGTCTTAACCGTTTTCATAGCGAACCCATCTTCACGTTTAATCCTCAAAGGTCACGTTCCTCCGCATATGCCGCTTGGGGCGACCAAGCCATCAAGCTTGAGGACGAAGCCTTCAGAGCAGAGTGCGTGCATTGCGTTCTAGTCGTCCGTGATTACATAAACCACCATCCAAGTCGTGACCATGCACTTCTGTTAACGCCTATACCAAATCCGGGGTCTTCTTTACTCGCGCTACGCACCCCTGTTTGCATTCCCTCTTCACTGCCTTTTTCATTTGTCTTATCGAACAAGTTTAATATTATTTTTATATTATTATCGTATTTCCCTTCTTGTCGATAACGCGGCTCCCCTTTGCAGACGACGCTGACGCCCCTCCTGACTCTGACAGATTTGCGCTAGATCTGGTCGAGGTCTACTTCCAAATCGTCCATACACGTCTTCCCCTCCTCGACCCTACTCAGTTCCGGTCTCGGCTCAATTTCCACACCGGCAGCCCGCGTCTCATCCTGACCAACAAACAGGAAGACCCTCTGCACCCCGCGCTCATCGCCACTGTTCTGGCTTGGGGCGCCAAGTTTTCTGAACATCCCCTTTTGGCAGCGGACAGGAATCAGAACAAGGGTCAGAGTCTCCTTGCCAAGGCGTTGATAGATCGATGTAGAGAACTCGCCGAGTCCACGAAAGTCCATCGCATTCCTCATGAGGACCACGTGGTCATTGCGCTCTTGATCGAACCATTACAATGTCGTGAGTATCTCGTTGGCTGCACCCTCCTTCTCGGCCGATGATGACCCAACGTGCTCTTTATTTAGAGGATCCGACTGCAGAACCTGGTACATGTGCGCCGTCACACGTTTTTAACACCGCGATTAACTGTTGGTGCCGATTGCAGGTTTTCATGGCTTCTGGTTAAACTGCGCAATCCGAAATCTCTTGGGGCTCGGGGTCTGTCATCACTCAGATCAGTCGCTTGAGGCGATACACTCATATCCGCATTTATACATTTTTAGATCAACCACAAGTCAACTATGATTGAATACAAGGACCGAGACACCCGCGGCAAGATTATATTTGCTTGGTGGATGGCCTGCTTGTGCGACGCTTTCTCAGCCCTTTATTACCGCCGAAAACCTATGCTGTAAGTCCTGAGCGGATCAAATGGGCCAGAAATGTTAATCATTTAACGCCACTGCTACCGGCATCCAGTGACGACGACGACTACGATATCGATTTTTACACCGCAACGCCAGACGGCAGCCCTGATTCATCGAAGTCATCTAGTCGTGAACAGCTTGAGGTGCGGCGTTTGGTTTTGTATTGGTCGGGGCCCTTTAAATTAATGATGCTCTTGTCAGTTTTTGGTTAGCAAGTTTCCTGATTCCGTAGTTTTGCTACTCTCTCATTTTTTCATAAGGGGTACTATGCTGCCGCACATGCGCTGGCACGAATATCGCGTCAGATCGCTCGGCAGCTGTGGCGGCCGCAGACAGACGCTGAGGGTATACCTCTTGAAGTGGTCGAGCAGGACTTGAGTGATCTTGTCACGTGGAGAGATAAGCATCTTTCCAAAGTCGGCGTTCCCGCAAGTTTGGTATCCGGGTGGGACTTTCTCACTGCGGTCTCCGCATGTGCGTAGTTTCATTACATGTCCGTGTTTTCGGGCTGACGTGTGTGGACGGCAACGATAGGCGCGAGCGATGCGCAGTACCACGTCATGTGGATTCTTCTGTTCAATGCTTTGGACGAGCATGATGTACAAGAGCACGAACCCGTTTCTCCAGGCGTGAGCAGTCGGGTCGAAAGTGTGAAGCAAAAGATATATGAGGAGGCACTACAGGCATCGTTACGGGTTTCTGCGCTGGTGCGTTCATCCATTCTCTGGCAGTATCACGCTGTTAACATGTAGACAGGCGGGCGTTTTGACCGCCAACGGGTATCTAGTGCGTCACCTCACACCCGTGGGTCACTTCTCAATCTGACAAGCTTTGCAGAAACTGGATACTGCCGTCATGCACGTCAGTATCATCCGAGCTGGTATGCTTCTTGCTCGGCTGGGACGTCCAGAGGCGCAGAACTGTATCGAGGGTCTGCGTCAATATAGTTACGCCTATGAAGAGACGTGGGACCAGGCTGACCAAATCGAGCGCACTTACAAGCAGGCGGCAATCGACGGTCCGAATCTCCAGCGTATGGCTAGTGTGGTTCCGCGCGCGTCACCACACCGTGTGCATTCTGATTTGAAACCAAATGGACACCACCATCTCGGGAGCGGTGCGCGTTAGTTTCATTGTTGACTATGCAAGGTGTGCGCACAGCTATGGTTAATGTAAAACCGGTGTACTGATTGATTGAATTTCTGCAGTTTTCAGTTCTTCATCTCATGCAGCATTATTTTCTTCACTTTTGTTTGTTGCGATACACTAACCTCCTACGGTACATATTATTATCCGGATGTATTTCCCTTTCGTTCTTCCCACGAACACTCCCTCTGATACCCTGCTACTGGCAGTGCTTTTCCGTCCACAGTGCTATTGTACGCCCCGTTACCGCTTCGCAACTTGTTATGTTCACTGTACCCTCTTCTACTTTGTTGTAAATTGTTCTCACTGCTCTGCAAGGTACATTACGTGACGGAGGTCCGTTTCCAGTAGAAGACGTAATTCGGATGGTGTTCCGTTTCTACCGTTATCCCAATGCAACGCTCTTAACAACCTTGGAAATACCCGACTTCTCGCCCTCGTACTTGGATATATCTCCAATACCACCTTTATAAACAGCTCTCTGTGAGGACACCTTTTTCTTCGCTTTTTCGTATTTTTGTCGTTTCTTGACGCGCGGATTCCGGACGCTCTTGGGCCGATTGGGAGTGAGTCCCTTGTTCTTTAAGATAGCGCGAGATATCGACCTGGGACCTGACGATTTGTCGTCTTCGAGTTCTGGCCTGTGTAAACGTCATAATCAGAAATTCTCGTCCGATGGCGGAGAATCGATTTGAAAAAAAAAAAAAAAAAAACAAAAAAATTCGTCGTACCTGGACACGGCGACCGCAGCTTCATAATCGGCTTTCTTTTTCGCCTTCTTGTTGGCAACAGCCGATTTGACAAGATCATAATACCCCAAGCCATCATCATGATGACTCTCCTGAACGCCATCGTCGCCACCTTCCATTCCGCGCCTTCGCTTCTTTGATTTGTGGCTCATAGCAGAAGTAATATCAGAAGGAGCCCCATTAGGGCTCCCGAGTTCAGGGTCGACATCATCCAAATCGTCCCCACCCGTGCCGAGTTTCTTGTCCTTTTGTCTCTCCTTTTCCAGCTTGGTCTCACGTGCTTTTTTGCGTTCCCGATACGGAATGTCGTCGTCACCGCCCAGAGCGTTGGTGCGCGCGTTTTGCCGACGAGCGCTGGAAGATTCGATACGCGATACGTGGAACCGCAGAGATTTCTTGCGTGCTTGTTTGTCGTGCGCATCGGCGTGAGAGAGAGCGGTAACTTCGCCATAGGGATCGACGACGGTATCGGAGGTATCGACGGGAATCGCAGCACCCTTGTTTTTGGATTTTGATTTCTTGGCAGGACGTGAAGTCGGGCTCGACGAGATCGAAGACGGGTACGGAGGGTCCGTTTACGGCTGTTTTGCGTTTTTTCTTTGGCGGCTTTCCGTCGACGGAGGACGACGAATGACGGGACGGAAGCTTTTCTCCTTGGCGGCAGAAGACTTGGAAGCCTTTTTCGATACGCTGCGCTTGGGTGAGGAGGGGGGTGGTGAAGACATTTCCGCATCTTTTATGAGTTCGGCGAGCTCATCCGATTCCAATCCTCGCTTCATGATGCGATCCCATAGTGTCTCGCCTTTACCCTCCTCAGTCTCAGCCTCGAGTTCAAGCCCAAGGTCAAGGTCGTCCATCTCGTCCTCTTCTTCATCCTCGTCTGTCATGTCTTGATGGACACCAATATTCTCGAGCATGTTAATTGACTGCTTGAGCGTGAGTAGGCGCTTGAGAATGGGATGGCTTCGTAAAAGTTGTGGCCGTGAAGCGTACTTCTCCGACGCGCGCATGTGCAAGTAGAACGCGAGCGTCGTCATGTATGTTAGCAATGCTTCTGTATTTAATGTGAAAACGGTGAATAGGAATGCGACTGCGGAGGGCCTACGGTAATACATGTGCTGCAACCCGAGTTCCATTGCGTTGGTTTCAGGACCTTTCAGGCTAGTCATCTTTAGAATTCTGGATATGCAGATGGCACGAGTACTCACGCTTCTATGCGGGCTTCTGTTTCTGTAAGGCTCTGTGCAGTGTCGTCCCAGTCCCTTGCGAGTGCGAGGGTTTCTGGGTTTTCCCGTTCAAGGAAACGGAGTAATGATTGCTTGTCTTTTGGGACTTCCTTGATAATAGGAGCTCCCACGTCTAGTGCATCCCTGCCAGTAATCTGTGAGAGAATCGTGATAATGAGACAAATGGAAAGTACCCTGTTTCCTCTGGCTGGACGTCTCCCTCAATGGCCTCTCCGAGACCAAAGTCCTCATCTGCGAGTCCTTCGCGTGCCTTGGTTTGCAACCTCCGTGCCTCCTGTTCCTCCATTTCCTGAGCCTCCTCGTCATCCGAGCCTATTTCTGCGGCATTCGACGAGTAATAAGCACGTTTTCCGTGACCCCATGTCTCCTCCTCTTCCTCCACCGGTGACGGGGAAGAGTCTTTCTTTGCCTTCTTGGACTTGGACTTTGACGACTTTTGCTTCTTTGGGGGGACCTTTTCATCCTCCATGTCTACGTCAGAATCATCTTCTAAACCGTCTGCCTCTCCACCAGCTTCATCTCCATCGTCGTCTGAAATGCCGTGCAGTGCAAATACTTCTTCCTCTCCAAAATCATCCTCATCCCCTTCACTTCCTTGGTCCAACGTAATTTTATCTCTTGACTCATGGACTGGTTACCACATGTGCATAGGAAAAAAAACGTGAGGATTATGATGATGCCGGTGCAGCAGAATGAGATATGCATTGCCAGGCAAGATGGGAAACGTACACTGGTCTTCCTCATCAAGTTCAACGTCGGAGCGTTTGTTCCACCGTTTTATTTTGCTGTCTTTCCTGTCCACGGGTCGTGGTTTTGCACCTGCCTTTGACTTGCTGGACGGTCGTCGACGTCCCATGGTCAGTCGTAAGTCGGTGCCTCAGGGGAACGTTTTGCAAGTTTTCTTATAGATTACGTAAACAGAAGTCATTCCAAGTCGACTGCCTGCGGCAAGCAGGTCATCGGACGTATGGCCACAATCGACAAAGGCAAGCAAAGGGCGACGGAGGACCCTATAGAAGTTCGTGTTGACCACAGCGACGAGGATTCAGAGACATCAAGCGCGGTATCTGACACCGACTCGGAATCTGAACCAGAGGAAATTACTCAAGAATATCTAAATTCACTGCTAGAGAAGGCGAAACAAAATGCGCGCGAGGAGGCAAGGTTGGCCAAAATGTTGCAGGAAGAGAAGTGGCATGAACAGGACGTCATTAAAATTCAGGGAGAGGAGGAGCAGCGGTACGTGCTCAAGACACCAGCCCTCCGCGTGTGACATGCTTCATCTACAGTCCACAGGCCTTTACCACCGTTAGATCCCGGAAAACTGCCCCCTGCATACTTCGAATTTGGCGAAGGTCGGCATGAAGCACCTTCGACAGTGCGCGATCCAGACGTTGCGCAAACCGAAGCGGCAAGTGCTGCTGCCGCCGTGCCTGCACCCCCTCCGGAACCAAAATCTGCTGGACTCACAAAACGACAAATGAAAGCTGTACGTGATGCTATCTCTTTCACGAACGAACATCTGTTTATACATACATGTACTTTTAGGCAAAACAAAAGACGGCGGGACCTGATTGGTTTGGTTTACCGGCACCCGCAGAGGCGGACTTGCCACGGCTGTATCGTGAAGTTGAAGCCCTCAGACTACGGAATCAGCTTGATCCTAAGCGGTTCTACCGCAAGGATGAGGGTGAAGGCAAGGGTATCAAAGGCTTGCCGAAACACTTTGCAGTAAGTGTTTGAGTTTGACTAACAGTCGATGACACCCCTGAGAATGTGGCAAAGATCGGCACCATCGTGGCTACTACAACACCATTTGGGACTGCAAGCTCAGACAACCTCCGGAGGGCAGAGAGGAAGCGCACATTGGTGGACGAGTTGGTGGATGACGCTGAGGCTCGACGGTATGCCAAGAAGAAATTCGGCGAGCTACAGGACGTTAGAGGCGCGGCGGGCAGAAATACCCTGCGTCAAAAAAGAGCACTGCGACAGCGGAAATGGTAGGAAGCCAGGTAACACATTGCTGCGTGTGTCATATCATATGCATATCTGTGTGTACATAACATGTGCGCATCTTTCGTTGCTGCATACTATACTGCACCCAAGTCGTGCCATGTCAGGTAAGAACATTATGCCCGTGCTGCCTCGATCCGCTTCCTTGCAACCTGTCTCCGGTTCAGTGACGAGAGAGAAGGTGCCACAGCGTCCTTGTCCTTGCTTCTCTCAACCTCCTCTTCCGACACGCTGAGGATAATCTCGACGTGGCAAGGGTGACCCTGGTAAGGGTTGATACGACCGTGGGCACGGTACGTGCGACGGCGAGTTTTCTATGGTACAAATGTCATGCTCGGAATCTTGCAAATTGGAGACTAATACATACGGGTGCTTGCTGGACGACGATGTTCTTGATAGTGAGATCCTCGAGTTCCAAGCTCTTCGCGTCGGCATTGGACTCTGCATTCTTGAGGAGACGAGTGATGAATTTAACAGATTTCTCAGGCCAACGTCCTGTTTTCTTGTGAAACACGGTACAATGGAAATCTTTCGTGCTACACACCCTGAGTTGTCTTGAATTGTTTTGCTTGTGCTGTCCGACCAACACCACCCGAGAATCGACGGAAAGGAATGGTTTGATTGTGTTCGAGGACGTTGCCGAGGTAAGTATAGGCCTTTGTCAACCTCATGCCTGGAATTTCATGTTGAGGGTCTAGCATTATGACAACGTTTCGCTCCACACGTACCGGTCAGAACGGCAGCGACCTCCCGCATGTTCTTGAAGTGGGTGCGGAGGTACTCGCCCCGGGCGCGGGCGGCTGCAAAAGTGTTAATGTCAGATTGGGGCACATACTCATCGCCTCTGAACGCACTCTTTTCGGGGTTCGTAGCGAGTGCGGCGGCAGCGTAGCGAACTGCATAAGTGTCAATTAGAATACGAGTTCCATGGCGAGCTCGACGTACCCATTCTTGAGGGGAGTCTTGGGTGTCCGTTGTCGGTGTGATCGACCAGAAAGTGGGTTTGTGGCTTGAACCTTGTTTGTACAGTACATCGGAGGATGCCGGTTGACTAAGCATATTAAAAGGGGAATACCCCTGTTCAGTAGCCATGTGTTAAAGTGGATTACCTAATCTAAGCTACTCAGAGTCTCATACCCCCACATACGTCGTAAGGACAAGTCTAGCGTCACGCCTGCTTGATGCCAACGAATAGTGACCATGAACAATCAGCAACAGCCCAGCCCAGCAAGATCTCCACGTCCTCTCAATCGACCTTTGCGTCTCAGGATGTAGATAGCATGCTCAAGACACCTGGCAACCAGGTGCGCACTGCGGAACGTCTTCCCAACTGCACACTCTGAAGTAGGTTGTCCATGAAGTTGGAAACGCTCACCGCTTTGCTGGAGAGGGAGAACCGCATTAAGGAAGGAGCTGAAAAGTTCCTGAAGCTTCCCATCACTGTGAGACCACCTGTTGCAACCAAGGCACATCATTGAATAGTATGTCACTTGAAGGACCTGATGCGAATGCAAGTAGAGTCGGAACTGGAACTGGCTACCAGCGAGATCGAGTTGCTCACGAAGAGGATCGAACAAGGTGAATGTCACACCATTCTCATACATATCGCGGCGCAACTCACATGCCAACCTAATCATGGAGAAACATCGAGGCGCAAGAAACATGCCGCCGGGCCTGCTGCGAAACGCAAATTCGCAGGACAAGCACCACCGTCCACTCCACGACCCAGAGCAGACAGTAGTGATAAAGATAAAGGTGCGTATTCTCGAATGCGGCCCACATGGCTGTTAATTCGGTTATGCCTCCAGACGATTTCAGGACTGTTTTGAGCCAGGCAAATTCCCTATCTCAAATCGCTTGCATCGATGCCGCCATCCGTGTCATCCCCTTCTTCGCCTTCTTCCACGAGTAGCTCCTCGCAAGCAAGTTCCGAGCAAGATCGAACGCGCGTCGATATAATGAACAAATTGGTCAGCCTATTCCAGCGCAACTTGCGTGTTCGTTACGAGATTACAACGACAGCTCTCGTTCAGGCGTAAGGCCGTTTGGCACGCAGATTTACGTATGGCAGAGATACTAATGTGGATTGCAGTGCCATACCGTCACTTGCGGATAGTCGCTCAAAACAATGTCGTGCAGCGGCGTATCGCTTGATACGCTTCTCGCTTGTCGACTTTACTTCAATTAAAGAGCTACGCCGACAGCCACTGGACTGGTTTATAGTAAAGTGCTACCTTCATTCATATCTAGCAGGGACGTGTGTTTATTTTTGGCAGGTCCCTTGCACGCGATAACAACTTTTCGGTTGAGAGAGAACAAGTTATTAAACTTATCCGCGCGATAGTTGATATCGCCGCTGAACAGCGAGATACACGTGCACTAGGTTTTATATCTATTCCGCTATCTGAGCCTGTTATGCGGGCATTTATCGCTGTGGCCTGATCATGCAGAAGATCCCTTCAAATCCATTTGCGTGCAAACACTTGCAGAAATGAGTATGTGCATAATTGCAGTCCTTCTTTATCTTTTCCGAATTCGAGGGTTGTAGGTCTACTCGATCTTGACCTCGTCGCTCGGGCCGGTGGTATCCGGTTCCTGGTCCATGCGTTGGGTGAGGGTCCTGTCGAGTTAGGTCCCCTCCTTGCTACCACGTTTCTCCACATTATGGATTCCCCACGAACCCGGGCCTACATGCGCCTAGGCATCGACGTCGAGGTACGCCGTTCATGTGACATCTATCGTTCTCACGTTGATTGATGTCTTACAGATCGCACTTTCAGCAGTGACGGACGCCTATGGCCGTGGTGCTGACCATGCTGATCGTATGAGACGCTGCACGACAGTGATTCAGTTGATGCTGCGAACATGGAGCGGTGTGTATACGGTAAATTTTCTGTGGTAACCATCTCTGACTTGCAGATAGGCTTGATGTATTTCTGCTATGGAAGATCAGAGAGCAATCAAATCCATAGTTGACACTCTCAGGATACCCTCTCTTGACACAAGAGTAAACTACACGTTTTCTAGGGATTTCACCGTGATACTTACCGTATCTCATCAGGAAATTGTTCTCGATATGTTTTTTAATTTGTTGAATATCAAGCCTCCAGAATGGTACAAGACGTTCATTGATGGACGCCGTCTGACGAGTGAGTTTACCTCTATATAATATTCCAAAATTCATGTACATAATATTTTGCAGTGTACCGAAAAACCCGAAATTTCCTGCAACCTTCAGGCGAACGTAAAGCTCAACAGCGAGGGCACGAAGCACTGAAGCTGACTGACCAGTACATCGCGCTGCTCGTCCTGGTATTTACCAATGCCGGTTTATTGGATGTGCGCAGATTGTTCTTGAACCGAGGCTGTACTGAAATTATTATAGGCGTTGACGACGATGCTCGAGGAGCGCACGACAGGCTCCACTCTTACCCGGAAAGCCACCCTACTCATGGCCGAAGTCATGCAAATGGCTAACCGGGTGTTACCACTGAACATGGCAGCTAATATTCAGGTTTGGTTTTGGTTTATCGATCCGCCAAAGATTCATTTAATCATGAACGGTTCAGGCTATACCACAAGTTTTTGATCTTGCCGCTGACTATACGAGGGGGGAGCACAGGATTATCGGTACCTCGGCCATAACCGCAATAGATAGCTTCAACCGTAATCATGCAAGGCTACATCCTAGTTGCAGGAGTGCCAGGCCGAGGTAGGGTTGGTGTGAGATGATATGACTATACTGACCTTATTCCGCAGGGCTAATTCTGCTGAAGACGCTGTGCGTCGAGGGCAACGTCAAGTTGAACAAAACAAGATCAAACTTGGCATGCAAATGGACGACAAAATGTTCCAGGCATGCGTACTTGAAACCCAGGTAACTGTCGCTGAAATAACTATTATGTCGCGGAGTAAACAAAAACGTATCTTAGATCATGATCACAAAGGACAGTACCAAGTGGGGCTTCGATCCACTGCAGGAACTCATTGAGGGTCCGTTTTTAAATCCAAAGAGGCTCGAGGAGGCGATTAAAGTTGGGAGATTCATGCGTCGGCTGATGGCTTTCTTTCATCCGTTCTCGCACCAATTCTCTGATATGCCTCGAAAACAGGTAGGTCTTCATGCCCTCTTAGCGTGTTTACTCTCATCTTTCTCTAGCAAAATTTGCGGTGGGTACGCCTAGGTTGTTCTCTCCTAACGACCCTTCTTGCAAGTCCGGATGGCGTCCGCTTTTTGTTGTACGAGGATGATTTTCTCAAGCAAATCATCAAGAGTTTCGCACAGCTAGATCCTGTGAGGGTTTTTGGAATACCTTTTCGAAGGATTCCTTTTGAATAAATTGATAGTTCAATGGCACCCCGGAGTCGGACCCGATATTCTCGAAGCAGCGGATGACGGAGACCCTCACGTACGGGATACTTTGATATGTTGGGTACGCTGAGCAAGCATCCGGAGGGGATCGAGTAAGCATATTCTTGCATCTGTCCATAGCAACCTTCTTAATTTCTTTTAAAGGCTTATGGAGAAGTCAAAAATATTTACGGCTTTTTACCATCTCAGCGAACTTCGGAATCGAGAGGATCTTATCACCGCAGTCATTACGAACTTGGACTATTCTATGTAAGTCTCATCAATGACGCCCTACCATCCTTCTTTTCACCGTGTTTAGTGATGGGCACCCACGTGTTGTACTATCGAAGGCATTAACATGCAGCGACATCGTACGAGCGGTCTTTTGTGGCCTCGTGTTCAATACTAACCAATGTTTCAGCCCGTTCGGGTGTTTGCAACTAACCACCTTGGGGAATTAATTCGTAGTTCTCCGACTCCGACAGTGTGGATGCTGCGCCTTCTGCTGACGCAGTTGTACGACCCTGCTCCTGAAGTTTGTGAGATGGCTATCCAGTTTCTTGAGGAAGCCTGCGAGTCTATGGAAGTCCTTGAATTGGTCGTGGAAATGCAACCCACTCTGGACCATTTGGGTGACATTGGGCACCCATTACTACTCCGGTCTGTGGTTAAGTTTTGACTAAATAATTGTGGCAGAATTAATCTGTTTTCTGGCTAGGTTTATGTCTACTCCGACGGGATTCCGTTACCTCAATAGTGCGGGTTATATTGACAGAGAGATGGATATGTGGTTCCATGTCTGACTCACACTCGTCTTGTTAATTGTCATGCTGACTAGAAGCTATAGGAACGCAATACTTACTATGTCGTTCAAATCGAGATATTTCTTGCCAAGGTTTTTAGTTCGGAAGCCACGGAGGACGATGAGGACGTCCTGTGAGCGTTGTCAGTTAGAATCCGCTTCCTCGGAATCTAAACGTGGTTCAGTGCCTTCGATGGCGTGGTTCCTCCACATTTTTACGGCGAGATGTCAAAAACGGAGCTTGGTTGCCAGGTCCTTAGTGAAAGGGGACACTTCGCGGAATTTTCCCACTTCATTCGACAACATGGTTTGGAAAGTGAGGACCTGGAGGTAATTTTGAAATTAAAGAGCATCCTATGGGCGGTCGTACGTAACTTGATTGACTCAACGTTTACTGATGGATTAATGAATCGTCGCTAGGGTAATGTTGGAGCCACCGAAGGTGGCTTACCGTTCCTTGAAGAGGAGGAAATTATACCATCTATACTCGAAATAGCAGAACATTCATTGATACCCTCTGTCCGGGGGTAAGTGGGTTGATCGCAGTCGAAGTCTATTGACGAGCCTAAATGTGGTTTAGCACATGTTTCTTTGTGCTTGGCTTGATATCCTCAACTCCTCAAGGCGCCGAGATTCTCGATGACCATCGTTGGGAGGCCACATTGTCACCACTTGGACATCCCACCGGACTCTGTATACCCGTCAACCTGGACAAATTTATTTCGGTGGGTACACTGCCTTCGGGCACCGGAAAAGTCTTGCTGATACAATACAGCTTCCGAGATGGGAGTCTATTGAAGTGAAAACCGATGCGGATACTCGGTTGTTACCGCCCACGGTGCAGACTGAGTTGGAAGTTATTTCTGCTATCGAGAACCTGGGCAATAGCGTCATTGCCAATACTGCCTCGCGTTCGTTAGCAAGGTGAGTTCCATATACATCGTGTTCGTGTTTCGACTCATATCCCACCGTAGAATGAAGTCTCGTCCGGAGTATCGCGCGGTGTTCTCTTCACCTGCCGTGTTCTTCAGAGCCCTTCACACCATCTCGACCCAGCGCTATCGACTTCCTGTGCGACGGTACATTCTTGATCTGTTCAATATCGAGCTCGACGGCCAAGTTGTCCATGACATTTCTGAAGCTGCAACGAACCTTCGTGCACCCCCGTGTTTCAAGCAGTCGGAAGCTCACATCAGTCGGGTAGTGAGTATGTTGGGTCTGAAACACCCTGATGGGGAGTCTTCCAGTGACGAGGATGAACTGGATGGGATTTCTGAGGAGCAGACCGGTAAGATCCCTATCATCACGTTACGTCCGGTCAGCAGGATCATCGGGTTCAACAATGGTTGAGTGCTATATATTGTGGTGTAATTTATGTCCATCCAGCATTATTTATGTACGCCTGCTGACTAATGAGTCGGGGGTTGAATTTGCTGTTGAACGCGACAACCAAAGTGATTTGTCAGCAGCTCGCATCTTTCACCGTCGCCCTCAACATCGACGACGATGAGCGCAGGCTTTGTTCCCCCGCCACCGGGCATGCCCCCGCCACCACCCGGGATGCCACCGCCACCGCCTGGAATGCCAACGCCACCGCCAGGCTTTGGTCAGGGCTCGGGCTCACGTATGCCCCCCGAAATGCTCTCACAGAAGTCTCAGAAGTGGGTTGCGATGCAGAAGAGGAGGTATGGCGAGAAACGAAAGGGCGGATACGTCGATATGGGGAAACAGGTGTGTACACTTTTTTTTCTCAGGGCTTTACTGACCCTTTCGCCCAGGACTTGCCCCCAGAGCACGTCCGTAAAATCATTAAGGACCACGGTGACATGAGCAACCGCAAATTCCGAAACGACAAGCGTGTCCATCTTGGTGCACTCAAGTACGTACCTCACGCAGTCATGAAGTTGCTGGAGAATATTCCTTATCCATGGGAGCAAGTTCGTGAGGTCCCCGTGCTATATCACATCACTGGTGCTATCACCTTCGTGAATGAAATCCCCCGTGTCATCGAACCTGTTTATCACGCTCAATGGAGTGCCATGTGGCTTGCCATGCGTCGAGAGAAGCGAGACCGTAGACACTTCAAGCGCATGCGTTTCCCGCCGTTTGACGACGAAGAACCGCCGCTGGACTATGGTGACAACGTTTTGGATGTCGAACCATTGGAAGCCATTCAGTTGGAACTGGATACGGAAGACGACGCTGCGATCATCGATTGGTTCTACGACCCCAAGCCGTTGATCGACACGCCATCTGTGAACGGGCCATCCTACCGTTATTGGTCACTGACCTTGCCCGTCATGGCTAACTTGTACCGTTTAGGCCGTACTCTCCTGTCGGACCAACCTGACAACAATTCCGCTTATCTTTTCGACAAAAAATCGTTCTTCACCGCCAAGGCATTAAACATGGCCATTCCCGGGGGACCGAAGTTCGAGCCTCTTTATCGCGACATGGACTTGTTTGATGAGGACTGGAACGAGTTCAATGACATTAACAAGATCATCATTCGGCAACAGATTCGCACCGAGTACAAGGTCGCCTTCCCCCATCTCTACAACTCCCTTCCCCGTTCGGTTCACCTGTCACCGTACCATCACCCCAAGAATGTGTACATCCGTACTGACGACCCTGACCTTCCCGCCTTCTACTTCGACCCACTTATCAACCCCATTTCTCTCCGGGGTATGACGCCTAAGAATGCACCTCTGGTTTCGCATGAAGATGTGATTTTCGGGCCTAATGGTGCGGACGACGACGACTTTGAGTTGCCTGAGGATGTTGAGCCTTTCCTTGCGGAGCAGCCACTCGAAAACGATTTGGCTGCTGAAGGTATTGCGCTGTGGTGGGCACCCGATCCGTATAACCGCCGTTCGGGACGGACAAGGCGTGCTCAGGACATTCCTCTCGTCAAGAATTGGTATCTGGAGCATTGTCCTCCAGGCCAACCTGTCAAAGTTCGCGTGTCGTACCAGAAGCTTCTCAAGTGCTTCGTACTCAACGAATTGAAGAGCCGCCCGGAGAAAGCTATGACGAGAAAGAATCTATTCCGTCAGCTCAAAGCGACGAAGTTCTTCCAAACGACGAGACTGGATTGGGTAGAAGCGGGCTTGCAAGTCTGCAGGCAAGGCTACAACATGCTTAATCTGTTGATCCATCGCAAGGTAAAATTATTATCTTAAATTCTAGTGTGGAAGTGACTCTGATTCCTTTTCTGTCCCGTAGAATCTGAATTACCTGCATCCTTGACTATAACATGAACTTGAAGCCTGTCAAGACGCTGACAACGAAGGAGCGAAAGAAGTCTCGTTTCGGAAATGCTTTCCATCTCTGCCGCGAGATCTTGCGTCTTACCAAGCTTGTCGTTGATGCCCATGTCCAATACCGGCTCGGCAACGTCGATGCGTTTCAGCTCGCTGATGCGCTGCAATATATTTTTGGCCACATCGGTGCATTGACCGGAATGTACCGTTACAAGTATAAGGTCAGCTTTTACCTGTTTATCTTGCATTCCTCTCTGCTGACACGTGATTTTTCTAGTTGATGAGACAAGTTCGCATGACGAAGGACCTCAAGCACTTAATTTATTACCGTTTCAACACCGGTCCCGTCGGCAAGGGTCCCGGTTGCGGCTTTTGGGCTCCTGGATGGCGCGTCTGGCTCTTTTTCATGCGCGGTATTGTCCCGCTGCTCGAACGCTGGCTAGGCAATCTCTTGGCTCGTCAGTTCGAAGGGCGTAATAGCAAGGGCATCGCCAAAACTGTTACCAAGCAGCGTGTCGAATCGCATTACGATCTTGAACTGCGTGCGGCAGTTATGCACGATATCCTCGACATGATGCCCGAGTCAATCAAGCAAAACAAAGCGAAGACCATTTTGCAACATCTGTCCGAAGCTTGGAGATGCTGGAAGGCCAACATCCCTTGGAAAGTTCCAGGAATGCCGACTGCCATTGAAAATATCATCCTCCGGTATGTGAAAAACAAGGCGGACTGGTGGGTCAGTGTAGCCCATTATAACCGGGAACGTATTCGACGTGGTGCAACTGTCGACAAGGCCGTCGTAAAGAAGAACTTGGGGCGTCTCACACGTGAGTGTCGTCTGAACTATCGTCGTGATATTAATAACGTGTCATTTAGGGTTATACTTGAAGGCTGAACAGGAGAGGCAGCACGGCTACCTGAAGGATGGTCCATATGTTAGTGCAGAAGAGGCTGTCGCCATCTACACTGCGACCGTCCACTGGCTTGAAAGTCGTAAATTCGCTCCCATACCCTTCCCGTAAGTCGAATGTTCCTCGTACTGCTAAGATTTTTTGCTAATTTCAATACTAGCCCTCTGTCTTACAAGCATGATACGAAATTGCTTGTCTTGGCGCTCGAGAAACTTAAAGAGGCGTACTCGGTCAAGGGCCGTCTCAACCAGTCGCAGCGAGAGGAATTGGCACTTATCGAGCAAGCTTACGATAATCCTCACGAATGCAAGTTCCAGTTCATTTCTTCGTTGCGATGTTGACTTATAACAATGCATTCAGGTCTGTCGCGAATCAAACGTCTTCTCTTGACGCAACGTGCTTTCAAGGAAGCAGGCATCGAATTTTTCGATACTTACGATAAGCTCATCCCGTGTTACGACATTGAGCCGGTAGAGAAGATTACCGATGCGGTAGGTTTTATTGTTGTTACGTACCGCTTTTTGCATGCTGATGATTTGGTTGTAGTACCTTGATCAGTTCTTGTTCTTCGAGGCTGACAAGCGTGGACTTTTCCCTGCATGGATCAAGCCTGCAGATACGGAGCCTCCACCGCTATTGGTTTACAAGGTAAGGACTATGCTATCCTGTACGCGACCGTCGCAAATGCTAATGATTCGTTCCATAGTGGTGCCAGGGTATCAACAACCTAACGGATATTTGGGAGACAAGCGAAGGAGAGTGCGTCGTTATGATGGAAACCGTCTTCTCTAGAGTGTATGAGAAGATCGACCTAACGCTCCTCAACCGTCTCCTCCGATTGATCATGGACCACAACTTGGCGGACTACATAACTGCGAAGAACAACACTGTGCTTACCTACAAGGATATGGCGCATACGAACGCCTACGGTCTTATTCGCGGGTTGCAGTTCTCAGCGTTTGTGTTCCAATACTACGGGCTCGTCCTTGATATTCTCGTCCTCGGCCTGCAGCGAGCCAGTGAGATGGCCGGGCCGCCTCAAATGCCAAACAATTTCTTGCAGTACCGTGATTCTGCCACCGAAACGCGACATCCGATCCGTCTCTACTCTCGCTACGTGGACCGTTTGCACATTCTCTTCCGCTTCACCGCTGATGAAGCTCGCGACCTCATCCAACGTTATCTCAGCGCCAATCCCGACCCCACGAACAACAATGTCATAGGTTACAACAACAAGCGTTGCTGGCCTCGGGACTGCCGCATGCGGCTTATTAAACACGATGTCAACCTTGGAAGAGCCGTCTTCTGGAACGTCAAACAGAGTCTGCCCAGGTCGCTAACCACCATTGAATGGGAAGACACTTTCGTCAGTGTATACTCTAGAGAGAACCCACAATTACTCTTCTCGATGAGTGGTTTCGAGGTTCGGATACTACCGAAGATTAGGACGTTGGGCGGAGAGCAGTTCTCGCTGAAGGATGCGGTTTGGAACCTCACAAATGAGCAGACCAAAGAGCGTACTGCGCAAGCCTTCCTCCGTGTATCTGATGAAGGTTCGTTATTATACATTGGTTGCTGGGTCTTTTTCCCCTGACACACAAACTTTCCAGGTATCCAACAATTCAACAACCGTATTCGACAGGTCCTTATGAGTTCCGGTTCCACAACATTCTCCAAGATTGTGAACAAGTGGAATACTGCGTTGATCGGTCTGATGACATACTACCGTGAAGCTGTCATCCACACCAACGAGTTGTTGGATGCCCTTGTCAAGGCTGAGAACAAGATTCAGACCCGTGTCAAGATCGGGCTGAACAGTAAGATGCCTTCACGTTTCCCGCCAGTCGTTTTCTACACGCCGAAGGAGCTTGGTGGTCTCGGTATGTTGTCGATGGGTCACGTTCTGATTCCACAAAGCGACCTGAGGTGGTCGAAGCAAACTGACGTTGGGGGTCAGTATACATCATCGTTCTCGGGTCTTTACAACCACTAACGAATATCTTGATAGTTACTCACTTCCGCGCCGGTATGTCCCACGAGGAGGACCAACTCATACCCAACTTGTACCGTTATCTCCAGCCATGGGAGGCGGAATTCCTGGATTCAGCGCGTGTTTGGTCAGAGTACTCCATGAAGCGGAAGGAAGCGAACGCTCAAAATCGTCGTCTTACTCTGGAAGACCTCGAAGATAGCTGGGACAGAGGTATCCCCCGTATCAATACTCTCTTCCAGAAGGATCGTCATACGTAAGTTTATCGTTTCGCTATATGTGGAATCAACAAAGTTAACTGGTTCTTTAGTCTCGCCTATGATCGCGGTTGGCGTGTTCGTACAGATTGGAAGCAATACCAGCTGCTCAAACAGTATGTGTTTATTCCTTTTCTTCGAATGCTGCGTCTAACTGCCCTCGTAGCAATCCATTCTGGTGGACTTCACAACGGCACGACGGAAAGCTTTGGCAGCTTAACAACTACCGAGTCGATGTTATCGCTGCGTTGGGTGGTGTCGAAGGTATCTTGGAGCACACGTTATTCAAGGGCACGTATTTCCCAACTTGGGAGGGTCTCTTCTGGGAGAAGGCATCGGGTTTCGAAGAGTCCATGCGGTACAAAAAACTCACGAATGCTCAACGTTCGGGTTTGAACCAAATTCCCAACCGTCGGTTCACGCTTTGGTGGAGCCCGACGATCAACCGAGCAAATGTCTATGTCGGTTTCCAGGTCCAACTTGATCTGACGGGTATCTTCATGCACGGCAAGATCCCCACCCTGAAGATTAGTTTGATCCAGATTTTCCGTGCCCACTTGTGGCAAAAGAGTAGGTTCGATTCTGCTGTATTTTGTCACTTCTGCTAACTAATTATCTAGTTCACGAGAGTGTCGTCATGGACTTATGTCAAGTATTTGATCAGGAACTCGAGCCCCTGCAAATCGAGACGGTGCAAAAAGAAACAATTCACCCTCGAAAGAGTTACAAGATGAACTCATCCTGTGCGGATATCTTATTGTTCTCGGCCTACAAGTGGAACATAACACGGCCTTCACTCGTGACTGACGTATGCTACATATTTATGCCATACCAAGATTGCACCTACTAATGTTCTGTCTACAGAACAAGGACGTGTTGGATGGTACAACGAGCAACAAATACTGGATCGACGTTCAGCTTCGCTGGGGTGACTTTGACTCGCACGATATCGAGCGTTATACACGTGCGAAATTCTTGGACTATGTATGTTCTTCGTTGCTTTCCTAAATAATGTGTTGATAAGTTCCTCTCAGGTATCTGATTCTATGAGTATCTACCCGTCTCCCACTGGCGTTATGATCGGCATGGACTTGGCGTACAACCTCTGGTCGGCTTATGGCAACTGGTTCCCTGGCATGAAACCTTTGATCCAGCAAGCAATGACAAAGATCATGAAAGCGAACCCCGCCTGCCACGTGCTGCGAGAGCGTATTCGCAAGGGTCTCCAGCTTTATTCCTCGGAGCCGACAGAACCCTACTTGAATAGCCAGAACTACTCCGAATTGTTTTCGAACCAAATCATTTGGTTCGTTGATGATACTAACGTCTACCGGGTCACCATCCACAAGACTTTCGAGGGTAACTTGACCACTAAGCCTATTAGTAAGTGCACCGCAAAGTATTCCTGGCGCCCAGCTGATATCCTTTTTAGATGGTGCGATCTTTATCTTCAACCCGAGATCGGGTCAATTGTTCTTGAAAATTATCCACACGAGTGTGTGGGCGGGTCAGAAGCGTCTCGGTCAACTCGCGAAGTGGAAGACTGCCGAGGAAGTTGCTGCCTTGGTTCGCTCATTGCCCGTCGAAGAGCAGCCCAAACAGGTGATCGTGACTCGCAAGGGCATGTTGGGTACGTCCATAGATAACCCGTCGTCCAAGTCACGCTGTTGACGAAATATCTAGATCCACTCGAGGTCCACTTGCTCGACTTCCCGAATATCGTCATAAAGGGTAGTGAGCTTCAACTTCCGTTCCAGGCTTGCATGAAGATGGAGAAGTTCGGTGACCTTATCCTTGTAAGTGCCCTGGTGATTTGTGGTCGAGAGATCTGCATGCTTAACGTCTTTCAGCGTGCCACACAACCTCAGATGGTGCTGTTTAGTTTGTACGATGACTGGTTGAAATCGATCTCAAGTTACACGGCGTTCTCTCGCCTCATCTTACTACTTCGTGGGCTGCACGTCAATAACGAGAAAGCCAAGGTCATTCTCCATCCAGACAAGAACACCGTTACCGAGCCGCACTTTGTGTGGCCTACACTCACGGATGAGGAGTGGATCAAGGTCGAGGTTGCAATGAAAGACCTTATCCTAGCTGTAAGTCATTGACAAGTTAGTGTTTTGGACTGATGTTCACAATGTTTTCAGGACTTCGGCAAGCGCAACAACGTCAACATTGCTTCGTTGACTGCCAGTGAAATTCGTGACATCATTCTCGGCCAGGAGATTGTCGCACCCTCAGTACAACGACAGCAGATGGCGGAACTGGAGAAGAGTACCGAAGCACAAGGCCAAGTAACTGCCGTTCAGACGTAAGTGTGGTTCATATTTCTAAGGAACGAGACTGACGTCGCGTCGCAGTCAAACAAGCAACATTCACGGCGACACAATACAAACCGTGACTACAACCAATTACGAACAACAAGTCTTCAGTAGCAAGTCTGACTGGCGTGTCCGTGCCATCTCCGCCACCCACCTCCCTCTCCGCTTGCAGCACATCTACGTGTCCAATGACGACGTGAAAGATGACGCCGGATCCTACACTTACGTCTTACCGAAGAACGTCCTTCGCGCGTTCATCGCAGCCGCCGACCTCCGGACGCAGGTGGCCGCGTTCATTTATGGGGTATCGCCTCCCGATAACAAGCAAGTAAAGGAAATTAAGGCAATAGCGTGGCCACCTCAACGTGGGAGTAACAATACTGTTGAGCTTCCGTCACAGCTTCCAAAGGACGACTTCCTACTCAAGGATCTTGAGCCTCTTGGGTGGATAAAGACTCAGGCGCTGGAACTCAACCACCTCTCACCTACAGATGTCACAACTCATGCCAAGCTGATGGCTGAGCACTCTGAGTGGGGCCCATCTTCAATATGTGTCACGGCGTCTTTCACGCCAGGTTCGGTTTCATTGTCATCGTATTCTCTTACGATCCCCGGCTTTGAATGGGGTCGCAAAAATGTGGACAACTCTGCCAATCCGTCAGGCTTCAACCCCAATATGTCCGAAAGGGTTCAGCTCCTCTTGTCTGATCGCATCTTCGGTATGACGCTCGTTCCGGAAGGCAAAGTTTGGAACTACGGCATTGGCCTTACACAGCTTTGGTCATCCAACTTGCCATACACCATGACGCTGGATACGCCACTGCTGTTCTGGGCTGAAGAACATCGCCCTGCGGCGTTCTTGACTGTGAGTCATTTCTCATCCGCTCCCTATGTCTGTAATACTGATCCTGGTTTGAACAGTTCGCTAGCATGGAACGTGGAGATGATAGTGCTGATGTAGAAAACAGCTTTGCATGATTTCATTATTGATCGCTTTTTGTTATTGTAGTCGTCATTGTAACCTAGTTCGCCTACTAGCAATGTTACCTCCGTAATCTCATGGAATCGTATTGGCGAGTGTAAGGATACACTGGCGATGTGTATTAAGGTAGGCGTGGATGAAATGAGCTTACAAAAATTTGAATAGCACAGCATTATTTGATAACGAAGAAATCTTTGGGCATATTCAGAAGAGGTGCAAACAAAAATTCAAGGCCCACAGATAGATTATATAGTGGTAGCACACAAGATAAGAGAAGCGACAGCAAACAAGAAAAGCACAAAGAACATCTACATCGTGATATAACCGAGGGACACCACCGATCCCCGCGCGAGTGCCGCTGCTAAAGTGTTTGCCTCAGGACTTGTCGCCCCGAACGGCGGAAGTTCAGACTGAGGACCTTTCTCCGGCTGCACGACTGTGACCGAGATCTGTTTCGAGCCCCTGCGGGGCGGTGGTGGAGATAGCGCCATGAACTCGAATTCACCCTCGGTCATGGGTGTACCTGGGCGTCCGGGGCACGTGGGAAGCGGTCGGAAAGGATTGCGTGACGGAGCAGTGGGGCTTTCAATTGGCGTAAGGGATAAAAAACTAGGGTCGTTGATGTCCATGATGTGTTCACCAAGCCCGAAGGGCGGACGTGAAGGTTGGGCGTGTGAGGGCGTTCGCGGATCGTCATCGTCGTCATCGTCGTCGAGATCTAGCGTACTAGTAACTTGAGCATGTTGAGAACCTGGCATGTGCTTTCGCGCTTTTGTTTGCACTTTCGTTTGGGTCTGGATTTGTAGTGGTTGGAGTTGTTGAGTTGAGGGGGGAGGAGAATTCGAGCCTGACGGAGTTGGCGGTGGCGAGGAAGAGGAGGGAGCGCTCAAGATGCGAAGGCGCTGCTTGATGGATAGGCTACGGACCGAAGAAGCCGACGACGGCGGCCGCGGTTGACCCACACCCGACAAACGGGACGGCGAGCGCGGCGGCGAACCTGGGATGGAAGGTAGCTCAGAAGAAACACGGAGCCCTTCGGCCGTGCTGTTACTCGAGCTCCGGCGATGTCTCCGTAAGAACCCTGGCTCGTCCGGTCGTGGTGGGAGACTTGTTGAGGGTGGTGGTTTAGGCGACGTCAAAGACAGCCGTAGTGCCCGTTGTGCTATAGATGTTCGAAGGGGTTTCAGTGGTTGTGGGGGAGTAGTTGGAGAGGACTGTTGTTTCGGAGGCGGCGGTGACTGAGGCACGGTTACTCGCTCCACAATTGGGTCCACGACTGGGGCGGGCGGAGGTGCATGCGTTGGGGCAGGTCGAGGGGGAGGCATAGATCGACGCTTAGGTGCAGTAACCTTGCTTGCTACAAGTCACGCGACACCCAATTAGCGACATAACGACCACGAAGATACTGTGATCTCACCTGTTGGATTTGGCAAAGACAGAATTGACGCGCTCAGTGTAGTCGTAGGCTCGGCGACGGCCCTCGAGTCTGTAGTGCTCCATGACTCTACGCTATACGCGGAGGAACTGGATGCACGCTTCCAGAAACTCTGGGCCAACGACGATGCGCTATGAGGGCTTATGTCTGTGCGAGAATTAGATGATACACTGCTCGCAAGCTCATCCGCTGCATACGGGTGAGGCACGTGTAGGTGCAGTACCGGTTGTGCAGGCTCAATTTCCGGTACGGAGGGTGGAGGTCCCGATGGCGGCGCTGGACGTTGGGGAAGCGTGCCAATCTTTCTGGACCAACGCTTGGAGCTTGAGGGGCTGCTGGGACGGGTTTCGGAGGACGTTGGAACTGCAATATCAGGTGACAAGGAACGCGCAGCTGCTAACGGCGGAGACGACGGTGCTTGTACGTTCGCGTTGGAGAACGCACTGAATGGCGGCTCTAAGTCCGGCAGCTTTGTCGCAGTGAACGGTCCAGGAGAGAGGTCCCTGGGCGGTAGGGTTTCGGCGGGCATAACAACGAGGGAAGGCGTCGGGGGCAATACCTCCGCAGGTTGAACACCAAAGTTACCCGCCACACTGCGGTTATCCCCTGGATGATTATATAATCCTTCTCGCTCTCGCTTGGCTGTGGGAGGGGGAACCGCCAAGTGACCCCTCGCCTTTCGCGGCGGAGGCTGAAGAGGCAGAGGACCTGAATTCATGCTTGCCTGAAATGCGGCGGGCGGCGTGATGGAGCCCGGTGGAGTGCTTGCTATCGACGGTGGCGAAATCGAAAGAACCGGTGCATCGCGCTCTTTAGAAATCTTTAAGTCCGCTCCGGGTATAACCATTGTCGTACTCGCAGACCGCACACTAGCAGCAGGTGAACACTGGGCTTGACTACGCGGAAGGGGGAGGGGAAGGGAACATGCGGGGGAGGAGCTGCTGTCGGACGCAGTATTCCCGCGGAAGAACGTCAAAAGGTTTGTGCCCATGGCACCGAAAGACTCTTCTGTGTGAGCCTGAGAAACCAGTGGGGAATGCGGTGAATCTAGAGAGGGCGAGCGGGACCGAGTGCTGGTCAACATATCCTTGATACTACTAGAAGGTGGCAGAGACTGAGCATTCATCCCAAGTGAGCGAAGAGAATGTGGTGGGGAGGGCGAAGATGAAACCTTCTTGGGAGGTTGAGGGGAGACGATCCCTTGCATTCTCATGGAGAGCATGACGTCCATGTCGCCCCTTGGACCATATACTCCATTGGACGCCGGAATGTCTAGGCCGGCACGGATTGACCTGTTCCGCCACGTCAAATCACGGGTGTAACGGGTTGGTTGGGCGTCTATTGGCTTACCTGTGATTCAGCACTGCATTCTTGATAGCTCCTATCCAGCGTTGAGATGCTTCACGGTCAGTGATTTGTAGGAACCACATCGCGCGCGCGGAATCCTCCGTGGATCCATTCGTATGACTGCCGCCATTGGCGTGCTTCTTTGTACTGACGTCCTTGCCCACCAATTTGATCACGTTCTTCCTACCGCCTACGTCCTCTTCGGCAAGAAACATAGCGCTGTCTTCGGTAATTTCCAATCTCTCTAACTCGACCTCGTTTGCCGATGTATTCTTGAACAAATGCACGTGGGTCTTGTGACCAGCCACATTGGACGTGAGGACGAGGGTCCTAACTTTCCACTGCTTAGCGAGGGCATATACGAGGAGGGAAGATGCTGGGGTAAATTTGGGTAGTGTCGCGGTCATCTGCGTCATAGGATAAAGTGCGTTAATGGTAGCTGGGAAGGGGGGCAGCTGAGGAAACTCCTGCGGATCCGGAGGGGCAAGGGACAAGAGACTATCCCATTTACGCGGCTCATGTAACCACTCGAGCCCTATCGATTGAGCAGCGGCATCCCTCAGACGTTCGCGTTCTTCGTGTTCTTGGTCCATATGCGATATAGCTCCAGCAACGGTGGTGGTTACGGTAGTGTCACTATGAGCGTTAATTTCGATGATATCGGGTATACAGTTTACGCTGGATATATGGTGAGGAGGGGGTTTCTTACGTGAGACCGAACCCAGCTTCTTGCGAAGGCCGAGTACATCGGTAGCGGCTACAAGAAGGCTGGTCCGCTGCTTACGCAGTGGCGCGCTTCGGCTGGATGACGGAGGGCGAGGAATTATTGGTATGATACGGGACGATGGTTCGTGGGAAGTGATGGAAGGGGATGTATTCGAAGTCGGGGACACGACATGGTCCGCGTCTGTAAGAACCCGCCAGTAAGTTGCACGAACATAAGCATATGGGATAGGGGAGTGGTTTATTAAAAAGGGAGGGCAAAACCACGACCACCGCGCTTTGCCAGAAAAGGATGGAGAGACCCACCGTGTCCGTAGCCAAACCCGACGGGGCTTGACAGTGGGCTGTCTAGGGAACGTTCTTTCCCCTTGAGCTTGGAGTTCAGGCTTGGGGTGTGGCCGTGCGAGCTGCTGGGGTTGGAGTGGGCTGCGTGTGAGGCAGTGTTGGCGGAGTGCACAGAGGAGCGACGGGACAACCACGAGTCGAGAATCGACTTGTGCGCCTGTTCTCTTGGTGAGTTCGGTTGGTGGGAGAAGCGAACCGAGGCTGGCATGGGCGAAGCTCTGTCGAGGTGGTGTTTGTCGACAGTGCTCTTTCCGGGACTGTGGTGCGAGGTCTGGTGGTAGAGCTATAGTATATAGTATTTGAGCACGCGCACATCGGAGGTGTCGAACAGCCACGCGACAGCAGAACCACGGACAGCGTGGATGAGGCGCGTTATATGTTGGGATCGTTTCGAACAGCAAGGGAAAGGGTGAACAGCATGCAAAAGAAGATGAAAAGACCGGACATCAGCAAGCCTGTCCTTGATCGATGCCCAAATGAAAGTCGGTTCCCATCACCCTTGTCTTCTTCGTGGGGACAAAGCGCAGGAAAAAAACAAAGACGGAAAAAAAAAAAAAGAAGAGCTGGGAGCTGGAACTTACCTTTGTCCACTCGCCATCGACCAGCTCGTCTGACCAGCGCGGTTCCGTCTCGTCTGCAACACCATGAGCGCTGGTGTCTGTCGACGGAAAAGCGAATTCGAGCTCGCTGGTCTCGCTTGGGCTTGAACCGTGCATGGTGGCGAGAACAATGGTGAAAACCCTGATGGATCCAGTGAGGTGCACGCACTGCACAACGTGCAGCCTGAGACCGTCGACAGCTATGAGGATCAAGTCAATCAGACAGGACAGGTCTGTGTTATTTTGGTAGACAGGCTGTGCCTCAATATTATATTCCGGCGTAGACACCGCAATCTGTCGCTTTATGGATTTTTTTTACTAATTCAACTTGAAGAGCCCCCCACTACGGAGACTTTTGGTGCACGACGTACACCACCCCTGCTCAGGAATGGCCGCGGGTCGTAAACAGACCACCCGCAGGAAGCCGACAACCATAGTGACTGCGAGTTAGTACATGTGCATGCTGCACTGGGCTATCAGAGTACGTATCAACGTGATTCGAACTGATTTTTTGATGGGGGGGGCGCCCCCATCAATCACCAGACAAAAACCGTGAAACTTGTCAACAGATTGTCAATTTCCTTTGATCTTGGCCTGGGGCTGATACTTGTCAATAATCACTCGATCACCCGATTGACTCTGTACTACGCATATTAAGTTTGCATGTCGTCTCTCCTTGAAAGCTCGCGGCAAATGTTCTACGAAGATGATACGACCCTCCGGGAGGCGCTGTCTCCGTCTTATCAAAATCGGCCTTCTTCTTCCGATCACGCGCCTCGGAAGTTCCCCGCCCCCCTGCCCCTGATGCCGGGCGTTGCAAGGCGTCATAGTACCTAACAACCCAAGGGCCTCATTGTACACAGTGCTTTCCCAGAGTGTGTATGGTTGGCAACCTTGCGGTGAGTCCCGTTGACAGTAATAATAGTCCCACCAGGCATGTCACGGAAACCTTTATACTTGCTAGAGGCCCGAGGAATGTTAACACGCCACCGAATTTCGTATTTCCAAATCATGCACATGCAACCCCATCACCAGCAGTGTTGTAACCCCATTTTAGCGGCGATCCTAGTCAATGATAAGCATTGGAATGACCAATAGCAAGTCACGCAGTAGTCACTCAATAGGGCTGCCTTCTACGCCCCTGAGAGGGACGATGTCCTCGCCTGGGGGGCTGCTGACAGCTGCCAACCCTTGTTTTCGAAGGTCAAAATCTGACATGATTGATGCGGACGTGTCGAGCAACCGTCAAGGCAAACCCAGGCCTTCGCTTACATAAGCTCTCCCCCGCTCGTTGACATGCCGCGAACACGCGAGTTCATTGCAGAGACTGAGCGGTCCCCTGACCACACACACGTTCTCCTCATCACCACTGGAAGCGTTGCTTCCATTAAAGCACCACTTATTGTCAAGGAACTCCTCAGGGTCAGTCGATCTACTACCCCCTGTGGACTCCCCTATCAGACTCAACCCTGGCAGTACAAGAATGTCAAAGTAGAAGTAGTCTCCACGAAGTCATCTCTCACCTTCTTTGATGCTAACGACGTCGAAGAGGCTGGATCGAGGGTGTGGACGGACCACGATGAGTGGTCGGTAGGCTCACCCTCCGTTCATATCCCTTCTCTCTGTTTTCACACCCCACCAGGACTCATACAAGATCGGAGACCCTATCCTTCATATTGAACTTCGGAGATGGGCGGATATTGTCCTCGTAGCACCTTGTTCAGCCAACACACTTGCTAAGATTGCAGGTGGTTTCTGTGACAACCTCGTTGTGCGTCTCCGGATCTATGTGTGAATGTGGGCCGCAGTGCGACTGACGTCACTAACAGACTTCCCTATTGCGTGCTCTGTCACCTTCGACACCAACATACATATTCCCCGCCATGAACACGCTCATGTACGAGCACCCTCTCACTTCTGAGCATCTCCGCGTTGTACGTGATGTCGTGCGGTATAACGTCGTTGGACCCATAGGAAAGAACTTGGCATGCGGTGATGCCGGTATGTACTACCAAGAATGACGACTCTCTCACTCACTCATCTTACAAAGGACTTGGGGCTATGACTGAATGGCGAGATATCGTCAAGATCGTGGTCGAGAAATATCAGCTGCAGTCGATAGTGACATAATATACGCACGTCGACTACCCCCACGATGGTTACTTGCACCGCTTATTCCGGTCTGCTGCATGATCATCTGTTTCATGCGCCTTCTTACATCTCTTTTGAAACGCTCCGATTCCCAGTGTATGGAGCCTAGAAAACAAGAACATTTCTACACAGAGTTTGATCACAAGCTACGGCGCGCTTACTGATCGTCAAAGCACCAGCTAAACGCTCGCATTGTCAATGAACACCTTCACGGGATTTTCAAACGACGAGAAGGTTCAACCTAAAGCTATGGAATTGCATTTCGGTGTGATTTGAGCTTTGTTGGACTGCCTTGCCCTTGGCTTTTGAGCAACAAAGAGTCTTACTAACTCGATTATACTCAACCCGGTGAACGTGCATGTAGAACATCCTATTTTGAAGCAACGTCTGTCCGCCCGACGCCACAGGTCGACCATAAGCAGTCAAAATGATGGACCCTAGGGCACGTTTCACCTGCCTACCTCGTGTTGGGGAACCACACCAGTCAATCGAACAGTCACGGCCTTTCGATGTGGAAACATCCAGAAGCTAGTTGGCGCTTCACATGAGAAGGGGTCTCGCAGTGCCCCACGAATCGATGCAGCCAGCATCATCAGAGAGACAGGGAATGACGGAATCGCGGTCACGACCAGTCAGTGACAGGTTTAAACAGGTTTAAACCATTTTTTTGCTTCCTGATGATGAATGGTGTTTCGCATTCAAATGCTCCATTCCCCCATCTCTTCACAATTCCAATACTCGGCCTCCAGAGAATATTGACTAGAAAGTGCAAATGCAGGACTCATGATATCTGAAATAGTAGGTGAGGATAGATTCCAGGATCAGTGCTAGTAGTGTATGCAAAAGGGAACCGGGCAAACGACAGCGCAAACACAGCTACAATGTAAAAGAAAACAGCAACGAGGTGGACGGATGAGCTACCTATAACGCCTGCCCTGGTCTCCGCTTGTACGTTCCATAAGGCCCAACGGTGCCACGCATTCCACCGAGTTTCTCCCCCCGTTGTATCATTGAAGACGGGCGTGGGACAAGGTGTCGATGTAAATCAACGGTGCCTATACTCTCGACTCCACTTCCTCTGTACTCCGATTCCGGTAGCTGAAGATTAAGCATCCGTCTCAGAACGATGTTCTCTTTCTGGAGACGTGCAAGCTCGATCTCCTGCTCAAGTGCACGATCGTCCTTTCTCCCCTCGTCAAACTCGAACGCTTCGTTTGCTGGTGAGCTAGCACCGTCAGGGCTCGGCGAGCCACTGGCGGAGGACAGCGCATCCTCGCCGTTGAGCAACCGCATAAGCTTACGCAGTGCCCTGGACATACGGGCCAAAGAAACAGACTCGCTAGTGCTGGTGGTCAGTGCGCGCAGCAGGTTCTCGGATTCTTTCTTGAGGAGTTTTGATTCGTAATCCCGGATGAAAGCTAGCTCGTGTTCTTGCACGTCACGCTAGAAGATAGAGAACAGGTAATGCGAGTGAACTTGTTTTACACGATGCCGGGATAATATAGACGAGAGGAGAGGAAGAAGTTCAGAAACTGACTTACAGCTCGCGTCCGGAAAGCGCTCATTACGCTTTCCAACGTTTGTTCGTATTCTCGAATGAGAATGCCTAGTTGCTTGTTGTCATGTTGTAGATTTTGGTTATCAGAGACGAGGGAAGCATTCATTCGTTGGAGTTCAGCATCATATGCCTCTGTGGTAGACGGGGAGCGTCAGCATCTGAGGGACTCCTCGTGGAAGTCCTCAGACAGCACCTTTGGTCTTGTCGAGGTTGAATCTTCGTTTCAGGACAGAATGAGGGTCACATGCGGCATCTAGCTTCAAGAAAGACGAGCTCACCTACGCAACACGAATCCGGTTTGAGCGTGAGTAGCCTGGGTCTGTTACGAGCAAAGACTTAGGATTTCGTTGTCCGAAGTGGACATCATCACAATCATATGAACGTTCTCGTACCTTGACAGTTCCAGTGGTGGTGTAAAGGGATGTTGCTAGCGAGCGATTCTGGCTGAGCTGCTCTGATAGCTCCTGGATGGTACTCAGCAGGCGAACAAGCTCGGAGTCGCTGGAAGTGTCGACGACGGTCATCGTTGGGCCCATCGAGCCACGAAACGACTCCAAGTATGGGCAGTTGACCAAAAAAGGCAGTTCACCCTCGCCGATCATGGAGCAGCTTGCAGCCTGCCAGCAACTTTCAACTTGACCAGCAGCCTGCAGGTGAGTCTACTATAGTGCAATCATCCGAGGTACGACGGGATTTCTACACTTGTTCTTGGCTGAAAAGCGAAGACGCTTTGCGCTACTAATTCAAAGCATCATCATGTCGCCTTATTGTGCTTTGATCCTGATATCAGGTGGTCCCGTTGCCTTTCTACTCCTTCTATGTACAACCATTCACATCTGGCCTATCTAAGAATCAAAGCTAAGCGTACGGAAACGACCGAGTTGCTTGGTGCCGCCATCTCACGATCGCATGTAACAACTGACAGCTTTGGTTGCGTTGAAGCGCAAGTCTTACATTATCGGTGGAAGGTGTGTAGGCTCACAGGTACGTGTTGCGATGTGGCGTCTATTGTACTCGAGCGGAGATGCTAGGCTGGCAATATTGGGTGGAGACGTGGTGCTCAACACTCAGCAATTGAAGGAAACAAAAAAGGAATTCGATCCCAAGTCGGGATGTGGTGGACTCTTCATGGGCCGAACCGTGTTTTCGGAAGAGTATTTTGGAAAACTACTCCGAAAACACGAGGATTCCGTTTCCTCCGTATAAAGCCCTCCCCAGGTACCCTTCTGCCCTCTCAAGAATCGTTCACCATCCATACGCTCTCTCTCATAACGCTGCTTTCGTGGGTATGTCTGAATATTCATATTCCTATATGCCGCGACCCATGGCAGCGCTCTTCGAAGAGCCCAAGCCACCCGCACCCAAGGCCCTGAGTGCAGGGAGTGGAGAAGCTGTTAGCCCTATCACCAAATCGTCTATTCCCCTTCATTTCAATCTCAAGAAATCATTCCCCGCCATCACAACTACCATTTCCCTTCTCCAGAAAGTCCCGGAGACCAAAGACCTCGATGCCCTACGCGCTCTCGTCCCCGTGTTCGTCAATTGTTTGAACTCCATCCTCGATTCGATGGACAAACTCCCGAAGGAAGTTTGTACGGGTTACAACTACCTTCACGCTAAGAGCACGGTCGCATTCTTTCGGGCGATGCTGGAGGGACACATCAAGGAGGTGACTGATGCTAACGTTCAGTCAGACTCAAAACGCACAGAAATCATCGACAAAACTATGCAGTTTTTGGACGGGTGCATGTCTGCCACCAAGGATTTCTTTCAAGTTGCCGCTCAGGAACTGATCCAACTCAAGCCGCTGCCACGGCCACCCTCTGGAGCTGAACTTGAAGATTTGGAAGAAAGTACTGAGGAGGCATCCGACTCCCCTGTATCATCTTGTGCTGAAGACAAACCTTCCGTTCCCGAACAACAAACGCAATCGGAGAAACCGCCTCCAGAGCGTATTGCTGCCGACGAGCAACCACAGAAGGCACAAAAGCCGAAGTTCTCTCTGTTGAGGCCACTTTCGATTCGCAGGAAGAAGAAAAATGTACCTCCTGAGGGCTCTTCTGGATCCAGCACCCTCGTCGACAGCGATCCCATTCAATTGAAAGGCGATTATATTCACGTCTCTACTACCATCCGTAGCTCCATCGTCCAGTTCCCTGACTTTATTAAGGAGCCGATCCCCAACACTCTTCCTCACGTAGAAGATGCCACGGAGATATGGAAGGATCGCAACGGGCTCGTGGAACTTGCGACTCTCAGGGCTCTTGTGCGCTACATGACTTCCACAGCATCGCGTGGCGACGTAGAGATTACCGACATATTCTTCCTATGCTTCCGTTTTTTCTCGACCCCTACCGAAGTATTCAGTGCTTTCATCGAGAGATATGATGAAAAGCCCCCAAAGGGCCTTCCTCCTGCGGAAGCATCCACCGTTTCTCTGTACGCGAAAATGCGGATCGCGAAGCTCCTCTTCCTCTGGGTTGAGTTACACTGGCGTCCAGAAGAAGATGGCGATGTTTTCAATCCCCTCATGCAGTTTGCGTTTACCCGTTTATCCAAGGACTTACTCAAGGAAGCATCTTCGAAGCTCGTCACTGCCTTACACGACCGTGCTTGCGCTGGCGAAAAGGGTCGCGGTATGCGCGTGGAGCGCACGGTTGCACATGCGGAATCTAAGATTCGGTCCGAGTCGCTTGTCTGTAAATGGGAGCCGAAAGACAAGAAGGCAATGGTCCGGGGCGATTTCGCCAAAGTTAACCTGCTCAGTTTCAATGTTCCTGGTGGCCATTCGCTGCTTGCTCTTCAGCTCACCCTTTTCTTGTGGGAGAAATACCGTGTCTTCGAGCCCGAAGATGCTGTCCGTTACTTGATGGTTCGCAAAGGAGATAGCACCGAACCAACCACCGAGGTCGCGCGCCAAGTGGCTAATTTCATGTCATATGAAAAGAGGCTACACCGATGGGTCATGGATTCCCTGGCTTCCGCTCAGACTACAGAAGCGCGAACCGAACTTATCGAGATGTTCCTGGACGTCGCGCAGGTAAGCTCCACATTCCCAGGGGGTGTCAAGTTTTTGCTGATCGAATCCAATAGCATTGCCACGATATGCGAAACTATTCCGCGTCTTGTTTGATATCTCTAGCGTGTGACCGACCGAGCGTTTTACCTTTCCTATCGGTAAGCCTGTCATACGCTCTACGTTGTTAGTGCAAGTCCCTCACCAGGTACTAGGGAATAAAAATCAGCAGCAAGCATGAAAAGATAAAGGCGATGCTCAGTGAATTCTATACAGGAGGGAACAATCACTTCCGCGCGTACAAAGATGCTCTGCAGAACTGTCATTGTGCGGCATTACCTGGCATGAGTGAGTAACTACTATGCAGTCAAGGAAACATCGTGTGATGTGTTAAATGCGTAGTGCTTTTCATCGGCGAGGTCGCCCGTGGTTGTGGTTCCGGACCTTATGAAGCTCACCCTCTTGTCCCCGGTTCTCGCCTCATTAATCTAAGGCGCTACCGTCCCATTACGTGGGCCGTGCGAGGTTTGTCGTATTTGCTCGTGAAAGATGTAACATTTCCTGAAGGGAGTTACGCCAGCAATGGAAAGATGCCATGTGCCCTTCAAAATTCAACGCGTCGACTACGTGTGCGATTGGTTTGAGCACGTTCTTGCCCCATATCGCGAAGGCACCGAAATGGAGTGGGAGAACCGTATCCATGCTAAATGGTGAGTATGTTTATTTGAACCCCTTGAATTTGGTTGTTGACCACTTGCAAAGTCGCAAGATGTAGAGGAACACTCAAGAAAATGGAAAAGAGAAAAAGTCCGCAATTTGTGAAACATGCCACTGCCTGAAGTTAAATTATCCAAGTAACCATGACTCGGGGTGTCCAACTCAGCCTAATTATACACGTTCTTTCTTCGCTTTCGGATATTTTGCATTTTTTTGTGACGCTGACTTACCACGTTCCTTGGTTGTATGTATAACAGATCAGCATTCTGAAGACCCACACGATCATTCAACTTCATTGCCACCTCGATATACTTATGTATACCGTTTGTATCATCAGTGTCGAGTCATATCTATTGTAGTTGTTCTCGTGTATCCGTAGCCGTGGGGAAAATTAACATTCGTTCATCATCCGTGCTGTCCAGTGACTCCAATCTCTGCCAATCCTATATCGCCTAGCCCCCCTTTGCTACAAACGTCAAAAATGGTGATGCAGAATTTAAGAGCTGTAATCTGCGTGTGGCAAGCCCGGTCGGTATAAAATAGTTGTAATATCATTAGCGAGTGATAACTTTTGCATAAAACCATGAGGCAAGCCATGCGGGAGCTAAGCGTCTATGATGTTGGGCGGCAGCAGCCTCTTCTTCCTTAATCCGTTGCTCCGCGGCTATTTTCTCTTCAGCGATAGCCTCGTTGAGCACTGCCTCCCCCGTAGTGACGTTCTCGGCGACAGAAGTCCGCGAGGCTCGAGGAACAATAGACGCTGTAGAGCGGATCAACTCTGCTTGTGCGTGGAAGTCGGGACGCGATGCAGGGAAATGGAACTGAGTATCTTGTGGATGAATCTGACAGTGTGACATTGCCCTGGGTCGAGACAATCCCTCCCGTCGTTCAGACGACGGTGTGGGCGGAACGGCTTGAGCGTCCATAGTGTGATGGCGACGAGGAGCGCGCTGGGTACTGCTCTTTGCACTTGTATTGTTGCTAGACATCCTTTGACGGAAGAGGGATGGGCGGTGCCCATCGGCCGAGTCAATTTCTTCGTGTTTGTCCGACACTCTATCTCGGATCCCGTCAGGTAGGTCGATTTCCTCCTCTCCAGAGTACTGCTTAGGTGTGACGGGGAAACTGGAGCCGCGTTCGATATCAGGACTCCTGGTTGGTGATTCATATATTGGTGTCATAGCGGCATCACTGAGGGAGTACGACTGGCTGAACCCAAGATCACCTGCACCAAGCTCGCTGGTCAGCGATTGTTGAAGGTCTACCGTGTCGTCCAGGTCAAGTATTCCGAGGGGATTCCTCGGTAACCACAGAGCACTAGTGATGGGCCTGCTATAATATGGATTATCGTAAGGGATGTCATACCGAGGTCCGTCGTCCCATATTGGATGTGGAGGATGCCTCTGGACCAAGGATGTCGAGCCAGAAGTCCTTTCCAAAGCCAATGGCCCACGAGCGTCGTCCATTTGTTCTCCCTGATTGCTCTCGTTGACCGGGCTAAGTCGAGAAAAAGATCGTTCCCTGTTTCGAAAGGGAATCGGCGGACGGCTCCTGAGAGGACGGTTAAACCGAGGGCCAGCTGCGTACGAGAAGTTTATCCACTGCGGCAAGCGCCAGGTACGAAATATGGAAGTGTGTGATCTTGTGATATGCTCATCCTCTTTACTCCCGGAAGATTCGATCAGCTGGTTGGTTGCGCCAGGAGTCTCTGGATGGTCAGACTCATTTGCATTACCAGCACCGCAAACTGCCTTAGCCTCCATGATGTCATCTTGCTCGAAGCGAGAGCGACACATGCGAGTCATACTACACATCAAGATTTAGTAAAGCCGAACCTCCTAAGGGCTTAGAACATACACGAGCTTTACTGCAAGTGTGATGATGAACAAAACAGCTGCAAGCGCTAAATTGACGGTTTTCTTCAAGACAGCCATGTATGCGAGGAAAACGAACTGCAAAGTAGGTCAGGCTATCATTCAAACGGAATGGTCTACCCGATCGAACCTGGGAGAACATTAGACCTAAAAGGATGGTTAGGATTGCGTATTTACACGGGAATGGTGGACATCACACACCATCGAGAGAATAGCGAACCATTCTTATTAATAGAATTCGACCATTACATTCGTAGTTCTTTGCGTACACGTGAATGAACTGAGATATCTTCATCAACGCGGTCAGTATGAAAATCGGGTGCTTCAACCCACCTGATTCTTGATGACCGCTAAAACGAAGTTAGTATCGTGGCAGGTCAACAGATCATAACACATACCCGTCTCGACTACGAAGTATATCAAGCCAAATGGTACAACCAAAGGGTTAAGTATTGCGAAAAGCAGACAGACGTGAATGATAAGCAAGTGGTTAGGTAACCAGTCTGTCTGGAACATTCAGTCAAGGGGCTGTGAAGCAAGAAGGCATACACACAGTAGTAATCAAATGTGCGAGGTCGTATTCCATTTGCACGCTTGCGGGGAGTTATCTGCCTCCTAGTTGAAGGGTAGGCGAAGAGCGGCAGCTACAGTCGGCAGTGAGATAAATCCAAGGATCAAGTACAAGCCTTACGCCAACTGCAAATTTCGAGTTCCCTTGTCAGACATGGCAATGATGCGAGACGAGAAACGTACACAATATTAGCTCCAGGGAACCATGGATAGCAGTCGTAAATATCACTGTTAGGCTTTCAGTTAGTACGGGCGGAGGAAGACCTCGCAAAGATGGCGGAAGCTCACACCATCCAACGTAAAATGGACCGGCACTCGGGAAGCTGTCGGCCAATGTCTGGAGGATGTTACTCTCCGAAAAGTTGTTGAATGAAGTCAAAAAGCTCTGCAAGACCGCCACACCAACACAAAAGAATACGAGGACGTTAACAATAAGGAACTTGTAGTAGCGTATCATGATCGTGTCATCGATGAGGGAAAGGGTTGTGATTGTGTAGCCTTTCCTGGCAATTAAACGCAAAATAAGCGGAATTAAGATTGCCAAGAGGGAGATCAAGATGGTGGGGAGAAAAGATTGGATAACATCTTCTTGCCATGGATGGTGCGACAGATAATTATACTGCAGACGTTATAAGATGATGCAACAGCTTGAATTTACTTGGAGACTCACTAGACTTGGCCAAAAGCTGGCGATGCTTTGGATAGATACCAAACCGACAAAAAGGGATATTGGAAAAAGCCAAAATATTGTGAAGGCCCTAATGAAGCATTGGGAGACGTGATCATTCTTCAGTCGTCATACTCACCAGACACCAAGGCTGACTACCCAGTCTTTAACTAACTAGTGGACAACATCACAGATCATCCCAGTTAAAAGCGCCAGAAACACATACCTCTCCACGAAACGTCGCTTTCATTACTCTTCTCCACTCAATGTCCTCGTATTGAGGGGCCATAGTAACAAGGCAAGCCAGGGGGTTGTCGGGGTGAACGGCTAGATACCTACATGCCTTCTTCGCGTCTTTCGCATCCCTGAAGGTAACGAATGCTGTAGAGACCGGGTCGTACTCATCGGCTGCTTTCGCTCTGTTTTGCGTAATGAGCATCGTTGAAAGTTTCAGCTTGGCTGTATAGTAGTCGATGGTTGGTACTGTCTTCCCGCGAAACAGTACCGATAGATGAATAAGAGGTTGATAGGGATCAAGGACACTGCGTGGAAGACTGAGTAAGGCGTCCCACACTGTGTTGTGGTGGTCGTCGGCAGTACGTGACTCATTTAAGACACCGGTAGCCACCACCAGACTGCTATCCGCTCCGTGAGCCTTGGCTCTTCTCCAAAACCGAACGGTATCTTTGGACTTCTTGGAAAACTTGCGGGCGGAGGATTCCGCAACGCCAAACTCAACAACGAATGGTGAGAGGGCTCCGATGAGGAGGTCCATGTTTTCTGTTGTCATGTCATCCTTCACCGGTACCTGTCCTTCAAGGTCCGCTTGCTTGCTTCCAAGATCAACATTAACCACAGCATTGTCAGTACTGTCACGATTCGCGAGTTTTCGCCTTTCCACTTCGCGAGCGACAGCCACCAACATTCTCTTAGCGAGTTTGATATGGGCCTCCTCGAGAGCACATAGAATGCCTTCGCGCCTCTCAAGGAGGGAGGCGAGTTCTGTCATGTTTCTCGCTAGGACCACACGTTCAATAACGGGGATATCTCTTGAAACTCCATTATCCGATTGTGCTTCGTCAGATCCTCGTTCTGTCTCCCCGCCGCCCGACCTGACTTGAGGTAAACGGATTCGCTTGGGTATCCGCCTTGCCCGATTGAAACCGAATGCTAAAATCTTGTCCACCATTCCCGGCTGCGCGGAAGATGTTATCCCGACGGTTGGCAGGTCGATTGGCCGCGACATGTAATATTCAAAGTACTCTTTCAAGCGTTGTTCAGACCGTAATTCCACGGGTACATTCGAGACCATGACGGTACGCAGGCGTAAGCCACGGTTAGAATTCGCATCGTACGAGGGTATATCCTGGAATGGAAACTGAGGGCGCGGATGGGGATGATATTGCGCATCCCTCTCTGCGGCAGCACCGGATTCCGCAACATGTGCAGCCTTTTCAATATTGGCAACCCGAAATTTGAATGCGCCATTGCAAATGTAGACGAGAGTTGCTATCCAAGTGAGAGTGAGCCAGAATAGGAGGCAAACATGGATCCAAAGAAGTTCTAAGCCTTCTGCTGTTAGCACTAATGAAGCAATCGATGCACGTGTCATAGAGTCGGTGCCCACGTCATCCGGTGAGAAATGGATGTGGATTGGTAGTAAAATGGGCACGGTCGTGAACGTGTGCAAGAGGGTGAAGTACACTGGGAGACTCAATATGGACGTCACACGTTCAAAGAAAAAAAAAAAACACTTACAGCACCCTTGAAGGAAGCGAACGTAGAGAGCCGCGTCCACTCCTCTCAGCTCATTCAATCTTGCTTGTGGGAGTTTAACTGCCTCTTTCACCCATGATAGCGGTAACCCTTGGGGTATTGGGGGAGATGGATTCCTAAACTTTCGCTCTAAGACAGCTGGGTTCGGATGAAATGCCTACGCACCTAGCCCATGATCTTCCTTGGTATAAGCTTGTAAATCCATGCATAAGCGTGCGTAACGTATGGAAATGTAAGGGTGAACATACTATCCAAACTGCCAAGACTCCACGCTGCCGAGCCCATCGGGAGGATGAAACCCACGTCTTCGTCTGTAAAGCACTTCATAGGAGGCAACACATATTACCGTCAGACCAATTGCAATGATGCTCTGGTCGATGAGACCACTGTGAGGTAAAAAGGAGGTTGGATTTCGTAGAAAGGAACGGCTAGTTTTGTGATATGTACCTGTAGTCCTTAGAAAATGTTCTTGTCTCTATGTCTCCCATCCTGCGAAGCACAGTGCAGAACTACAAGGCCTATTATCACTGCTAATGAAGGTTGGGGAGAGAAAACGAGGGTGGAGTATCACCCGCTCGCGGATGGGGGGGCATGGAAGTCGCATGACGTCGATTTCCCCTCTTTTGATTCGCCGAACACACCGGGTACACAAACCAGTTCATACCGGATCGAACGAACCAGACGAACCAATACAAAAGCGAACCGAGTTACCTAATCATCTAGTGAACCTGCGGAAAGTATCTAAAGCATTCTACTTCGTGCGTACTATCCGCAACTTATGTGGTTTATAGACAAAGTTCTCCGCATAGTTCTTGGGAGGAATTCTCTTGACGGTCGAGGGTTGACTGTGATCGATGTTCAGCAACTCAACATGTGCAATATGCAACCACAGGGAACGTACATGTAGTAATCCCAACCTTCGATCGAGTAAAGAAGATCGCTGTCAACAAGAGAAGCAATCAGATTAATTGTTCAATTGGCATACCTTGCTTCTCCGCAAAATGTATAGCTGCTTCCTTGGTTGAGAATGATAGCCGTGTCCCCTGCATATAATCCGCGCTGTGGATAATTCAATTTAATCCATCCCCGGTTGTGTTGTATGAGTGCTGTGAACCGACGTACGAACTGGCGTAGCCCATCAACGGGTTTTCCCAGCGACCGCCACCCTGAAGGATGTCCCAATCAATACGCCATCGTTCTGACTTTGCAGGACCGGACTGCATGGTGTTGCGCGTAGACTGGAAGATGCGCACCGCGCGGTGACGCAGTTCGCCTTAACAAGCCCGCGGTCAATGCACCAAAATTTGCTCAAATAGAAGAGGCACTAACCAGGCGCGCCACTCACGACATCAGCTGTGAACACTTCACCATGAATCGGTTGTGATATTTGTTGACTTTCCTTCTCCGCGGGTTCCCGAGCTTGGACTGGTTGGGCAGGTGTGTCGGAGGCAAAACTACGAGCGCAAGCGTGTGACACAGCCGCTGCTGGCCTCTTGAGGGTCGTACCGCAAACACGAAGGAGAGACATTGTTTCTGACTCTGACTTGCGCAAGTCAGTTCAAGTAAACACCCAGATGACCGAATGGAAGCTTGTAACGAGACCACAATCTCCGGTAAATGCCGGTGGCTAAGCTCGTGGACTGTACTCAGCCAAGAGTCCCTCATCGGAAAATGTCATGTCACCGCCCACACCTATAGGAACGACGTGCTCGACCATTGCGGACACGTATCGATATCCTTTTCAGATGACGCGTCTACCAGAACAGAAAACCGAAAATCCCGCATCGGCAAGTTTCTGAATTTCTTAGTACACACAAGACTCAGGAGAATAACTAAAAACTACCGCGTTAAACTATCAATGCTATGCTACATCATCGGTCAATCACCCCAGCGTTACTCGTGTACCGACGCCACTACCCTCGCCAGGAGTATTACCAGGAGGTGACGGGAGCACCTTTTTGTTCAACTTCCGACTGCGACTAGACACAAAGGTCTCATATCTGGATTGTCCCCGTCATTATATTACCCCGCAATCAACCGAAAAAAGGGGAAAATATTATACTCACATGCGGCGGAACCTGTCCATCTCATGGCGAGGAACAGACGGACGAGCCGTCTTAAGCACCTCCAAAAAGTCCTCCTGAGTAATTTCATACTGTGTGTTATTTTTCGCAAACCGCATGAGCAAGATGATCGTTTGTGACAGATCTACGATGAAAGAGCCTGACCGACCTTTTTGGCTTCAACAGTACCTTTTCCCTTATCCTTGACCACAAGCGGCCCTCCTCTGGTTTTGTTCTCCACGATTTGTTGAAGCTGCGAACAATTTCATCCACGTCAGCAACTAGACTCGAGTCTAAATCATCTGTCGAACACACCCTTTTCTGCGTCTGAGACTCGTCCGCTCGCGACAGCGTCTTCTGCTCGCCAGAGCCACCCAAGCTCACATACTCAACACGTTTTGCCTCCGCATCCATATCGGTACCCCGAGCAGACCTTCTCAGGGTCGGCGACACGTCGATAGCAGCATGCACAACTCGAAGATGGGCGTTATACACGAGCGCCTGAAGATCCGCTCCCGAAAACCCTTCTGTCGCTTTGGCGATATCGCCAAGATTGACCGAAGCGTCGAGAGTGATTTTACGACTGACCGCCTCCAGAATCTGGGTCATGGTTTAAATAAATAGCGACTGAGGTCACAAAAGAACAGAATGCACCACGCACTCACCTCCCTGCGATCCTCTTCAGTCGGGCATGTCGCACAGCACGGACTTGTCCAAGCGGCCCGGTCGCAGCAACGCAGCGTCGATGAGATCCGGACGACTAATTGCCCATTGAGTTTCCTTCTTGTGTACGCAAGATAACTTCTCACCTTGTTGCTGCTAGGACAAACACACCCTCTAACCCCTCCACTCCGTCCATCTCCGTCAGGAGTTGGTTGACGACGCGGTCAGTAACACCCGTACTATCGTGACCACTGAAAAGCGCTAAACGATCACCTCCTCCGCGCTGTTAAGAAAGGACAATGGCGCCTTACCGTTTCGGAGCTATAGAGTCGAACTCGTCGAAGAATAAGACGCAGGGTTTTGCCGCAGACGCCCTATCGAACACATCCCGAACCTGTAAACTCGCGTGAGAACGTACCAACATCCAATACGCTCCGACTCACCGACTTCTCGCTCGCACCAATATACTTGTTTAATAACTCGGGACCTTTGATACTTATAAAATTAAGTCCGCATTCTTTGGAAACGGCAGATGCGAGCATCGTCTTCCCACAACCTGGATATCCGTACAGGAGAATTCCCGACCGCAGGCGTAACGGTGCCTGTTTGAACAAAGGTGCGTACTTTGTCGGCCATTCCATCGTCTCGCGGAGAATACGTTTGGCTTGTTTGAGCCCTGCAAAAGTGTCGTCAAGAAAACAAACGCATATAGCGATTAAAAGGCAAAACGCACCCCCGACATCTGCCCATTCGACGTCCGATTTTGAAAGCGGCACATCCTTCAGCGCATTCGGCACGAAACCCTCCTGGGCTTTCGTAAAGTCTTCCATCGAGAGTGTGACCTGGATGATACATCAACAACACTCTCGGTTCACACCACTGCCGTACCACTCACCTGTGATGCATCGCGTCCATGCAACTTGAACGCCCTGCTTGCAGCGCTCTGTACAGCCCGCTTCATCAAAGTTTGGAAATCGACCGGAGCATAACCTTCTGTGTGCACCGCGATCATGGTGTAATTTGGTGGGTCATCTGGGTCGAGCGCTTGCGCCGACGAGTCAGCAGTCCATGCTTTGACTAAGTTCTCCAGGACCTAGAAAGAGAGATATAGAGACAAACAAGTGATGCGAGGAAGCTGGTGAAACTTATCGAAAACACGAACCTCTTTGCGTGCATTCTTTGATGGAGGCTGGATGTGATAGATTTCTTGAAAGATATGTAATGTATGTACCAATGGATGCAGTGACGTCTTCGACTCTGCAATTCCGATCATCACCATGGCGCGAAAGTTCACTGGAATCGAGCGAGCGTTGGCCGAGAATTGAGCTATGAATAACTCTGTGATGATGCGGAAACGGAACGAGTCCGTGTGCTGCACAGAGAGTGAGATTGAGATGGACTTCTGATGGTTGGACTGTCACAATGAACGACCTACTTCGACTTCTGGACTCAGAATTTTATCCAGGTTGTCAAAAATGAGAACCGTAGGGCGGTGCCATGCTGCGATCTCATATAAGTGACGAAACAATTTTTTGAATATTTTGGTGTGCTTCTGACTGTATTCCTTGAAGTCGATGTAATGAATATCTTGGTCTGCATTCAGCACGCCGCGCAGAAGAAAGACCGAGGAAAATTGCTGACATGCATAAGTACGAGTGTCTTCTTCGAGACGTCTGGCGATTTCGCGAGCGAGCGAAGTCCTGCCTACGCCGGGTCTACCGGTCACCAGGATCGAGGATACTGTTCTGGGTGAGTCACATCGACCTCGACCATCGAGTTGACTTACACCCGTATACAACCTTGTCCTGGGAGTGTATGATAAAGTTGGCAAGCAATTGGTTGGCGGCTTCCTTGATAATTTGCTCTACTCCGCACAACACGGTCCTCGAGGGTCTGATGAAGTCGATGGAAAGGGGCCGGCTACATGAAGTACAACTCACGGTGTCGTTTTCTCTTTCGGTTGTTCGGTCTTTTTGAAGAGATCAGAGGTCGATTTTTGCTCCCCAGTGGCCCTCACGCTTTTCGAGGGTCAGCTTCATTTATATTGCCGAAGGGCCCACTCACTGGATCCAGTGCCAGTCACCTATTCCTTGCAGCCCGTTTGGGAAGAACGCAGTGGCTCTCCAGCACTTTGTATGAGCAACCGACGAACAAGAATTGATCCTCTGGAAATACTACTGGCTTGTTGTCGAGCATGTCGTCTGCCGATCTTTCCGGTAACTCCGCATTAGCGCCGCCTTGCGGCGCATCGAGAGGATTTGATGGTGGGGGCATGTAGCGATAAGAAAGTTTCACGAACTCGTTTTCATGTTGATCCTCGGAAGGCCATTTTGTGCCGGCTAGGATGGAAAAAGTGAACGGATGGATGTAAGCCAGCGGTGCGGTCTCAGTGTATTCCTGGTCCGGAGGCGAAATATCCTCGAGTAAACGCGACGGTAATATACGTAGAACCGTCTCTGGTAGTTTTGGTTGCTTCGATTCGTCTTGCGTAGGTACCTGGCGCGCGACTGCCTTTCCGCGCTGATGGGTTTTGGGCGCTATGCTCACTTCCGTGTTTGTCGTGAGTAGTGCAGCGTCACTCTTAGTGCAAGGTTGGACAGAGACTGGCGATTTCAGTGAGGGAAGACCCCCCTTGACAAACGGGGTGGACGTACCGACTTTGAGTCGAACCCTGGTTCGACCCAGCACCCATACATCGATTTCCTGACCTACTTTTGCCACTCGCACTTGAGATAGTAGGGTAGACTCGACGTGAGAAGCATGTATCTCCTGAAAGGCACTCAAGATACGATTGGTATGGACGGGGTGAGGGTACATACGACGATGTCCCAGTCGTCTGGTGTGATCGGTTCGGTTGAAACGGACGAAGCGTATTGTAAGTCGTGTAATAAACCAATCTCGACCTGACAAAGAAGATGACATTAGCGGGTGGGAGCGGGGATACATTGCGGACGTACGACATCGCCCTGGTTGAAACCAAGGCTGGTTGCGAATTGCGGATCTATCTCGACTGTCTCGAGTGCACTGTCAGTGGAATTGAAGTGGGCGAGGGACGACGCAGACGGCATTCCCGTCCATCCGACATATGCCTCGCCCTGATCGCCCTTCAGGTGGACGGCGAGACTCTGTGGTCGCTGTCCGAGGGAGCGTATCAGCCGCGTCTGCGTGGTCGACGGAACTGACCTACCACAGATCTCTCGACAAGTGGGCCATACAGGGAGATCGGCAAATGCACCAACGATGATTTCACCGACGCGTACTCCACTCGCGCTCGTCGGGGCATTGGAAGAGATTGGTATGGGGGCACGTGACCTACACCGGCTATTGGGGCTACATTTGGTAGTCGTTACACCGACAGTCTATTAGTACACTGCTCATTGTCGACTCGAGGAGCTCACTTGAAGCCGAGCTAGTGCGGCTAACGCTGGTTCGAGCAGGATGTGCCAGTGGGTAGGCAGTGCATCTTCCAATACACTGGCGAACCCTGCTTGACTCCGCACGGGACAAAGTTACCGTTGCTGGCCCGTGTTCTTACACCAACATGAGAAAATTATATCGCTCAGGTGCAGAGCCAGAATCGCCGAGCCAAAGACGGAAGATATTAAGAAACATCTCGAGGACGATGCCCGCTTAGAAGAAACAATTCACTACTAGCAAACCAGGCCACAGGACGGGTACCAAGTCACAGCAAAGGCTATCATCGAGTGGGGAGGGCGCGGTCAAGTCACTTGGTCTGGGCTTGCAAGTTTCAATTTTCATCCTCGTTCTGGTCCATTCTCCGCCGCCAAACTTCTCTAGGTGCAGCTATCTGTGCCAGGATGTCCCCTCTGGCTTGGACGCAGGCGACACCACCCAGCGATGTCTTCCTGATTCGTTATTTATGCGTCCTTTGTACGCAACTTTGCAACTACACCGACCTCGTTATCGATTTCGCTGTTACATTGATGCCACAGTACAGTATCATCCTTTAGTGCTTGTTACCTGCGGAACCATCGCTACTACGTTCCATGAACACGCTCTTAGTAGTCTGATCTCCGTGCACAGAGGAATCGAGTAAACGGTATTTGCCATCAGTATAGAAATGCTCGTGATAATATACACATGTTGATTCATAGTCCATGTCATTATGCTCGTTCCGTCGTCGTACGGTAGGGCTTATATTCTTAATCGTAGATCGGAAGAGGTAACAGCCTGACGTCTGCTCAGCAATCTGCTCAGCCGCACTCAAAAGATCATCCTACCTGTCGGCATTAAAAATGAAATTATTTGCTTTGTCTTCACTCTCCAAAAATCGCGACGGATAGATCACTGTCGGGTAATGAACTCCAACTCCAAGGCAGCGTTAGCCTGCACCAGGCTTACCTAGGTGTCCACGCGTCTCCTTCAGTAAATTCTCCATCGCCTCCAACTCCGCTCTGTCAAAGGGCCCCACACCATAGCGTTGGGGTTTCACTTTCGGAAGCTCTCTATCGCTGGAGTCCCCTTCCCTTCCCTGCGCACCTTCTTTGGTCCCCTGGACATTGTCAGAAGTCGACCGATCTTCCCTTGTCCCAGAGTGCGCCCGTGAAGCGGGCGCAACAGATGGACTGTCCTTGCGCTACCACAGTAGTGATTCAGTTCTAGCCAACTGACCAAAGAAAAAGGAGTAGACTCTCACGGGCTTCCAGAAACGTTCGTGGTGTGCAACGAACTCCGTGTATTGCTTCCACGTGGATATCGTGTCGTCCGGTACCGTATGGAATACTTTGCGATAAATCTCCGTCTGACGGCTCTGTCAGCACACTGCAATGACGCGATTTGGATTGATCTCACATTATGCACAGCGCACGCAACCCACACGTTCTTCCAGAACTTATCACAGATCGGATCCTCAAAGTAATCAGGAGCGATATGAGGAGCAGGTGTAGGCAAAGTCCACGTTTTATTCCCCAGTGTCCCTGCAAGATGCTTTTGCGAGTTCGATCGGCCACGAGGGGCATGCTGCTCCTCTTCACTGGCACCTTTAGTCCCTGAGTGCATATGTGGCACCGCATCGTCCGTAAGAGCACTCTTCGAGGCGTTTGTTGGCGCCGCATAGGCCTGGTCATCTGAGATGTGTGCCTCAGGCGGGTCATCACCACCCATCTCGGGTTGGTCACGTTTCACCAAATTCTCTCCGAGAGGCGAAGACTCCGCTTGGGCGGACGGAGGCCGACCCTCGTTAATGGTCTGTTCCTCTAGCGTCGGTACTACCGCACTAGCAAAGCCTGGTACCTGCTCTCCTTCAGGAGTGAAAGTCGTGCGTTCCTCTCGCAACGCCTCTGGCTTCGCAGCCTCGGCAAAGTGCTTTGGCGCCTCCGGTAAAACCATGTGCTCTGCCATACCTCCCGCAGCTGCCATCCCTTCAAGACGGGTGCGTCAGTTTTACACTTGCTTATACAGGGGGACGCCACAAACGAACCTTGCTTTAATTCCTCCGCCACATCTTCCAGCACATTCTGTGAAGGTTCTCCATGAGATGATTCTGTTTGTTTCTGCCCCTCGTCTACTTTTTCATGAGGGTCACATGCCTCCTGTGCCTCCTCAGGCTTACGTGGCTGACGCTGACTTGGTGCATGTTCCTCCTCGGATAGAGCGTCAACGTCAACTCCAGCATGCTCCCGCATAAGGCGGACGCGCAGCGAGTGAGCGAAGCGTCCAACTTGGAACGGGCGTCCTGCCATCGTGCTAGGGATAATTATAAATCACAAAAAAAAACTGGATGGCGAAAAGATGAACGTACCCATTGATCATGTCAGTGTCACGGATGACAGCAGCTATCTCGGAATCCCGGTCTCCCCGTTGGGAACGTTCATTGATGTTTGCACTCCCGATGATAGCTAGCCTATCGTCCACGATACATACCTTGCGGGCATATTAGAAAGAGAGAAGTTAAGCGTTGCACACTAATCAATACCTTCGCATGGACATAAACCTAAGTATAGATCAGTATCAGATCGCATTCTACAGTAGTTGTCACCCACGATCTCAGTTGTGAGAACATTATTCCGTAATTTGCCCCAGTTCCTCAACGAAAAGACCGAGATATAGTCAATGGGCTACGAGCCAGCATCAGCGCTGCCGCGGTGTAGAAACCAGTGCTTACATTGATATTCTCCTTACGGAGGCGGGCATATATGGAGTTAGGTCCACGGAAAAGGGATCTATTTTGACACTCGACAATAATCCGAACCTACCAGCGGCTCGTGAGTGATGCACCGCTTTGTACACGGTTAGAAGCCTACCGCGCTTGCGTCACCATGCTCGATGGGAAACGGGAATCCAGGGAACAAAGGAATAATGATGCAGCACCTCCAAGGAGTGCGCTCCCGGTGGGCGCGAACGATTCGTTCTACGAGTGCATCCCCAATACTGTTCTCAATCTTGACGTCGTTGACAACGGTGCTTCCGCCCCGATAGATGTCAGTATATTTCCATGCAGATAACGAGAGGCAGGAAACTCACGATGTGATAAAGAACTGGTTTTCTATGTACACAAAATGCTCGGATGCTGAGATCGCTGTAGTGTTTGAGGAAAAAAGTCGTTTGAAAAAGAAACCAGCACACACCGTGCACGTATGCAATTTGAATAGAATGCTCAACCCGATCTGGTGTGCCAAGTGACCATGGCCCAGCAGAACGGCAGATCTGCATTTCACAGGTCCCAGTCAAACCCAGCGCAGCAAGTTCGGTCTGCTTGAATTCAGGAGGAGGTAGGAGGAATGGCATCGGCTTCGAGTGGTTCTGCAACTCGAATCAGAGATATGCAGTCGCAGTAGGACGATGAATAATACTTTGATCCTAAGCAGATAGTTCCACCTGTCGATGGTCAGCTTAGAGCACCCTTTACGTCCATGAAGATATATATACCTTTGCACGAAATGCCTAGCAAGATCTCGTGCTGGTTGCCCAACAATCTGCATTCCAACATCGTGCCATGGCATTCGGGGAACCTTCGACCGATCGTACATATTTTCATCGGGTTTATTCAATGTATGAAAGTCAATGACTCGCGGATTGCTGTAGTCCTTGCCTACGCGTTTAATTTCGTTAGTGTCGAACCAACAAAACACGGAGGTAGACTTGCCAGGCCAAATTTCAACTTTGTTTGGGTTCAACCCAGCATCGTCTACAAGGGCGTGCTGAGGGGTATCCCACCTGGCGGGATGTCACTTGAGGAATATCTTTATTGCTAACTGCATGCTACGTACCTCCCAAAGCAAAGATCAATACCACCTACAAACGCGATAGTTTGATCAATCACACAAAGCTTCTCATGCTAGATGAGCAGTTATTTGCCAGGAGCACATCAGACAGATACCCGTCGACTCACATGAGCCCAATAGAACGTTCCAGTTTGAAAGTGAGATGGTGAACGCTGAATCATAATATTGTGATGAAGTGAAGTTAGTTTTTGCTTCGTATAACTAAACAGGCAAGTCAGCATTAAATCATGGAGGCAGTTGAGCCACGGACTTGCTGTCTGTTGGAGTGGTTCTGCTCGATACTTCCTGGCTGATCATCGTTGAATGCCTAAGACGACCGCCGGATGTACGATACCTACTATATGATGATAAAGATTTTGACACCTTCCTTTGCCTTTCGCTCCAGAATGTTGTCCAGACGGTACTTCAGTTTGTTCGGACGACGTAGCTCGAGCTCTTCGGCATATCAGAAAGTAGCCACATTTACACATTACCTCACGTACCCGGCGAAAGCCACCAATCATGGATGTAAATCGTCTCTCTTGCCATCATAAGGGCCCTAGAAAGATTCCACATGTAGTCGCGCTTAACGCATGAAGTTAAGGTAAGTTCCCCTAAACGAACCACAGGACATAAGTAACTCACCCCATCAACGAGCCACTGCGCAGCCACGTTCGTCCGTACAGGGGCGAAACTATCAAACCTATTCTTTGCCACCCAAGGGGAAAACCTGGAAGCTTTCTGCAGTGCCGTGATCCATTGCAACATCTGACGCTGTCCTCAAACACGTGCATCAGTCTAGTTCATATAATATTACAGTGCAATTGGCTCACTTCATTACGCGCAGTCAATTTCAATTTCATCTGCGAATTTTGGACGTAAAATGTGTGCTTAGATACGTCTTGTGGCCGTTTCCCTCCCTGCCCCTTCTCCTCGATCGTGGGCTGCGCGTCCCTAGTCCTCCGCATCTGTGCTGAGAGGGTCCCGATTCGTGGAGGGGTCGACCATCGGTGATCGCATAGATGGAGAAACACCAGAGCCGATCGACAGTCCGGCATCATACCACCCGTCCGATTGCCTATTGGAGCTGCGCTTTTCCACAATTTCGGCAGTCAAGTTGGGAGGAGGGTGATGTCCAAAACAAAACACGCGTGACAACTGGCTCTTGCAGGATTCCATGAAAGAAGGACATTTTGCCTCATGTTCCGGAACAGTGCGGACAACCTCCCGGGCGGTATGGTTTCCATGGGCATTATCATCTGATGATTCATGCCGGAGAAGATGAAAGCCCTTTCGGTAGTAACGCACAGGTTGAATGATGAGGAAGTCGGAGTCTAGCAGGAAGACGTCCCAAACTACCGTCTAGCAAGGGATATCAGAGGAAGATTTCAAAAAATTATGAACACGCGTACCTCCCCAGGGTCCTCGACTATGACTATACTACTCTCTCGGACAGCACACCAGCGCAATTCTTTACGCGCCTTTCGGCCTAATGACTTGCGCCCTATGTTTACTCCATTTCCCGCCATACCGACTGCGCAGGAAGCCGCCTTTGTATTGCAAGCCCGTCGGAGACAGGGCTATGAACAGGGCACTCATCTCCAAGAAACCTGCCAACCTATTGGCAGACGGATGCCACATCTTGCATCAATGTGTTAAGGCCGATCAGGTAACGTGTTGAACATCACTTACCACGGCGCGGATGAGACGGAGTAGATAGTTCTCCAAAGCTTCACGCTGTAACCGGGCAAAGTCGGCACTGCTAACCGCATTCCTGTTGCTCTCACGCATGAGGAACTTGAGATATGGGAAACCTGACATATTCGCGTCGTTAGTTGTCAAAGAGCGACCCAGGGATAGACTACTACGAACTAGGTTAGGGGAAACTCTGGCAATGTGTCCTTGTTACCGCTGAAAGTGTTCGATACCTTATAATGCGTATGCAAGGAAACAAAGTCACGGAGTTGTCGATAGATGACCCATCGAATAGCACCGTTCGCGTATTCGCACTCTATGCGGAACACTGCTTTCTGCGAGTGTAGTGGATGTAAACTATCACTGATACGAAGACGAACACGGTGGAGAAGGACCGGAATGCGACGGTGACCCTTCTCGTCGCGCTCCAACCACAACTTGAGCATGATAGCAGAGAGGACAGCCTGTAATCAATTCATCCGTAACGTTTACCTCCGGAGAAACCACAGAATGTGTCGGTTCAGGAGAGGACGGAGTATGATGTACCATTGGTGCCATGAGTAACCAGCACCTTTGCCCACCTGTCGGAACTCTGCTTCTTTCCACACTCGGGAGCAAGAGTTTCGGGTCCTTCAAGCTGTTCTGAAGCGATATGCTCCTTGCCCGTTACTGTATGCTGTTGATCATGCGCCTGCTTTTCCCGGCCATCGTCCTGTTGTAAAGGGGCTCGTTCATCGATAGGGGGTTTCTCTTTCTCCTTCCCTTTACTCTTCGCGGAAGGCTCCTGCAACCGTCGGAATGGCGTCCAACTATCGCTCATAGTTTTTCTCTTGTCCCGGTTGACACCGTTTCTTCCGCGTATCCTTTCTTCGGAATCGGAGTTATGTAATTCCAGAGGATCGCGGAATGACGCAAATCGGTGCGGATCAGGATGGGAGGGAATCCCAGCACCATCACTTTCATAGATATCTGCGCTGTCTGGATCATCATAACGTGGAATCATCATCTGCGACATGGCAGGGGAATAAGCTGGGGTAAAGTGATACGAAAGTGACCGTGGGGGGCCTGTCCGAGCGGAAGGGGTATCCGGTAAGGAGAGTCCGGGTAATCCAGGAGACACTCCGGTTGGGGAGGGTAACATAAAAGCCTGTGGTGAGACATGTCCGTTGCTCCTTGACCGTGATGGCATAGCGTCTAAGCTATAGCAGCGATCATGAACGCGCATGCTACCGTTTCGTGCAACGGGTTCCCGGGTTTCGTTAGCGTTTTGGTATGAGGTATCGGTGAGTGCCGTGGCTATGACGTCTGCAAAACTCCCATTCAAAGCACCAGGATGGGGAATCTTCGGAGGCTCGTCGAGCGCCATGACCCAACCACGTCGCGCTGGGGCAAGTTACAGTGAATGAGCCGTCTCCCGTTCCAACAGACCTGCAAACGAAAAAGGACACATGGTGAGAGGTCAGCTAGTGGAGAAAACCAGCACTACACCACACACCACGACCGGTTGCAATGAACGCTGGCACGGAGGTTCGGGTGGGAAGACTCTCAGCAAGCAATCGGCTAACCGAGATTTAAAACCAATTTAAAACAGTTGCTCCCATGACGTAATCTTCAATCCGACCATCTCACCGGCTTCTCTTCTTTCATGCGCGCTGGCACCGTGAGTGCAATTAAATGTATTAGGACTGCCCCCCCTTCATACCGGCTACCGCGAGGTTAGTTGATTATTTCTCTTGCTCGCTTCGCAGCTCGCAGCCCCGCCTTTCTACCAAACACAGTCCCGGCGGTCAATCCGCTAGCGCCGGGATAATTGCTGTAGTACAGATTTCCGACCAACTCTCCTGTGCAGAACAAACCTGGTATAGGCTGACCCACTTCCGACAGCACTCCAGCAGTCTCCGGATCGATTGCTAACCCTCCAAAGGTGAATGTGATCCCACAGGCCACCTTCACAGCAAGAAAAGGTGCTGTATCGACTGGCATTGCCCAATTGGACTTCGGCACAGCGAGTGACTTGGTTGAAGACTGCGTGGACAGACCGTCCTTGACCGCAGGGTCCCATCGTAGGTTCGGATTCTCCAACCGGTATTGAGAAACCGCTGAATTGTACTCCCCGACGGTCTCTAGAAATCTAGCGTTGTCACGAAGGCCGTGTTTCATCATCTGGTCAGCGAGTTCTTCGATGCTCGACGCTATAATTTTCTCTACGACGCCGTCACCATACTCCTCCTTTCGGAGAAAAGGTGTCATGTTTGCATCCCACACCTGAAAGGCGAAACCTTCTGGCTGGGAAAGAATCGCCTTCCCACACCTCGCGTAGGTATAATTCCGGAAATCTTCCCCTTCATCAACAAACCGCCCGCCGTCGATATTAACCATGATGCCCAGCGGATACCCATTCTTTGTCAATTGGTTGTTTAGCTTCCGGTCGCCAGCATCAGCTGACGCGTTGGCATCCCAGCAAGTGCTGTGGCAGCCAAGCCAGTCGCCGACCAGTTTGGCACCTACAGCTTGTGCCATACTAATACCGTCTCCAGTATTAAAAGGCGTTCCTCTAACCTGATTAGTCCCCATAAGAGTGAACTGTGAGTCAGCAGAGAAAAACGTACCCGTGCTTTTTCCCAGCCAGCTCCCATATTTTTCATACGCAACTCAACACTTGCTTCATACCCACCACATGCCAGTATGACAGATGGTGCCCCTAGCGAAACTTCTTGTCCATCTTTGCGAACAACTACCCCAGTCACCTCTCCACGTTCATATATGAGTTGCACTGCTGGAGTATTGAACCATATATTCACCCCCGCCTTCTTCAATGCCTCCATATCAGCATCGATCAAACCCTTACCCCCACCCTCAACACTCAAGGCAACTCCTCCCCAAAACTTTTGCCTTCCGTCTACTTCATATGCCTGCCTATGGAACGACAGCATAAACGGGACATCTACCACTCTCGCTAGCCACTCGATTGCGTCCCTCGAATGGTGAACCATAGTCTCGACGAGCACAGCATCCGGTTTGTTATCCCCTAAGCACATGATGTCACCGAAAAAGTCGTCGAGAGAGTACGGCTCGACATCGATCTTCTGAGCTTGTTCCGGCGTGACGTTCCGCACGATGGAGAGGAGATCTGGTAGGCCATCGTGTAGTGTGCGGAATGCGCCGGCCGTAAAATAGCTATTTCCTCCCACCCACTCTTCAGGCGCTTTTTCGACAATCAAGACATTCTTGCATCCAGATTCAGCCGTTGCAAGTGCCGCCGAAGCGCCTGCATGACCACCACCGACAACTACGCAGTCGAAGTCGGTAAGTTTCATGGGACTTTCAGAGAAGGTAGATAATTGGTGAACGCAAATCTTGCTGCTGAGTCATGAGGTCTGTGATCATCATCCATGGAGCACATAACGATAAACTGGTTGTTATTCGGGTCCACGGTCTCATCATGGGAATGGACAACTACAAGGTAACAGTTTCTGGTGAATTTAAACCCTAGCAGGGTTAACAGCCACATAACCGCCATCTATCACAATCTCCTGTCCATTCATGTAACCTGCGGCGGGAGATGCAAGATATACCGCTGTCCCTGCCATCTCCGTCGCGCTGGAATGTTCTCAGTGGCCGCATACCAATCACGATGGAGGGAGGGCTGTACTCACGACCCTGGCCGCTTCGCTGGCACCGATATTACCGGCATACCAACCGCGTCCGTTGCCTGCTCTCCGTCTATGACGTCATGGGTCATCTCGCTCTCGTACACGCCGGGCGCAATGGCATTCACTCGGACTGGGATACCCTTGAGCGCGAACTCGGTGGCAAGCATCTTCGTAATGTGTGATGCGGCGGCCTTAGCACTGTTATAGGCGAACTAGATAATACCCCGCGGGGAGCAAGTCAGCTACTGTTTGGTCAGGTATGCGGTCAACTCACGTGTCGCTGGGCGAGCTTGATTAAGCCGCTGATACTGGTAACGTTGATTACACTCGACGTGAATCCAGTTCTGTCGTGAGACCCTTTCTCGAGAAGGCCGAGGAACGCCACGGTAACAAAGTAGGTCGAGAACGCGTTGATTGCATACAAACTAGACCATTCTTCGAAGGATTCTTGTCCAAAGAGGTACTTGCCAAGTTCGTCTGCGTTCTTCGGTGACCTGGGCGTGGGCTTATTGAGTTCCGGTGACCTGGGACCCGACTGTCCCGCACTGCAATATATGCATAGGTACGTAGCACGCCGTCAGCTACTGTCGCTCGTGGAATAGAAGAATATATCGGACTTGTTCACGAGGATATGCAGCTTGCCTTCATCCCTTGTCAACTTATCCACGACGGCTTGTATATCTTCCTTGTCCGTGACATCCATCCCTACGCTGAGCAATACCGTCCACGGCATCATGATTGCCACCACGACCATATCAACAATGTCAATACTGCGCAGGGACAGAGTAAACACGATGGGGCCAAGCTCACGCGATCATGCTTCCCACCAAATCGCCCTTCTTCTGGTTCCACTCGTTGACGACGCGATCTAAGACTTCAACTCGCCTGCCGGTGATATACACGCGCGCACCATTGGCCGCCAGGCCTTGTGCGATCATCAGACCGATGCCGGTTCCGCCTCCTGTCACGAGGGCAACGAGGCCGTTGAGATCGTATAGCTTTTGAAGGGTAAAATCAGCTGGAGAGACCATGATCCGTACTATCTAACGTGTCCAAGTATGAACTTATACATGGAGGGATCTGATCCGTCCGGGCCGGGACATCGATTGGTCTCTTCGTCTCTATTTCTGGGATTACAAACATTAGATGGCAAGTATATACACCAAATGGGGGATTACACTAGGGAATATAATACAGAGTTCTTCCAGGACTACTTTCGATTACTCTTCGCCCAGTAGCCCCATCGAGTTATCATACACCACGAGGGTCCTCGCAAAAGTAAGGTGATCTTCCAAGCCCAAAGATTAGGGGTACATCTGCCCACCTCCCTTCGACAACAATATCCGTCAAAGGCATCCAGCATACCTGTCCAGAAAAGACATCGAAATACGGTACTGTATTGCGGCGACTACGACGGTGGGAAATACGATCCGCATGATCTGGTCCATCGTACAAATAAAGCTTCTTCAGCCTTGGAAGCGATAAGTGAGAAGCAACAGAGGTGAGTTCAGTTGGCACTTGTGCGCTTGGGCCCTCGATGCCGAGCGTAAAAGACTCGAGGTGGGGCAAAGTCACAACATCTCCATCACCAATCGGTGATCCCCCTCCAATATACAGTACTTCTCTTTCTATCATCGTCACCTTAGCTGCGAAAGAAAGCTTTAATTCCCGAAGCTGACTGGACACTTGAAGCATTGACAGCAGCTCGTTGACCGCCTTCTTCCCAGAGGTGAACCCGTGATGAGTGTAATCCAAATACCGGAGGTTACCAAACAACCCAGAGAGCCACGTCAATCGTACACCCTGAACCGTCAACCTGGTGAGTCTCGGAGAGAACCCGCCGAAAAGGGTAAACTCCTTCGTATCGTCATTTCCGGGGTATCGGAGACTGAGTGATTCTAGTCGAGGAACGGATATGGTAACCGCCCCTCTAGAATTTGCATCACGGGATGCCGGTGGCGGTTCAGGGTCCCAGATGGCTGGACTCCGAGGGCACAGCGGTCCAAGAGCGGTATTCCACAAATAAGGCATACACCCGTCGAATGATATATCGATCGATCGCGTACGTGCGAGGTGAGGTACGAGCATGTGCATCTGGAGTGCTACAGTATCGATGTCGAGCGATACAGCAGAACTAAGAGGTGAAGAAGTGATTACGATATCTAGCGTGCACGATCGAGCGCGCCGAAGACGTTCTTGCCACATGGCCAAATCGGAGCGTCGAGTGAGCGTGATACGTCTCCAGAGTGTTTGTGCGTGGAGCGCGACAGCCCTCCACGAGTGGCATACATGAGACACGAGGACGGGGAACATTACATCGTCGGATGAACCCAGCATGAAAACGTGCACGAGCAATTCAGGAGGCAATCTGTGAACGGGATGAACGGGCATGGTGGGATTTGGGCTGCGATAGAGAGAGGAAGTCATAGATGGACGTGAGTCCAACGCCGAGGAGCTCACACCCTGTGGTATCGTGACCGACGAGGCGTAAGAGCGCACATTAGTGCGATCTGTAAGACGTGATCTGCCATGATCGATGCAAGGACGACTGAAAGTTGACATATCATCAGTCCACCGTAGTCATCGAGAGACAAGATCAAAACTCACTGCTCAGGATAGACCTTGTCTCGGATGGCATTCGTGGACGAGCGGGTAAGTGTCAGCTCGCGGCGACGAGATCGCCTGAGGGTGGAGGGCATGCCCGTAGATGGGGCCCGTGTGGGCCTCGTTGACATCGCAATCGCGGTGGAAACCTCATTTATGGCTCAAACTAGACAGCTCCCGTGCCACAGGGACTGTGATGACTGCATATCGGGATGTGTGACCGCTTGAAGAGCTATCTGGGAGCCGAAGCCTTGAGACAGGACAAAAGAAGTTTCCGGGCGCTCCAGCGATTTGCGGTGCTGTGTCTGCCATTGGACAGGCAGTGACAATAGGAATTGAGACTACGGCCGTGGGCGAGTTCCGAGCATCGTTTTTGTGTCCTGGACAGCACTGGAGGCCTCGGCGAGACAAAGCAGGGAGGGCCGTTGAACGGTTCTTACCAAATTGCACCTCAGAAGTGCCATCAACAAGGGAAACTGTCGAGAGCACCCTTTACGGAGGTAATACTGACGCTCGTACTAACACTGCCCTTTTCAAGTAACACGCGACTCACACAGATAGGAGTGTGCATATTCATTATGTAGTTCCTAGATGCGAATGCGTAAACGACTTCCGTAAGGTATCCCTCATAATTTCGCTCGCTCCTTCCTTGCCCTATCACGCAAGACCCGTCTAAGTAGCTTCCCCGTTGGTGCCTTCGGAATAGCATCGATGAACTCGATGCCCCCAGCGAGTCTCTTGTAAGCTGCCTTCTTACTTGCTACGTACTGCAAGTCACACTCATCAATTTCCGGGTGCAAGCACCTATCAGGGTATCGCACAATACTTTCACATACCTGAATGATGGATTGCTTTACTTCTCCCGCAACGCGCGGGTCTTCTCGGACCCGCGCGGCAGTCTGGGGGTTCAAGACGACAAATGCCATGGGAAGCTCGCCGCTATACTCATCCGGTACACCTACAACACAAGTGTCCGTGGTATCTGGATGTTCGAGTATGCAGCCTTCCAATTCCGCGGGAGAGACTTGATAGCCTTTGACCTTCAATATTTCCTGTAATGTTGTCAGACTTCCCGGTTAGGGTTACCTAAACTTTTGCACACCTTCAGACGATCGACGACGAAGAGATGGCCAGTCTTGAGTAGTCTAACCTCGTCTCCGGTCCTGTACCAGCTGCCAGCATACCGTCTGAACTTGTAATCCACATCTGAGGCATACTCACCCATCCGAAAATGTCTCCTTGTGCCTATAAGGAAGGGTCAGTTACTGCTGCAGAAGGTTTTCGGGTCAAAGGCACGCACGCTTCGGAATCGTTGGTATACCCCAAAGCCAGCGCTGGTGACTTGATCACCAACTCGCCCAACTCACCCCAGTCAGCTAGAGAGCGATCGGGTCTCTCAACCCTGGCCGAAATACCGGGTAACAGGACACCAGAGCTGCCACTCAAGTCGGTCTTTGTCTCCAAAGGACAGAGCGCAATTGTTGATGCTTCAGTTGTGCCTATTTAAATAGGCGATCATATTCAATGACGGGCGAGTTATTGAGTTTTATAATACTTACCATAACCCTGTTCAATATGTGCACCTGGGAACAGTGGTGCAACTTGGTTCATTGTCTCACTGGCGAGCGGAGCAGCCCCTGTTTTGATGAACCGAACGGAGCTCAGGTCATACTCCCGGACCTTAGGGTACTGTGACAGACAGTGAGAAGCTGAGACTGGAGAACGAGAAGGGGACTCGCCTTGCAGATGAGGACGATCTGAGGAGGCACGAGCCTAAAATGGATGTTACGTTGGTACGACGTCGGAAAAAGGAATCTCACGGTAGATGTGTGATGCGGAACTTTTCAATGGTTCGAAGAAGGTTAACAAGGTTGAATTTGTTGATCAAGACTAGCGTCATCTGCTTCCTGTATCACCAAAATGGATACCTATCACAAGCGTCACCAGTAACTTACCCCGCAGAAAAGCATGAAATGGAGCTGTACAAAATCAGCCTATCTAACAGCCACTCGTGATAAATGAAACTCTACATTATAAGCCAATCCAAAGATATCTATAACTGTGTTATTTCGGAAACGATTAGTCACAGCCAATATACTCACGGTAAATTGGGAGGACTGGTTAGTTGGACGTCAGTCTCCACCATCTACGGTCACAAAGGAACCCACCAGCAGACGCTACGTCTCCAGGTCTGAACCTTCGTTCTTCCCATGGTACTTTGTCGTCATTAACCCTGAGATGAAAAGCTACTTGAATCGAGGTGGCGATTGGCGTGTAGTGCGATATTGCGATAACCTTAACCCCTGCCAATGAAAAATTCCGCAGTGATCGATTACCTATGCCTACCTTAGGTTTTCCGGTGGTGCCACTGGAAAGATTCACAAATGCAACTTTCGTCTTCCCTTCGCCAGGGTTCAACCTTCTCTCGGTGAAACCTGGAGGACTGGCTAAACCAAGGGTGATTAGACTCTGGACGGTGGTCGCGCCAGGAGTGCAAGACCCGCGGTCATCAAACACAAGAATACGATTGGCATCGATGCCTGTCGCTCTTGCTGCCAAGTAGGCAACGTGCACGCAGTCAGGGTGCGATATGAGTATCGCGGGTTTGACCATATTCACATGGTATACAAGCTCGTCTGTGGTGAAAGATGCGTTGGCCCCACTGGATCGCTTTTGGTGAGGGATACACGCAAGTAGAGTCTGTGCACTTACGAAATAATAGCCCCTAACCTGTGAACCGCCCACATGGCGACGGGGTAATCTAAGAGGAAGTGAACTAATATGGAACAGGCTATGACGAGACAGCGAACCAATGTGGTTTGGACTGTGTATGAGAACTGAAAGGCAGTTGCTGTGACAGTGACAAAAACCAGAGATAAGGCATACCGAGGTCATCCTCCTCTGCGAGGGAGTAGTCAGACGCCTACGATAGAGAAGGAAGCGCTCAGAAGAACTCACTTATAGCGTACTTAATTTTGAGCCCGTTTGCGAGACCATAGGTGCGAGCACGAAGCTACATAGAGTTGGCAACGAGTTGCTCATAATCACCGAGACAACTGCCATACCTCTTCCAGCCCAACTTTGTTCCCTGTCTGCCCGTCAATGAACCATGGGATGTCGTGCCTGCGAAGAGGACGGCAGGGGTGGTGGTAATCTAGAATGAATTGCGGGACTGTCAGGTCATCTGGGATGAGCGGAAGATCTTCGGCGGAAGAGACTATCTCAGCCATCCGTGGGTCTTCGTGAACGGGGGGGAAAGCTGGAAACTTATCGTGTCACGTCATGTATATATTCACCGTTGACTTGACACGTGGCGAGGAGGGAACCAATATGCCCCGAGCAGGCCCAGTGCCAGAGCTGTCCGAGTACATAAGTAATCCGTGGTGAACGCGAAAGACACGCAAAGTTTCTGGCGATCCACAGCCGTGAGGTGATCGGGGTCTTTGTTCCGTGTTCCGGCGTATGGAGCCTCTGAGTTCTGTGACACGCTTCCGCCGACTCGTCTCGCGCGATATGTGGCAACCGGGGACGAGGTTTCATGGATACCTATCATGGACGACAAGGTAGTTTCACTGATCAATACTATACCCCAAGCACTAAGTACCAAGTTCAGAGTGTTCACGTTGATCAACCAAATATATGCGGTGATCGGGGTCTTTGTCCCGTGTAAGTATGTGGACCCCGAATGTGGTGACGCGCTTCCGCCGGCGTCGGTGACCTCCTCAGGCTTGCACGATGGACGGAGTCGACGAGACACAAAGGCTGGAGAGGCTGGCTGACCTGCTGACTCAGCTCTCCTCCAATCCCTACGATGTCGCTCTCCACGCACAGCACATTTCTCTGGCCATGTCCCTGTCGGGCATGGACTCGCAGGTTCTGGAAGCACGAGAGATGGCCACCAACTATGTGGCAATGGGAGACGAGGTTTGGATACCTATCATCGACGACAAGGTAGCTTCACTGGCCATGGAGGACGGCGTTAAAATCACCGAAATCTTGGAATTGTATGAGCGTGCAGAGAGAGACTACCTATGTCTGTGCCATTGTCATTCCCCCCAAGGTATTACCCACTTACCGTTGCGGCATCACAGCAATCCCATTGTTACGCAAGCATGTAGAATTCTTGATTAACGTCCACGAGCATTTCAATGGGACCACCTTCGATTCACCGGAAGAGTTACAGGAGGTATTTACATCCGAATGGGCACGAGACGCTATCGACGAGGTAGTAGCCAAGGGTGCCGTGCACTTGACTCAAGCAAGCATCTTATTTTTTCTCCTTGCAATGTGTCTTATCCCCCACAGAGTCAGCAGCTTTGGCAGTTACAAAGGGACTGGGAACTCGACATGCTTGATAATACTCCAGTAGAGGACAGGCGCGTTTGACAGCAGTCTTTCAGTTACCCCCGTTTTCATCCCTTTTCCATACAGGGCACCTCTTGTTGGCTCTGTTCAGAATCTCATTCTCGAGCGACTGCATCAGCCACACTCAGGTTTGTGTTCCAACGGGCATGTGTCCATTTTTGAGGTTGCGAACTGGGTTTGCATATAGGACACGAAGACACTTTTCAATCGTATTCATCGTTTACGACAAAATATATGCCTGCCAACGGGTACGAAGGACTTCTCGTCGCTGCATCCAAAGTGCGTTCCCGTGCGGCAAAAGCATATGAACGCCGTGAAGGCACTGAGCTCGGACTTGTGCGTTATCGATCATTAGATGTCGAGCTTGTTTGTCAATTATTTGGTAGACTTCGCTGGATGCATATGCGCAATATATTGCTTCTGAACGACGAGCAAAGAACCCTGATGTGTTCGTATTGACGGGTGTATACGAACGTGCCGTTGCAGAGGCAGCCAAGCGTCGGTTTGCTGGAGAGGTTGGAGCGGAAGAGGCCTTGCGTTCGTTTTGGATAGGGTACCTGGATTTTTCGGTGAGTATGTTCCCCCGCGATGACTTAGCTACTCAAGTGACATCTTGGAAGAGGACACAAGGAGTCAAGGACAGCGAGATGACAACTCTGTTAGGTCGCGCAACAAGGAGCGTGCCTGGATCAGGTGAAGCTTGGGCGAGATATATTCGTCATTTGGTATGTTATGGTTCGAAGTAGTAGCTAAACGTTGATTATCTTCTCACAACAGGAAAAAGGTTTTCTTTCCGAGAACGAATCGATGGAGGAGACAGAGTCGATTTCGGGTAAGCCACAGGTTCTGCTCTTGCTATTGCGGTTTTTCACAATCCACCTAGACGCATATAGCCGAGCTCTGTCTACCAATCTTTTCACAAAACTTGGTAAAAACAGTCCAGATCGTGACCCGGAACAGATCATTCCACTCGTCCTTGCCCGAGCAAGTGCGGAGAAGCATGCTATTGAGGCAGGGCGTGCTAGCGAAGAATCGCTTGCTGACCTTGTCAAGATCGTAGTGGACGGACTGGCGATGGTAAGAGGAGGTGGGTGTTGGCAAAAAATGGGAGAAAGACAGGATTGCGATCTATATACCTTTTTTTTGTAGCTTCCAAAACGGGGGACCCGAGATTCAGACTTGAGAAATTCCTCTCCGAGTGGGTGCGCACATAAATCGCCTCGGATAAGCCCCTACGCACGATCTTTACTGACCATCGTAGTACCTGAACCTTGCTGATATGCCTGATGCAGCAGTTCAACTTTGGGCAGCCACTGCGAAGCACTACAAATCGAGTTGGGCATCCTGGGTAGCATATACGGATGTTCTGATGTGAGCACTCCCCCTATTTCTGTCTCAGTTTTATTTGTATAACCTCGAGACATTTATGCTCCTTCAGACGCACAGACCACCATGATCTTGCCCGTTCGACTTTTCAAGACGTCAGCACCAAAAATCTAGATTATCCCGAAGCGTTGTGGGATGCATGGATCAACTTCGAGTATGCACACGGGTCCTTGACGTCCCTCGAAGAGTCACTGGCACGTATCGAACGTGCAAGAACGCAGGTGGAGGCAAGGCGCATGAGGGTATGTGACCGTTTTGGTCGCTTACGTCGACTCACGATGCGCCATACGATTTTGCAGGAGGCTCAAAAAGCCTTCGAAACAGCACAAGCCCAATACGTTATGCAGCAGGAAACCGTTCCAGCTCCTACCTCTGCCGCTGTACCGAAGACTGGCAAGGTCACAGGTGCGCATGGTATCGACGAAGAAGGTATGGATGTCGACGAGATGAATTCGGGTGCTCTGGGGAAGCGTAAAGCGGACGATGACGAACCCGCCGAAACTGCCGACGGCAAACGGCAGAAACTAGGTATATTGTTTGCACGTATACGTGCTTATACTGGACGTCTGACTGTTGCGAATAGAGAAACTGCCTGTGCCGTTGAAGAGGCAAGTGAATTTAACAGTGGATCATTCACATGGTCTCAAAATTGTGCTGGTAGAGACCGGGAGAATTGTACTGTGTTCGTTGCAGACCTGCCTTCAGGAACGAACGAAGAACAGTTAAGAACGCTATTTAAGGACGTGGGTGCTCTCATCCCTAATCTGTGGATTGTATATTAATGACCATTTCTCAGTGCGGAGAGATTCGTGAAGTGAAGATTACACAACTGCCACAGGTTCTAGTGGCCACCGTCGAATTCACGACGCGGGTAAGATTTTCCAATCCTTTTTGGTACTGCCCAATTAAAATCTATGTCAGGATAGCGTCCCTGCTGCACTGACTAAAGATAAAAAACGTATTGACGGAACAGAGGTCAATGTACACCTTGCTTGGCGTTCGACGCTATACGCTACCAACTTTCCTGAGAAATGGGACGATACTTCTGTACGAGTCCTTTTTGGTCAGGTCTGTCCACCCTCCTTTTCATCGTGCTACGTCCTTGCTTAGTTCCTAAAACACGCGAACAGTATGGTCCCCTATTCGATGTACGGTGGCCAAGTAAAAAGTTCAAAACGACGCGGCGGTTCTGCTACGTGCAGTACACATCGCCGGTGCGTTTACATATGTCTACATGTTCCCTTAGGGGGGAATCCGGGTCTCACTTCTCTGCGTCACCACAGGAATCGGCGGAACGAGCGTTAGAACTACATGGCCGGGAAGTCGAACCGGAACGGACTCTCAATGTGTATGTGTCCAACCCCGAGCGCAAGAAGGGGCGGACGGACGCAGACGCGAACGAGAAGGAGGTTTACGTCGCGGGGCTCAGCAAGTTCACGACGAAGGATGACCTGCAGGGATTGTTCTCAAGGGTGCGGGTTATATTATTTGGGGGGTGACTGTTGGTCAGCTCACTCTGCTGATGTTGCTCCAGTACGGGCCTGTGAAAGACATCCGTCTTGCCGAAGACAAGAACGGCCAACTGAAAGGATTTGCTTTCATCGAATTTCAGAACGATGTAAGCCGAAAACAACTAAGCTCATCTAGCGAGTACTTTTCGCTGAGTCGTTACACTACGCTTTTGCACAGGCAGACGCTCGTTCCGCTCTTTCTGCGAATAACTACGAGTTGAAGAAACGGCGGATAGCCGTCACTCTCGCAGACATGCGTGTCCGGGCCAAGAACCGGTCAGTAGGAATTCTGTAGCGTTTTTTTTCCCCCGCTGTCTTAGGCTGAACATCATCAATACTTTCCTTGCACCTCCAGGGAGTCCTCAGACACTGGTCTTGGTCGCCGCGCTGAAGCTCGGAACCGATCTGTTCGTATTCGTAACCTACCTCCCGACGCCCAAGAAGGCCTTCTTCAGCAAGTCCTTGAGAAACTCGCAGCTGTGAAACGAGTAGAGATTCTGTTGGAAGAACGGGAGGCGATAGTCGAACTTGAGAACGCAGCGGTACGTTCCATCCTACCCCTCCCCCCGCCGTGACATTGAACGAGAGGCTTACGCTTTTCCTTAGGAAGCTGGAAAGTTGACGTTAAGAACAGAACCCATAGTATTCAAGGGCGTTAATCTGGATATCTCAGAAGAACTGCCTTCTGGCACCGCACCGGCCGGACCTCCTGTCAAAACTGGAGGTGCGATGTTCGTACCCCGTACGGCTGTTTCAAGACCTCGAGCAGGTTTGGGACGGGCACGGAAGCCGGGAATAGGTTCGGCTGCAGTGGCAGCTAATAGGGGTAGAGGACAGTCTACTGCTTCGAGTGGCGGTCAGGCGGGGAAAAGTCAGAACGATTTCAGGAAGATGTTAGGTTGACAACAGATCTCGCGGAACGCCGTTGAATGTCACATCGTCTGTATATTTTGTCACCATATTGTCCCCTCTCCTGGTCACTTCAGTCCTAAGAACGAGGACTAGTTTCAACAGGCCAAGTGTTTGGAGTGTTTGCAATGTTAGCATGTGAGACCGGGTCGGCGGGTCAGATGTTGAACAATTCGTGCCAGGACGCGTGTTTGTGAACCAATCGAACAGCGGCCCGCCGGCTCGACGTTAAAATAAATCAAAGAGTAACACAACAGGTCATCGATCAACGTTCAACGTTCAACTCCAAACCGGTATGTGGATCGTGCTGGTCAAGCGGAAGGCAACTTCGATGCGTTGTTCGTTCAGTAGATTGAATGGAGGTGAAGGTTGTTTACCACAACCCATAGACTGCTAGTTCAAACCCGAGTGCAGTTGAGGGGCACATGTCGCAATTGATGCCCTATATCCTCGTTGATGTCGTTCCACGCTGAAAAGACGAAAGAAACAGGTCTCCCAGTGTATAAACTCCGCGCGTGCGCGGCTCATAAATATGTCGATGGGTTGATGGCGTGGTCCAAAGCTACTCCTTCGCGACGACGCAGCCAACTACATGAACTGGCCCATCGAATGTGTTATCCTGGCCAGTCAGTTTCCCCTTACCCAATAATCGAATTCGGATGCCCAGGCCCGAGGGAGGTTCTGTGCCACCTTCACCTGTTTTGGTCGTCGGGCTGAGGCTCGGAACCGTTCCATTCGTACTCGTAACTTACCCCCCGGCACCCAAGAAGGCCATCTTCAGTAAGTCCTTGAGAAACTTGCAGCTTCGAAATGAGTAGAAAATTTACCAGAACTAGAAGCGATGGTCGAGCTTGGGCATGCTAGTAGCGGTCAATATATTCCATCTTGCCCTGTCCCCATTGTGACATTGAAGGAGAGGCTTACGCTTTTCCTTAGAAAGCTGGCAAGTTGACGCTAAGGACTGAACCCATCATCAGGTCCAGCAGTATACATGGATATAGCTTTACAATGTTATATAAAGCCATTACAATGGTGAACTCAAGTACGGCCAATGGAAAATCAAGGGATATCAAGGTATAAGGCCAGTAGTGATGATAGTATTCAATGGCATAAATCTGGTCATCTCAGAAGAGCTCCCCTCTGGTGCTGCACCGGCCGGACTTCCTGTCAAGACTAATTGTTTCCCGTACTGTCCTTTCAAGACCTCGAGCAGGTTTAGGATGAGCACGGAACCGGGTATAGGTTCTGCTAGAGTGACAGCTGATAGGAGTGGAGGAAACTCTACCGCTCCGAGTGGCGATCAGGCAGGGAAGGGACGACTTCAGGAGGATGTTGGGTTGACAACACATTGTGGGAAGCCGTTAAATATCGCATTATATCTTTATCTGGTCGCAGAACCGAGTCGAGGGAGGACCATGAGAGCTCAGAGAGTTTTATACTACATTTTCTGGTCGACGAAACAAGCGATCGGTGTACAACTTGCAAGTTTTGTTCCGTTTTCTCTCCCTGTCCTTGAGAGAAGGTCAAAGGAAGTCACATTGACACTCGGAAACGAGCACGAAAGCTTGGTCGATTAAGACGCATGTTCCACCCGTGTAGAACAGTCAATGCAATTCGCGAGACGAAGTGGATCAGTTTGTAACCGCTAGCAAGAGCTGCAACGATCAAACAATTCACATTCAGTTCTAGCACAATATCATAAAAGTACATAGGACATCGAACAACTTTGACTATTGAGGAGATCGAGTACATAAATGAATGATGTGCCTGATCATCCATGTCCGATGTCGAGAAAAGAAAAGAAAACGCTTTTTTGGTGTTTTAGTTTATCTTCGTGCCAGAGAATACTTTCGGTTTTCAAGTTGACTGCAGTGAACCTTCACAGATCAGAGAACCCTTACTCGCGATTCATTGCGAGATGTTAGCGTACTTACATTCTTCCCTTTAGCTGCGTACCGGCAAGTTGTACGTAGTTCCGCCCAAATCGGCAGTCCTGCTGATGGAATCATCGACGGCAGAGTCCGTCACCAGCATGTACCAATCACTGTATACCACGGCATCAATTGACTCCAGGTACGAGATGAACGACTCTTTGGCGGTTGAGTCGGGGAAAGTGGACATCTGGCGACGGCCATCGTTGGTGTTGAAGTAGGAGACGGTATAGGGGTTTGGGTTAGTCATGCTAGAGAAGAGGAGGATTGTTACACCCAGAACAGAACATTCGTCGAGAGAGATGCTCGTACATGATGATCGTTGACTCTGCGGTGGCTGGGTAAACTGAAGACAAACGAGTAAGAAATGGGCTGCTTTTATATGTTGGCCACAGTCCATCCAGAGCTAGATTGTACAAGCAGACTTCGTTACGATTCACTGCCGTTGCATCTTCGGTGTGACGTCGGAGTTGGTCCATCTGACCTGGCACGTGTATTCGCCAGAAAGGAATGGTTAAAACGGTGAAACTGGTGCATGGACATTCCAATACATAGATCGAAACGGTAAAGATGATGCAGGGGTCCATAGTACACGTCAATGGAAATTGCGCGAAGATTGCGTGGGTTTTGCCGGGGGCATTGTGGAACCGGGAGAATAGGAGAGAAGAGCGAGCTCTTACACCAACTTCGATGTGCCTCGTATGGTCAGGTTTGTATTTCATTCGTTGACCCCCAGTACAGTGCGATAACGGATTACGCTGTATTGCGGTCAGAGGGGGAACCGAAAGAAGTGGGGCATCCGTTTAATGAAACCCAATGAAGAAGTACTGGTCAGGTGTCCTGAAGGGATTGGGCTTCGTGGTGTTTACGTCCCCGCACGTTGTCGCTTCCGGAGGGACTTCGTGGGGTACTTCCCTGACCCTAGACCATGTTCGTGTCTGATGGGGGAAGCGACAAGAAGTTACATTGCTCCAGGATGACCAAACCGTGGACCTGCACAGACCTGCACATATGTATTTGTAAAGATACAGTTCAATTAGTATTGATCATCTGAGAGTTTTGATCATGTCAAAACCAACCACGTCGGAGTACTTCATGATTGATCCATCAAGTGTATTCGATTGCTGACCTGACAGACATAGGGAACCAAAGAGAACCTCTGCCTTATAGAGGAGGTCCCGTTTATGGATTGGTGCGCACGCCGAACGCCGTGATACAGGCTTCCATGCCAAAAATATCAATTTAAGCCCGGAACCCCAAGTCAGATCTCAACATCCTTCATTTGGGAAGACTTCGTCGCTCCTGTTCCATCAGATGGCCGTTCGTATTCGATTCCCGAATATTCTCCTCGACGCCCCTCAGTCCTAGAGGACATGGACGGCTGACCACGTCCTGTAGTGTCGAAACACAATGTCAACAACCCATACTCATCATGCCGAACTCCCTCAAGCCAAGAAAGAATGCTGTCGTCTACTCCTTGGTAGATGGGGAACCTTATGTCGGAATTCTGACACGTAATATAGAGGGTAGAGTCGGTCGTTCTGCTGCATGGCTTCCCAAGGAGAACAGGTAATCACCACCTGGAAGGTGAGTGATGCATTGATGCCTTTCACTCATGTGGAGGCAGAAATCAGAAATTCCTGAAGTACTCCGACATGATTGGTTTTGACACGATCAAAACTCTTAGATGATCAATACTAATTGAACTGTATCTTTACAAATACATATGTGCAGGTCTGTGCAGGTCCATGGTTCGGTCATCCTGGAGCAATGTAACTTCTCGTCGCTTCCCCCATCAGATACGAACATGGTCTAGGGTCAGGGAAGTATCCTACAAAGTCCCTCCGGAAGCGACAACGTGCGGGGAAGTAAACACCACGAAGCCCATATCCCTTCAGGGCACCTGACCAGTACTTCTTCGCTGGGTTACATTACATGGAGACCCCACTTCTTTCGGTTCCCCCTTTGACAGCAATACAGCTTAATCTATTATCGCACTGTACAGGGGACCAACGGATGAAATACAAACTTGGCCATATGAGGTACGTCGAAGTTGGTGTAGGAGCTCGCTCTTTAGTGGTACCGTACCCACACTTCTTCTTTTCTCACCACGTGCACTTGTTCTCGCTCCTCTCTCCTATTCTCCCGGTTCCACGTTGTCTAATTTCCGTGGCAGTCATGTGCAGCTTGGTGGAGCTCTCCACAATGCCCTCGGTAAAACCCTTGCAATTTTCGCGCAACGTGATGTGTACTGTGGACTCCTGCATGGTCTTTGCCATTTCAATCTATGTATCGGAACATCAATGAGCTAGTTTTATCGTTTTGGCCATTCCTTTCCGACTTGAAGGGCAGTTCTGACGAACACGTGTGCTAGGTCAGAAGGACCAATTCCAACGTCACATCGAAGATGTAACGGCAGTGAATCGTGACGACACATCTAACTCTGGATGGACTGTGGCCAACATATAAAAGCAGCCCATTTCTTACTCGTTTGTCTTTAGTTTACTCAACCACTGCAAAGTCAGCGATCATCATGTACGAGCATCTCTCTCGACGAATGTTCTGTTCTGGGTGTAACAATCCTCCTCTTCTCTAGCATGACCAACCCCAACCCCTATATCGTCTCCTACTTCAACACCAACGACGGCCGTCGCCAGATGTCCACTTTCCCCGACTCAACCGCCAAAGAGTCGTTCATCTCGTACCTGGAGTCAATTGATGCCGTGGTGTACGGTGATTGGTACAAGCTGGTCACGGACTCTGCCGTCGATGATTCCATCAGCAGGACTGCTGATTTGGGCGGAACTACGTACAACTTGCCGGTACGCAGCTAAAGGGAAGAATGTAAGTATGCTAACATCTCGCAATAAACCACGACTAAGGATTCTCTGATTTGTAAAGGTTCACTACAGTCAACTTGAAATCTGCATGTACTCTCTGGCGCAAAGATTTAAAAAAAAAAAAAAAAATTCTTTTCTCAACATCGGACATGGATGATCAGGTACATTGTTCGTCTATGTACTCGATCTCCTCAATAGTCAAAGTTGTTCGATATCCTATGTACTTTTATGATTTTGTGCTAGAATTGAATGTGAATTGTTTGATCGCTACAGCTCCTGCTAGCAGTTACAAACTGATCCATTTCGAGATCTTGTGAACTGCATTGACTGTTCTATACTGGTGGAAAATGCGTCTTGATCGGTCAAGCCTTCTTGCACGTTTCCGATCTGGGTGCCAATGTGGCTTTCTCTCAAGACCAAAGAAGAAGAGAATTTGCGAGCGCCTCATTCACACACCGATCACTCGCTTCGTCGTCTAGTAAGTGCAACACAAAACCCTCTAGCCTCCCGTAGTCCTCCTTCGACTCGGTTCTGCGACCATGTTTGTACCCCGTACAGCTGTTTCAAGACCTCGAGCAGGTTTGGGACGGGCTCGGAAGCCAGCGATGGGTTCGGCTGCAGTGGCAGCTAACAGGGGTGGAGGACAATCGACCACTCCGAGTGGCGATCAGGCAGCGAAGAGTCAGGACGATTTCAGGAAGATGTTAGGTTGATGACGTGTTGTAGGAAGACGTTGAATATCGCATTATATCTTCATCTGGTCGCAGAACGGAATCGAGGGAGGACCACGAGAGGTCAGACAGTTTTATGCTACATGTTCTGGTCGACGAAAGGACCGACCGGTGTATAACTTAAAACTTTTGTTGCTTTTTTTTTCTTTGTCCTTGGGAGAAGGTCAAAGAGAGTTACATTGACACTCACATCGGAAACGAGCAAGAAGGCTTGATCGGTCAAGACGCATTTTCCACTCATTTAGAACAGTCAATGCAATTCGCAAGACGGAATAGGTCAGTTTGTAGCCGCTAGCACGAGCTGCAATGGTCAAACAATTCACGTTCAGTTATAGCACAACGTCATAAAAGTACATAGGACATCGAACAACTTTGACCGCTGAGGAGATCGGGTACAAATATGAACAATGTACCTAATCATCCATCTTTGTGTCTGATGTGGAGAGCAAAGAGAACGACGTGCGCAGACCTGCACATATGTATTAGTAGAGATACAATTCAAATAATGTCGACCATCCGAGAGTATTGACCATGCCAAAACCAATCGCGTTGGAGTACTTCAGGAATGTCTGATTTATGCCTCTACGTGAGTAAAAGGCATAGCTCACCTTCCAGGTGATAATTATCTGTTCTCCGTGCGAAGCCATGCAACAGAAAGACAGATTCCACCTTCGATGGACTGATAAGTGTCGAGAAGAATATTCGGGAGTCAAATGAGAACGGCCATCTGAGTTGTTGAGTGTTTCGACACTACAGGATGTGGGCAGCCGTCCTTGTCTCTTGCATATTCTAGGATTGAGAAGCGTCGAGGAGAATACTGAGGTAGATGGGGATCCTTACGTCAGACTTCTGACACGTGATACAGAAGGTAGAATCGGTCTTTCTGTTGCATGGCTTCGCACGGAGAACAGATAATTATCACCTGGAAGGTGAGCTATGCCTTTTACTCACGTAGAGGCATAAATCAGACATTCCTGAAGTACTCCAACGCGATTGGTTTTGGCATGGTCAATACTCTCGGATGGTCGACATTATTTGAATTGTATCTCTACTAATACATATGTGCAGGTCTGCGCACGTCGTTCTCTTCGCTCTCCACATCAGACACAAAGATGGTCTAGGGTCAGGAAATACCCCACAAAGTCCATCCGGAAGCGGCAACGTGCGGTGATGTAAAACACCACGAAGCCCGTATCCCTTCAGGGAACCTGGCCGGTACTTTGTTGGGTTTCATTAAACAGGTACCCCACTTCTTTCGGTTCCCCCCTTGATTACAGTACAGCACAATCCGTTATCGCACTGTACTGGGAGCCAACGAATGAAACTCAAACTTGACCATACAGGGTATGTCGAACTTGGTGTAAGAGCTCGCTCTTCTCTCTTATTCTCCTGGTTCCACATTGCCCAATTTCTGTGGCAGTCATTCCTACACGATCTTTACCATTTCAAAATATCCGTGTGCTGGTTTCATCGCTTTGGCCACTCCTTTCCAATTTGAAGAGCAGTTCTAGCGAATACACGTGCCAGGTCGGAGGACCAACTCCAACATCACGTTGAAGATGTAACGACAGTGCGTACGGCCAGCCAAATCATGACGAAGCCCGCTTATACTATCTAGCACTGGATGAACTATGGTTAACATATAAAAGCAGCCCATTGCTTGCTCGTTTTCCTTTAGTTTACTTGACCACCACAGATTCAACAACCGTCGTGTACGAGGCTCTCTCTCCTCAAATGTTCTTTTCGGAGGTCTAACAATCCTCTTCTCTAGTATGGCCAGTCCCAACCCTTATATCGTTGCCTACTTCAGTAGCGGTGGCCGTCGCCAGGTATCTGTTTTCGCCAACACAGCCGCCAAACGGTCGTTCATCACATATCTGGAATCAATTGATGGAGTGGTTTCTCTGATTGGTACGAGCTGGCCAGTGACACTGCCGTCAACGATGCCATCAACAGGATTGCCGATTTAGGCGGAACTGTGTACAACATGCCGGTTAACTAGTGAATGGAAGCATGTAAGTACGCTAACATTCTGCAATGAATTACTAGTAAGGGTTCTCTGACCTGACACTGCAATCAACTTGAAATCTACAAGTACTCCCTGGCGCAAAGGAGAATTAAAAAAAAAAAAAAATCTTCTATCGACATTGGACATGGATGATTCGGTACATTGTTCATCTATGTACTTTTATGATGTTGCTCCAGAACTGAATGTGAATTGTCTGCTTGTTACAACTCGGCCTGGGGGTTGCAAATTGATCTATTTCGTCTACACGGGTGGAAAACGCGTCTTCATCGATCGACTTATCCCTCTAATATGCTTCTATTACATCCAACTAAACCTTCCCACTTGTGTCCGATCTGGGCGTCGACTTTCTCTCAGGGCCAAAGAAAAAGACAACCCGCAAGCGCCTCGTTCGCACACCGATCGCTCGTTTCGTCGCCTAGCAAATGTAGCGTAAACTTACCCTCCTACCGGGCCCTCTCACGGCCGTTCTCCCTCGACTCTGTCCTGCGTCCGGAAGAAGATATCACTTTGTTCTGCTGTGCAATGTATCATGGCGCCTCTAGTGCTGATGTCCTGGCTCGTGGGATGGATGTAGACAAATGTCGTCCATCAGCTGTTCTCGAGAGTGGAATACATACGTAGATGACATCAGGGAAGAATCCTGAACTAAAACACGCTGTGTCTCGGACTCGTTTGGTCTCAAAGTGCAAGCCTTGACGAACTGTTGAATCCTGGCTCCCCACCCACCGTGCTGCTCGGACACAATGTATGTAACACCATCGTAACGCTGGTATGTGTATCCGGGCCAATACAAGCAACTGATATTGACCATTCCCGTGATCAGAAAGCCATTGTCATCGGCGGCCTGGATGCGAGGAGTGCCTGGTCGCAAGCCCGGAGTTTGTCGCCCACTTCCCTCTGGCTTACCCTCGCCTCTTTCCCTGTTCTCAATCACAAGCCTGAACACGCTGTGACTTCTGCTACTTCTTTCGTTCCAGTCCGTACTGGCGATTCTTCGATGTCTCTTACCTCTCTCCATCACCTCCCGTACGCTCTTCAAGCTGGTGACTACCTCTTCTCTTAGCGGAGACAATATGCCCTGTCCAATTAGTTGTACGGGCTGTGTTGCAGCCGCGGAAGGTGGCGCGAGCAGATCATAAATGGTTTCGTTGTATATCTCGAGGTAGGAGCAGCGGAGATATTCACGTGTGGACGTGCGACGGATGTGAGCAAAGACGTCCTTCATAGCACGAGGAATGATACCGGGCTGATCTTCATTTCCCGACTGTACGCGTGTGTAGGTGTCAGAGTAGTGAGTAGGTGCACACGTGAAAACGCACAAGGGTAAATGTCTTTCCACTGGCAGTTTGCCCGCAGGCGAATATCACTGCGTTGTAACCCTCCATGGCGGCACATACGTGACTTCTTGTGACAGCATTGTAAACAGGTTTGTTCTCTGATCCTGTTAGGACCTCGTCAAAGTGAAATTAGGGAGGGGCATTAAGCGTTGATTTTGCGTGTTGCGGAAGGAGTTTGATGCTTTTCGGTATTGATGTATCCCAAGCCTGGTGACCGGCTGTAGGGCGAATGCTGGGAGAAGGGTAAGAACGTGCGGTCTCTCAAAGCGAGACAACGTATTTACCGAATAGATACGAGGACCTTGTCTTCGTATTTGATTGTCATCTTCCAAGTCCCCCGACACATCTCCGGGCTCAACAGTCTGATAGTCTACGAGCACCTCCTCCGGATCGACTCTGCTGACATCCATAGACATGTCGCCTGGACTCATGAAAATGGCGGGATTTGGACTCGTGCCGCGTGGCGTGGAGGGTGTCTTTGGCCGTGTGCCATCGTAGGATGATGATTTAGGTGGTGACCCAGGAACGGGGGAAAGCAATACGGGTGAGGAAGACTTGTTGGTTCGGAGGCGCGACTCTGCTGATAGTGCTGCCTTGTATTTTTTGGCTGTTGTTCCGAGGATGGATGGTGCGGTATCGCGGGGAATGTCTGAGCTCGATGAAATGGAAGCCGGCCGCCTGGGTGTGAAGGGGACGGCGCGGGAGAGTCAGGTTCTGGAGGCACGAGAGATGGCCACCAGTTATGTGGCAATGGGAGGCGAGGTTTGGATGTATGTATTCAATGGCAGCCGTTGATGCGTGTTCAGTCGACCTCAGGGGTACCGGTCTTTGTTCTGTAAAATTCTATCGGGCTCCACCGACCACGTCACCACCACTTCGTTTGCGATTTTTCACTGCATCGTTTGCTTAGCAGGCTCTCTCGTTCGTCTGAGAAGCGACAGAGTTAAACATACGCTCCCACATCTGGCCTTCGTCTTGCATCAACTGCTGCTGACAACCAGGCGCATGTGTCCCCAGAAGCTAAGCAGAATAAACACATCGCAGGAATACTTCTCTTGGATCTCACCATCTCAGCCGCCCGGCATCGTACGAAAGCCGTGCTCTTAGTGGACTTCTCACCGCACTCGTTGTCAAAACTGTCACTCGTGTGCACACAACACAACACACCGCGATTGCCGCCGAAACACAAAACGCTGAATCTCTGGCGAAGCCTTTCGCAAAGCATGTAGGACACGTTCTCTTGGCATACATCGACTCTATGAACGACCCGTTGTATATCCTGACACTAGATGTACGAAGAGAACTCGAGCCTGGGCTATTCTCATTATGTGAAGTGCTCGGCGAGTACAATCGAGATGTTCTGATGGTCTGCACTGGATTCCGGTGGCAAGACTCTCATGAAGTCGCTCTGGAGGGAGTATGAGAAGCAGCGATATGTGGGGAAAGGGTAATGCGATATGTATTTGTGACTTCAGAAATGTCTTCGCCTTTCAGAGGGCGACGAAACCCCGTCAAGGGAAGGAGCACCAAGGCACAAGCTTTAAAGGTTATTCTATGATGTTTAGCTAGAAAACTACGTAGTGGCATATGAATGACTGGCATGGAGATTGATAGGTGTACCATTGGATTGTCATGCAAATTTTATACCGGAGGGTCTGTCACTTCCATGGCTATCGGTTGCAGTCACCCACAGCGTAAAGAATAGGATCTCATCCTGGTGGAATTAAGGGGGATTAAGGGGGTGGCTGGAACACAGCACTCACTGGTATGCATTTTGGAGACGGAACTGTACTGTGGACGGGTGGCCATAGAGTTGGCAGGCTCAGCGATGGCCGTCATCGGCACCACCGGCCGATGTGGTTATAGCAGGCCGGTTCGTGGTTCAGATCTTGACCCCGTGATTGTGCGGGCGCATTGGACAAGTCACTTGTCGTTTATACCCCTCGTGCGAATACTAGGGTGGGTTAGCAAGGAGACATGTTGCTTGTGGTTTTCCCAACTGTACGGCAGAGTATTGTGGAAGATTCAATGATTTTGGAAACCAGATCCTCGATGGAGGAGCTGGGGAAGCCCCACTGTGGTGCGGTGCCTGGTGTAAAGGACGGGGCGAGCACGGAAACACAAAGCCGCTGAGAAGATCGGTAGTCCGTTCCACCAGGAGTATAATTAGTGTACCTATCGAGCAGGCTTGGTATCGCGGAGAGTATGGGACAAGCTCCCCTGAAGGACCGATGGTTGAGTCTTTCTCTCGTCGATATATCACCGGGACTCGGTCAGACGACGAGATGAAGTGGGACGGTGCAGCAGAAACTTCGTGATCGTAGTTAACACACGTGTCAGGCTGTGCACTACAGGCACGTTGATTCAACGCCCCTCAAATCTGCTGTCCTTTACGCTTTGTACTTCACCACCATCATCCCCTACAGCCATAGCACGCTTACTGTTCAAGACATCCTAAGAGCTGTTTTCTCATCTTCACATCGCCATGGCACCGAGGTCTCTTTGTTCCTGGTGGCGTTCGTTGCGGCGTTCTCAACCTCCGAGTCGCGATGCTGGTGTATCACTCCCCACTGAAGCCACCCCTTCAGTTGCCTCGCACGAAATCGTCCCCACACAGGTTTCAGACTATCGCTTAGATCCTACTGAGGCTAAAATGCGGCGTTCTCAACCTCCGAGTCGCGATGCTGGTGCATCACTCCCCACTGAAGCCACTCCAGTTGCCTCGCACGAAATCGTCCCTACACAGGCTTCAGACTATCGTTTAGATCCTACCGAGGCTAAAAAGCAGATTGATCGCATCCCTCGTTTTCGCATTCTTGTCATGGGCAGAGCAAATGCAGGTAAAACAACTGTTTTACAGCGGGTTTGTAACACTACGGATCAGCCTGAGATCTTCGATGGAAACGGGGAGAAGGTATGTGGGTGTGTTATGTGCTTCGTATTTGTCAACATGCCATTCTGCCAGGTTGATACTGGGGCGGTGCAGGGTTCACTGGGGGTAAGGCTACCACGTGAGATTACATGATACTCACGTCAAACTTGTGCAGCGTGGCTACCATAACATTGAGGATGAGCTAGTGTTTAAAAGTAACCCGCGCTATGTGTTCCATGACTCATGTGGATTTGAGGCGGGGAGCGAGGAAGAGTTTGATAAGATGAAGAAATTTGTTACAGATCAAGCAAAGTCCACCAAACTGCAGAAGAGAATACATGCAATTTGGTAGGGAAATGTATGACTAGTGCCACTGGGAATCCACTGATGTGGTCTTTTTGATTGATTTAGGTATTGTGTTCCTTTGAATGAAAGGCATAGGATGGTCATGGCTGCTGAAAGGAAGTTCTTTAATGAGTGTGATTCAGGACATGGTATGTGTACACAAATATCACATCATATTTAGTGCAAGGATTTAGGATATGCACAGTTCCTGTGATTGTGCTACTAACAAAGGCAGACACCTTAAATCTTGATGCAGTTCAGGAGCTTATGAAGAGGGGGTTAACTATAGAGGATGCAATGAAAGAGGCACCAGAGGTAGAAAAACAGTTGCAGAAGGGCTGTCTGGAAAAGATCAAAGGGTGGCTGAATGAATTGAAGTTTCCACCTCAAAGCTATGTGGTGCTCACTGGTAAGTAAGCCCTGAATAAAAAAACTGCAGATTGGCATGTGTCTCTCCAGGCATGGAACAGGAAAGTGCAGATTGTGAAGAGCTATTGAAATGCACAGCAAATGCTTTGACAGAGGAAGGGCTGCAAGGACTGCTTATATCATCACAGCAGTCAAACCTGGGACTCTGCATGGAATTTGCCATAATGAAGTGAGTGGTAAAAAATCAATTTAGACAGGGTGCTGACTACAGAAAGGACATTGAAGAGGAGCATGAAGCATGTGGATGATAAGATTGGACAGGACACCTTAGCATATGACCTTTCAACATGGTTCCCATTTGTAAGCAACCAGTATTTTGGGTGAATGAGAGGCTAATTAGGTTACAGGAGGTGTGTGAAATTCTGCAAGTGCAACTATGACTGATGCTGAAGGTGATTGTTGCTGTTGTGTTTGACTGTAATTGACAGCATGTAAGTTGACTCATTGAAGATAGTGGTGGATGCATGCTGATATGTTCACTTCCACCCTGTTGGACTGGGGTTCATAGGTTGTGAGTGGAGTCATGGCAGATGGTGGTGGATGCATGCTGACATGTTCACTCCCACCCTGTTGGACTGGGGTTCATAGTATGTGAGTGGAGTCATGGCAGATGGTGGTGGATGCATGCTGACATGTTCACTCCCACCCTGTTGGACTGGGGCTCATAGTATGTGAGTGGAGTCATGGCAGATGGTGGTGGATGCATGCTGACATGTTCACTCCCACCCTGTTGGACTGGGGTTCATAGTATGTGAGTGGAGTTGTGGCAGATGGTGGTGGACACATGCTGACATGTTCACTCCCACCCTGTTGGACTGGGGTTCATAGTATGTGAGTGGAGTCATGGCAGATGGTGGTGGATGCATGCTGACATGTTCACTCCCACCCTGTTGGACTGGGGTTCATAGTATGTGAGTGGAGTTGTGGCAGATAGTGGTGGATGCATGCTGACATGTTCACTCCCACCCTGTTGGACTGGGGTTCATAGGAAGTGAGTGGAGTCATGGCAGATGGTGGTGGATGCATGCTGACATGTTCACTCCCACCCTGTTGGACTGGGGTTCATAGGGAGTGAGTGGAGTCATGGCAGATGGTGGTGGATGCATGCTGACATGTTCACTCCCACCCCATTGGACTGGGGTTCATAGCGAGTGGGTGGAGTCATGGCAGATGGTGGTGGATGCATGCTGACATGTTCAATCCCATCCTGTTGGACTGGGGTTCATAGCAAGTGAGTGGAGTCATGGCAGATGGTGGTGGATGCATGCTGACATGTTCACTCCCACCCTGTTGGACTGGGGTTCATAGCGAGTGAGTGGAGTCATGGCAGATGGTGGTGGATGCATGCTGACATGTTCAATCCCATCCTGTTGGACTGGGGTTCATAGCGAGTGAGTGGAGTCATGGCAGATGGTGGTGGATGCATGCTGACATGTTCACTCCCACCCTGTTGGACTGGGGCTCATAGTATGTGAGTGGAGTCATGGCAGATGGTGGTGGATGCATGCTGACATGTTCACTCCCACCCTGTTGGACTGGGGTTCATAGCTTGTGAGTGGAGTCATGGCAGATGGTGGTGGATGCATGCTGACATGTTCACTCCTACCCTGTTGGACTGGGGTTCATAGCGAGTGAGTGGAGTCATGGCAGATGGTGGTGGATGCATGCTGACATGTTCACTCCTACCCTGTTGGACTGGGGTTCATAGGATGTGAGTGGAGTCATGGCAGATGGTGGTGGATGCATGCTGACATGTTCACCTCCACCTGGTTGGACTGGGGTTCATAGGATGTGAGTGGAGTCATGGCAGATGGTGGTGGATGCATGCTGACATGTTCACTCCCATCCTGTTGGACTGGGGTTCATAGGGAGTGAGTGGAGTCATGGCAGATGGTGGTGGATGCATGCTGACATGTTCACTCCCACCCTGTTGGACTGGGGTTCATAGGATGTGAGTGGAGTCATGGCAGATGGTGGTGGATGCATGCTGACATGTTCACTCCCACCCCATTGGACTGGGGTTCATAGGGAGTGAGTGGAGTCATGGCAGATGGTGGTGGATGCATGCTGACATGTTCACTCCCACCCCATTGGACTGGGGTTCATAGGATGTGAGTGGAGTCATGGCAGATGGTGGTGGATGCATGCTGACATGTTCACTCCCACCCTGTTGGACTGGGGTTCATAGGGAGTGAGTGGAGTCATGGCAGATGGTGGTGGATGCATGCTGACATGTTCACTCCCACCCTGTTGGACTGGGGTTCATAGGTTGTGAGTGGAGTCATGGCAGATGGTGGTGGATGCATGCTGACATGTTCACTCCCACCCTGTTGGACTGGGGTTCATAGCAAGTGAGTGGAGTCATGGCAGATGGTGGTGGGATGCATGCTGACATGTTCACTCCTACCCTGTTGGACTGGGGTTCATAGCGAGTGAGTGGAGTCATGGCAGATGGTGGTGGATGCATGCTGACATGTTCACTCCCACCCTGTTGGACTGGGGTTCATAGGGAGTGAGTGGAGTCATGGCAGATGGTGGTGGATGCATGCTGACATGTTCACTCCCACCCTGTTGGACTGGGGTTCATAGTATGTGAGTGGAGTCATGGCAGATGGTGGTGGATGCATGCTGACATGTTCACTCCCACCCTGTTGGACTGGGGTTCATAGGAGTGAGTGGAGTCATGGCAGATGGTGGTGGATGCATGCTGACATGTTCACTCCCACCCTGTTGGACTGGGGTTCATAGTATGTGAGTGGAGTCATGGCAGATGGTGGTGGATGCATGCTGACATGTTCACTCCCACCCTGTTGGACTGGGGTTCATAGGATGTGAGTGGAGTCATGGCAGATGGTGGTGGATGCATGCTGACATGTTCACTCCCACCCTGTTGGACTGGGGTTCATAGGATGTGAGTGGAGTCATGGCAGATGGTGGTGGATGCATGCTGACATGTTCACTCCCACCCTGTTGGACTGGGGTTCATAGCGATGTGAGTGGAGTCATGGCAGATGGTGGTGGATGCATGCTGACATGTTCACTCCCACCCTGTTGGCACTGGGGTTCATAGGATGTGAGTGGAGTCATGGCAGATGGTGGTGGATGCATGCTGACATGTTCACTCCCACCCTGTTGGACTGGGGTTCATAGGATGTGGAGTGGAGTCATGGCAGATGGTGGTGGATGCATGCTGACATGTTCACTCCCACCCTGTTGGACTGGGGTTCATAGCGAGTGAGGTGGAGTCATGGCAGATGGTGGTGGATGCATGCTGACATGTTCACTCCCACCCTGTTGGACTGGGGTTCATAGTATGTGAGTGGAGTCATGGCAGATGGTGGTGGATGCATGCTGACATGTTCACTCCCTACCCTGTTGGACTGGGGTTCATAGCGAGTGGAGTGGCAGTCATGGCAGATGGTGGTGGATGCATGCTGACATGTTCACTCCCTACCCTGTTGGACTGGGGTTCATAGGTATGTGAGTGGAGTCATGGCAGATGGTGGTGGATGCATGCTGACATGTTCACTCCTACCCTGTTGGACTGGGGTTCATAGCTTGTGAGTGGAGTCATGGCAGATGGTGGTGGATGCATGCTGACATGTTCACTCCTACCCTGTTGGACTGGGGTTCATAGCTTGTGAGTGGAGTCATGGCAGATGGTAGTGGATGCATGCTAACATGTTCACTCCTACCCTGTTGGACTGGGGTTCATAGGATGTGAGTGGAGTCATGGGTGGTGGATGTATGCTGACATGTTCACTCCCTACCCTGTTGGACTGGGGTTCATAGGATGTGAGTGGAGTCATGGCAGATGGTGGTGGATGCATGCTGACATGTTCAATCCCATCCTGTTGGACTGGGGTTCATAGGGAGTGAGTGGAATCATGGCAGATGGTGGTGTATGCATGCTGACATGTTCACTCCCACCCTGTTGGACTGGGGTTCATAGGATGTGAGTGGAGTCATGGGTGGTGGATGTATGTGTATGCTGACATGTTCACTCCCACCCTGTTGGACTGCATTTCATAGTATGTAAGTGGAATCATGGCAGATGGTGGTGGATGCATACTGATTATATTCACCACCACTTTGCTTGACTTGCATGCATAGAATGTGAGTGATGTTGTGGCAGCATCTGTTGGTGCAAGATATATACTCACAATCCTTACTATTTCACTTTTGGTGTCTGTATCTTAGAGAGTGAGTGTTGTGGAAATTGCCCATTTAGCATGCTTTTCACAAGGTCTTCTCATTAAACAGATGGTGAGCTTGATCAGTGCATGTATCTCCACAATATTGTTGACACATTGCATTAGGATGTAGGCACAGTCTTCCTGTGGAGTATTCCTTTTTCTTATTGCTTTTCTTGCATCTCTCTCAGCATGTTAGTTGTCATAATTCCTCCACAGTCCTGACACAGTTTAACCTATTTCCAGGATGTATGGTTTTGTTCCACATCCCACACTCATGTATTGCTGATATGTTTTATAGTTGGTTTGTCACTCTTTCTTACTTTAACATTGGTTCCTGTTTTACCCTTGCTTTCTTGTCAGGTGGTTTGTTTCAATTCCTTTCTTTCCCTAGCTGTCTATGATGTGTTGAATTGGTTGGTCATAGCAACCCATCAAACAGGGAAGCTATCCCATCTCCATCCCTACATTGTCCATGTCAAGGCAGCCTTCCCTGATGGCACTTGCTGAACATGGCATTGGTAAATTATCTCATTTGATGCTTCCTGAATATGAAGCTCATGATTACAGGTTGTGTAATTGTCTTTGAATACTTATTTTTCCAGTCACAGGTCAAGGATAGGGGTATTTCAAGGAAGGATTTACAGCTGGATCTGACAATGGTCATTGCAAAAATATCAGCAATCAGGTGTTCAAAATACTGTTATTGCACAAATTGCAGTGGCCTTCCAGAAGCATGGTGAAAGTGTGCATGATTTATGTCCCATGCTTGTGGGTATAGCACAGGCAAACCAGATGTGTAAGACATATTCTTTACCACAATGATGGAAGTCTTATTTGAACTGTCCACAGCCAAGATATTCCTCAAATGAAAAAAAAGATAATTTCAGCTCTTATGCAGTTCACTGTTCTTGGTAAGACCCTCAGTTTCCATCTGCTAACCAGTATGAAGATTTGATTTGCAGCATCTCAATGCCTACCAGTGTCTTTTTTGAAATCCCCTATTGCTGTGGAGCATCCTGTGAAATTTAGAATCTGCTTGTTATTGTGTACAGCCATGTCCTCTCATATAGTCCTATGCAACCTTCAGATTTGAGACCTGATATCTTGCCATCAGAAGTTGGGAATTCATGCTGCCTTTGTATAACCCCATATAGATTGCTGAAATCTGGCAATTTATTCAACAATCTCCAAAGTCCCATATACATTCAAAATCCTGATTGCCATCACAATGTTGCATTTCTTACAAATGTCTCCAGTGGGGTTAATCATTAAATCTGAAAAACATCTATGTGCATAGTGTTGTAAGTGGATATTTTCCCCATTTATGGAGTTATTATATCATCATGTTTTCAGCAAAGCAAATGTTGATAAAGCCAGAAGGCCAATAAAGTCTATGTATGGTCACAAAGAAGAGTAGCATGTTGGGGTATGGGGCTATTGCTTTTCATCAATTTATATGGCATGTTCAATATCCAGTCTCCATTGCAACATGCCTAATGTAGGGTTGTGGGGTGTTACCTCATGCTTGCATGTGTGAAGTGTACTATGTGGTATTCACACTGTTGTAAGATGCACAGATAAACTTATTTACAATATTTTCTGAGCCTTGTATACATACATTGTGTGTACTGAATGCTGCAACTCCAGGATGACTACTTGTTCAGGAGGAAATTCTTGCAGGGACTACCACACTCAATAATTAAGAGCATATTTGAAGCTTGAAGAATATCAGCTGAGCACTCAACAATCAAAGAAATCCTTGAAGAGGTATGCTACATGGAAATGGTGCAGAAGGACATGAGCATGTGTATGAGCATGAGCTGTGCTGGCTTTGGAGGGAAACCTCCCAGGGATGAAGTGGTTTACACCCACACAGCAAGAGCAGTGGTCAACACTCTTCATCTAATGAAAACTTTAAATACCTAAAGAAAGGGGATACCATTTATTGAAGAAAAACAAATCTTCCAGTGAAGAGCAACAGATTCCTGAAGAAGGATGGTGCAGACCACAAATCTTGTCAATGAGAACAGGACCACTTAAATGGTAAGGGGAAACAACCCCAGAGGTTCCTAGTGGGGATCACCTGCTTCAATTGCAACAAGGAGGGCAATATGGCTCCTGATTGCCCCCTTCCTCAAGAGGGTAATGGCAAAAGTGCAGCAATGCTGTGGCTATTCACAGCCAATGTCCAAGAGGACACAGTATGAGCATACCTGCAAGGAGGATAAGCTGGAAGAAGAAAATTTGGGTGAGCCTGATAAGGAAGAATTGGTACAAGTATATGAGGAAAATTTGGGTGTTAACCACAAAGATAGGAATTCTAGTATGTAGGAGGCACAACAAGTAATAGAATATTGTCTTTGTGCAAGTGGCTGTGTAGCCACATGCCTTGTCTTTCCTTTCCTCCATTGTCATCAGAACCCAGCTCACAGCATGGGCATCTCAGTGTTCAGTTTTCACTTTTTCTTGTTGCTCCTTAGTTCCCAACTAATTCACTCCTTTACCACCTTTTGAGGATCTCCCAAATCACACCCTGGATTGCAGGTGGTCTCAGGTTGTCTGCACCACAACCATGGATGCTCAGCAACTTCAACAACCACAACAACCTGATTTCACCCTACCAGCCTTGCAGGGCATAGTAGAGCTCATGATGGCAGGGGCAGAATTGTCCTGGGAGGAAGCCATTGAGGGTTTGGAACAGTGCTGGGTCCAGGACAACCCACTGGGTGAACAACAGCAAGGGGACCAGCCATGCTGGGAAGGAGAACACAGACCCCCACCCCCCCAGTCCAACCACCAGTTGCTGACCCTGAATGTCCTCCCCAATGAGCCCTCAAAACCAACCCCCCTACCTTTATGCAGATGCCATAGTGTCCTCCAATCTACTGACCCAACCAGCCAAGTATGCCCTCAAGAAAATAGAAGCTTTCAAATTCATGTGGTACTTTTCAAGGCCAGGGCTACAGGAGGCTGTGCAGATGGTCAGACAACTTGAGGAGAATGTCACACTAGCCATCACCCAGGCCAGCAAAGGGAATGTGATGCTGTGCACTGCCAACTCCCTAACTACCTCCAAGAATGCAAAACCAGACCATGGGCTAACCTTCACTGAGTACATGTATGCCAAGAATCACTTTCTAACATGCATCAAGAATGTGGTGTAAGGAATCTGCATTCCCTAGATGCATAAGCCCCTATCATCAACTGTTCTGTGACTGTCATTATGTCTCCAGACTGCTCATGCCCACTGCTGTTCACATGCTACCTTTCCACTTTCTTTGCCACCTTCCCATGCCCTTGCTCCCTCTCACACACTGCTATACCCATGGCCACTGTGTTCCAGTCACTTCCTTTCCTTCAGACTCTTTCCTTTCACCAGTCTCTTTTCTTTAATGCTAGTAGTATACCCTTGGCCCCTGTTGCAGCCTGTCCTGTGTGTACATGCTGCCATGTGCCTTTCTTTTACCTGTACCTTGTCTTACTTAAGCCCTGTTCAGAATACCAGTTGAAAAATTTTGAAAAAAAAAGATATGGAAATTTCTCTCATGGTGTCATGTGACATAGGTTGTGGGAAGGTCTCATGTGACATATGTTTATGTGAGCATATCAATCTACATGCTAACCATGCAATGCTGTCCTTGTGGATACCATGCAATGCTGTCCTTGTGGATACCAATGCCAATGCTCAACACAAGGTTGCACACTGATGTTTTCTTCTGGCCCTACTTTCATGTCTTATTGCCCATGCCTGCTACTACTACCAGCTTTTATTTTTTTCTGCTTCTACACCAATCCCTTATCACACCTCCATCCTCACTGGTGAAGCCTGGGTTTACAAACTGCTAGATGGCCATCTGCAGCACATCAAGAACAACCTCAGCATTCAAAAAGAGCAATTTGAAGCCCTCATATCCATTCTATGTGACTGCAGTTTTTCTAGAAGCTGCTGTGGTATCTCCATTGAAGAACAACTTGCTATCTTTCTCTACTTCTGCATCACTGGACTTTCCTCTTGCCATGTCAGTGAAAGGTTTCAACATACACCAGAAACTGTAGCCAAGTGAGTCATATTATTCTTGATCTGAACTAATGGAGCTGTACAGTTTTCAGATACTTCAAACTAGTCCTCATCAAGTTTTCATCTGATCCTTTCTACTCCTTGCAAGTCAAATTCCCCAATTTGACAGCCCCCCCATCTGAAACTATCACTCATGATCCATGCTTTATTTTTTGTTGTGACTGCATCGGTGCTGTTGATGGCATGCATATCTGGGTATATGTGCCCCTAGAAGAACAGGTGACTTAGTGGAACTGTAAGGGGTATCTATCTCAAAACTGCCTCTTCATATGCAACTTTGACTTGTGCTTTACATATGCACTCTGTGGCTGGGATGGCTTGGTCGCTGATGGTGCTCTCTGGCATGATGCATATACGAATGACTTGCACATTCCTCTAGGCAAGTATCTGCTGGCTGACACTGGATTTGGTAGCTGCGATGTGTTGCTTGTACTGTACTGGGGCATCTGTTACCACTTGAAGGAGTGGCATCAATCAAGACTGAAGTAAGGGCTTGATATCATTACTTCACTTTCAGTCACTGATGACTCATCCCCTCCACTCATCTAGACCATCAAATCCTCAAGAACTGTTTAACCTCTGCCATGCTGCTCTTCAGAATGTAGTCAAATGGATATTTGGAGTTCTGAAACATCAATGGTGTATACTTCAGCTCATGCCAGAATTCAGTCTTGAAATACAAGCAAGAATTCCAATGGCACTCTGTGCCTTGCATAACTTTGGTGTAATGTTTGACCTTGACATATTCCCCCTTGGCGAAGACATTGATTTCCAGGAAGACGACTATGACAGTCTTCTTCCTGAACTTGGAGGTGAGGTGCCAAGTACTGCAGAGAGGCAGCATGCAGAACAGTGTCATGAGGAGATTGCTCAGTCAATGTGGGAAGATTATCTGGATGAGCATTGCCACTGTGGAATACCTCCACCTGCATAAACTGATAGTACTACATAGCATTTGTGTATTGTTCATGTATTTTCATCAGTCACATCCAATTGTATTGCATTCAAATTGCATCATATTGTCCAAAGAAACTGCAGTAAAAGATTGTATACAGACTTCGCAACAAACTACTCAAACAACATTACCCAACTTGTGAACTTGTAACAACTTCCACTGGATCCACCTGATGTGCATGTTCTCCTTGAGTTTGTTGAAGATAATAATTTGGTTCGCATTTCCAGGAGTGGCAAGGTAGTTGAGTATCTTGAAGTGATCCTGCTGAGGCATATCAAGGGTGTTAATAATAAGCGTTGCTGTCTCCATACTTTCTTCAGTGGCTGTCTTTACTGGCACAGAGGGCATGGGGCTCATAGCAAGGCCACTGAGACTTTGCACCATTTGCTGCAATGTATCTTGGCCTTCCATCTGCATCTTTGCCTGTTCACTGAGCAGGTGAGACCATGTCTGCTTGGACACTGACCCAGCATCAGAGCCTGCACTGTCCACCATCTTGCATTTTCCATGACTGACACTGGTCAGTGCCAAGGAGCTACTGGAGACTGTGGAAGGTGCAAGGAACATGGAGGGGAGTGAGGGGGAGGGGGAACTTGATGCTGGTGTGTTGGGAGTTTGAGGAATGACAAAGGGAGAAAGTGAAGTTGATGCCACCTGGTTGGAAGTTGACTGTGTGCTGGGGGTGGGTGTATCTGTTTTTTTCTTGGATTTTCCCCTTGGAGGACAGATGACATATTTGCCCTTCTCTGTTCCAGGTGAGAGCTGGTCCATGAGATGGAGGTGAGGCCACCCAGTGTTCTTGAACTTCTCTACTTTGTGATTAGCCTACATTTATGGTAAGAATGTGTGATTGCAGGTAGATAAGAGCAATCAATACCTGCACCCATGCAAGCCACTGAGGATCATTGTCATCTGTAATTCCACAACCATGCTCATCTGACCAAGTCCAACCTGATGCACTCCTGAGATCATTCACAAGAGCATATGTCCTTTTGAGCTACAAAGACATCAGACAGCAAGATAATAATAAGACACTACTCACATCCCCATGGTACTTGCTTTTGCATGCCAATGTATGCTTTGGCACACCTTTGTACACTGGAAACTTGGCTCTCAAATGAGCCACTGCTGCCTTGAAAACTGTGTCCTTGAACCCTCCATTGCCAGCACGAGGCAAAGACTCAAGTAAGAATTTGAGGAGAGCAATCTCCTCCATGTTCCAGAGACAGCTTTGTGCATGGGTAGGTCTTTTACCAGCATTCTGCAGAATAGTAGGATCCACTGGGCCACCCAAGCAAAGAGATTGCCTAGATCCATTGCTGGATGAATTGGACATGTTGGGTGGCTCACTGCATAGGACTCCCAGGGGAGTGACGAACAGGACAAGGTTACCTAATCATGTTTCCACAACCTATGTCATGTGACACCATGAGAGAAATTTTCCATATCTTTTTTTTTTCCCAAATGTTCAACTGGCATTCTGAACAGGGCCTTAAGTTCCAGATCTGACCAGACTATAAAGCCCTGTACTTAGGTACAGAATGAGACCTTTTGGCACTTGGAAGGTCACTATAAGTTTTCTTTTCACTTTGTCTATGCTGCCTGCCTCACAATCCACCATGCATGAACTATGTGCAGTGAAGGACAAAGCTGTTGCATTGTTTGTGATGTGTGCATTGTTGATGATGTAGCTCAGGCTACTCTGGATTGGGAGTTGTGATATGTGCATAAGATGGAAACCACAGACTGGGCAGCTCTTGTGCATGCATCCAATGCATGGCCATTTGCACTGGAGGTGAGTGGTTTGGTATTTCAAACACCCAACACACTCTTGTTGCTACCAAGTAGTTTTGCCTTTGATGATGCATTGGCTTCCAGCAAGTAATAACTGACATAACACTTCACAATTCAGGATCTTCTCACTACAGAATTGTTCTCTTGGGAAGGAGGATAAATGCTTATATAGGTATGATCCCTTGATGGTAATCTGAAAATACTGCCCATGTGCATGTCTGCATGACATGTCAAATTCAAATGGTTGCTATTCTATCAATTCCTATCCAAATCACTTAATTCTGGGACCCATAGAAAGCCAAGAGTAAGTACTTTATTTCATACACTCATGGTTTAGGGCTAGGATTAGGGGTTATTGTGCTTAGTCATAACCAGTGTAAAACATGCAAGCATGTGGACAGTTTTTTGAGCCACTGTACATATACCATTGGAAAGGGGTGACTCCCAGCTTTCCAGAACACCAAGGTATATACCAAATGAAACCATACATGCTGAGATATATGGTATTCTTTCCAAAAGGTGCATTGCAACACTTTTGTCCCTGACTGGTGAAATAGTGAAAAGTGACCTTGTGATGGGATTGAGGGCATGAGGGATGGGAATATATAATTACATAATAAACCACATGATCTTCCAGATGATTTGTCAGCATGTAAACAATGACAAACATTGGATTTGTGCCATTAACCCTCCCTCTCTTACCACAACTCATGAAATCATCTCTCTGGTTCCCATGGTCATTTTCTCAAGGAACTCTTATCAAATACAGGTGGCTACTACAGTACCATCTATATAACATACTCTCAGAACTATCAGTCCCTTAAAAAACCTGTTGTCAGTCATTCCCTGGACTGCTTCCCCACCCATGCCTGATGTGTTCTGGGACTAATCAGTACTTGGAAGGCTGAAAATGTTATGGAGGTCAATCTGGCACTTCAGAACATGATGGACAAACTAGCCCCCTCTCAACCAATGCATTTCTGGAACAGGGACAGTGGTATGGAAGTTAGGCCAAGACAAAATCCTCTTTACCCCTGGGTGTCATCAGAAGGATATGCTACTGAACTGCCATGGAGCAGAATCCTGTGCTTCCATCTGGCCCTGAATATTGCCTTTGGTCACATATGACCAAATAATCCTTCCCCAGTCATCTACAGTTCAGATCAGAGCAAGATCTAGTGAACCCTCTTATGGTGCTCAGAGCACAAGGAGGTTTTGTCTCACCCCAACTTCCATACCAGTGTTCCTGTGCCAGAAATGCATTGGTTGAGAGGGGACTGGTTAGTCATTCCCTGCACAGTTTCCCCACCCATGCCTGATGTGTTCTGGGACTAAGCAGTACTTGGAAAGCTGAGAATGTTATGGAGGTCAATCTAGCACTTCAGAACATGATTTACAAACCAATCCCCTCTCAACCAATGCATTTTCTGCCACAGGGAAGCTGGTATGGAAGCTGGGGTGAGACAAAACCTCCTTGTACTCCAAGTGCCATAAGAGGGTTCACCAGATCTTGCTCTGATCTGATCTGTGGATGACTGGGGAAGGGCTATTTTGTCATATGTGACCAAAGTAAATATTCAGGGCCAGATGGAAGTGCTGGATTCTGCTCCATGGCAGCTCAGTAGCATATCCTTCTGATGACACCCAAGGATAGAGAGGATCTTGTCTTGCCTTAACTTCCATATTAGTGTCCCTGTGCCAGAAATGCATTGGATGAGAGGGGATCAGTTTGTCAATCATGTTCTGAAGTGCCAGATTGACCTCCATAACATTCTCAGCTTTCCAAGTACTGCTTAGTCCCAGAACACATCAGGCATGGGTGGGGAAACTGTGCAGGGAATGACTAACAGCAGGATTTTTAAGGGACTGATAGTTCTGAGAGTATGTTATATAGATGGTACTGTAGTAGCCACCTGTATTTGATAAGAGTTCCTTGAGAAAATGACCATGGGAACCAGAGAGATGATTTCATGAGTTGTGGTAAGAGAGGGAGGGTTAATGGTACAAATCCAATGTTTGTCATTGTTTACATGCTGACAAATCATCTGGAAGATCATGTGGTTTATTATGTAATTATATATTCCCATCCCTCATGCCCTCAATCCCATCACAAGGTCACTTTTCACTATTTCACCAGTCAGGGACAAAAGTATTGCAATGCATCTTTTGTGAGAGAATACAGTATATCTCAGCATGTATGGCTTCATTTGGTATTCCTGGATGCTGTCAGGCCAGGTCTGTAAACTCTTTGTTGCCAATGAGCATCCAGGACTTTAGGACCATTAACTCCAGTCACATGGGCTTAGGGGGTGGGGAAAATTGGGGTTTTGCAACTGTTATGTCATGGAATGTCATGCAGATGACCTGGCCTCAATGATTGGGGGTGGTTGTTGCTCAACTTCACTGCTGTTCCCTGCTGTGGTGCAGACCCCATAGCAACATTCTATCACTTGGGTATCATCAACACTGTCTGGACACTCAGAGGACAAGTCTGCAGGTCCACATCATTGTGTGTACTGCTGATCCTCCACATCATTGAAGATTGTTCATATGTCCTGCTGAGGCCAAACTTACCACAACTGACCAAACCACAGTTATGTTATCTACCACCATACATTCCAGTGGCTCCATCTCCATTTCAATGTAATAAATGAGCCAAGAAAAAGAAAAATGACTGATAAAGGACAAAAGGCAGACACACATCAAAGGCTTTCCAAGACTGCTGCCAGAATGTTCTTGGAGGTGACATTGGTCCTGAGGCCCGAGACAACAATCTTGTTCTCTGCAGCAACCCTCATGCACTCTCCATTTGGCTGTTGCATGAGAAGCAAAGCATTGAACAGTTGTCCAAGGTGAGAAATCATAAAGAGTTCTCTGCAAAAGGCAAACAGATTCAGTGTATGACAGTCTGAGCAGATGCCCACAACAGTGAATGGCTGTGGCATTGCAGTCATCCATGCCAATGGCACCCCTGGGTGCTCTTTGTACCATCTGTGGTACTCAGCCTGGCCTTTTGGATCCTTCACAGCCCTCCCACCTGCTCTGCTTCCCAGATGCAAACCTCCATGAATCACAGGTATATCATGTGAGAGAGGAAAAGATTCCAGAAAATCACCAAATTCTGTCAGAGACATCAGCCTGGCCATCATCTCCACTTTGGGGATAACTTGCACTTCAGGTTTAGTCCAAGTAGTGAGTATGTTGGTCATAAATTCCATATTTTGAGTGGGACTGATGGATTTATCCAAGTAGATGAGAATGATTCAGAGGACACCAATGAATCAGACTGTAAACAAACAAGTGAAGGTGCTGTTGGAACATAAAGTGCCACTGTTTATTGGTACTTAGGCGCGATGCTAGTGTGCTTACATAAGCAAAAAAAGCGCACACACTTGTAGTATTCTCTACTAGTATTCCCTCAGTAGTTTGTTCACTACTGAGGGTAAGTCCATTCATATTACAAGTATTCTACTATACTGACATCCTGTAGTAGCCTACAGGTATATCTAATATATTAGTAGTTTGTTCACTACTGAGGTAGCCTACAGGTAATTCTACAGGTGCAGCCAATAACATGCACAATCTGGAGGCTGCTTGACAGGCAGAAATAGCCCAATCTATTTGCAAAATGCATGAACTTGAAAAGGATTGTCCACTATGGGAAGAATGAAAGAGGTTGTGAGAAGCTCATGAACTTGCAGAGCAAGAGGAGTGGCGCACAAAGGTTGAACAACAGATGTGTGGAGGAGTAACAAAAGCTATGGGAACAGGAGGTGATTGAGCAGGAAAGGAGACAAGCAGCCACAGAAGCTGAATGTCACTGCAAGTGAAGACAAAGGGCATGCTGGGATTCTGGCCCTTGGACACTCATCAGTGCCTTGGAGAGATATAAGATGCTAAATGAGGAATTTCACAATATACCCTGGCCAGTTCTACATCCCCCTTTGGGCCTAACAGTGGAGGATGTTGACTGTTCTGCAGTAGAGGCATTCTTTGATGCCATTAAATTGCACATGTGAGTGCAGGATTACAAGGGCTTTGTCAAGAAGAGTCATAGGCAATTTCATCCTGACTGATGGTGAGTGTGCTAAAAGGAATCTGCATTCCTGAGACATGTAAGCCCCTATCATTGACTGTTCTGCAACTATCATTACATTCCCAGACCTCTCACATCCACCATTGTTCACACACTACCTTCCCATGCCCTCACTCCCTCTCACACATTGCTATACCCACAGCTGCTGTGCTCTGGTCACTTCCTTTCCTTCAGACTCTTTCTTTTACCATGGTCTCTGTTCCTTTTGTGCTTGTAGTATACCCTCAGCCTCAGTTCCAGCCTGTCTTGTATGTACATGCTGCCACTGTCACACACCAAAGCTGTTTGGTGAGGTGGACATGGATACAGCTGATGAATGGGGATGAAGACCATAGCCCTCATGTGAAGAAGGACAGCCAGAAATGTTGGCAGTCATCCCTCACACAAGAATGAGTCATCAATGCCAAAGAAAAAGAAAGGGAGTGAGTCAGGTACTGGTTAAAATTCTTAAGTGCCTGTGTATGGCATTCCAGTTTTCAACATATGTCTGCCATTTTTGCAGATACTGAAACCATTCCCACACTTGCTTGTAGTGCTCAGCCATGCAATCCTACCTTCCAAAATTGGAGAGGATCTGTGCACTTCACACATTTCTACAGCACTCCCTCCAAAAGACGCTCATTTCACTAATTTCTCTGATATGGCTGCCTTCTTTGCTAGGGACCATGGCTATGTATATCTACCAGGAGTTCCTACCAGCTTCCATCCTGAAGCATCCTGGTACATCCCATCCTCATCTGCCCCCTCTCAGCCCATTCAGCTTGGACAGCATGTTCTTTTTGTCAGTATGACCTCTAGGAGGATGTTCTTTGGTTGCCTCAGGTCTGTCATTCACTTGGAAAGGTCTTATATGGTCATTTCAGTCTCTCCAGTCCAAGAAGCATATGGATCCTTCCTCCCTGCTCCCTGCAATGTCTTCATACCAGTCTCATCCATCATTCTTCCAAAATTGTGACAGCTACAGTATAATCTACTGTTCTCCACTCTCCCTGATCACATCCATGATGAGTATGATGACATCTTGCCTCCTTATTGCAAGATACAGCAGAAGATGCTCCCCCTTCATCCTCTCTTCCAACAGAGCCTCATTCATGAAGTTTTTATTTGCTTCACTGAGAGGACAGTTAGGGGGGGAAAGTTGTGATCCCCTATGCTCCTGTCACCCCACAGACCCCCAAAGCTTGACTCCTGTTGGCATCTGACTCACCCTGTCCACTTTTGGATGTACTATATTGGCATCAGATCAGCACTGCCTCTCTGTCATCCCACCTTGGCCCAGAAGCAATCTCTTCAAGATGTGACATGCACAGCCTCCCCTGAATGCAATTCCAGTGTGCTTTCCCAGTTTCTGACATTACTTGACTCATACTTTGACATTCTGACTGTCTTTGACTCACCTATTGCCAATACTTACCAATCTTTTGATCTTGCTTACTGATTCTTCACTTTTTGGCTTACTTATCCTTACCAATGCTCACCAATGCTTTCTAAGACAATTACCCACTGCTTACATTCCTTACTCATCAGTTACCAATCACTTACCAAGTGTTTTCACCTTGTTTTCCATAGGCAATGCCCCTGTACTGTATATAAATCACTGTACTTAGATAGCTGAATAAGAAGAGGATGTCAGAGAGCCCCTCTTGCTCGCATTTTATCATCACTCAGTAAATCATTCATCAGCTGTGATAGTTGAGACTTTATTAAGGGTCTAACTATCATCTACTTCACTTATCATCATCTTTCATCAATATACTTCACTCCAAGTCCTCCCTGAGCTCAGTGCAGCTCAGAGCATCAAATTAAGTTGTCATCCATCCTTCTGTAGGCTGACAGCAGTCTACCCTATCACATTCTATCACATTCTTGCTCCCTCTTCATGAGGAGCACCCCCAACCCTCAGCACTTGTCTTTGAGTGCTGTAGCTCACAAAAACCCTCCCAAATTCAAGGTTCCACCATCTAGGTACTGCATAGGCACACCACCACTCACTCTTATTGTCTTTTGTGTTGGTTTTGGTTGGTTTCCACCACTGAACCACACTTTGACTCACACCACTACCACAGGTTAACCTGCCAATGGCTAATCCCCAATTTCAGATGCCACTCCACAGTACACAAAGCTCACCTAAGTTTAGTGGGGATTCACCTGCACACCTCCCATGATACCTTGAGGACATCAACTTCCTCAGTACTCTTGCTGCTCTTGATGACCATGGCCAGATCAGAGCTGCAATCTGCTATGCTGACCTTGAAGAAGCTGAGGTCTGGAAAACACTTCCAGAAGCTGCTCCCATAGTCAATGACTGGGATGCCTTTGTAGTCACTGTCAAGGGCTTGTACCCTGGCTGTGAAGGTGATGACCACTACTGCTGTGCAGACTTGCAGTACCTCATTGAAGAATACCAGTCCAAGCCTATGCAAACCCAGGACAATCTTGGAGAATACCAGTGGAAATTTGCTAAGATTTCTGCCCTCCTCATTAAAACTAAGAAGCTTGCAGAGATGAAATGGGATTCCATGTTCCTGAATGGCTTCCTGAGGGCCATCACAGATCATATTTGTCATCAACTCTCCATAGTCTGCACTGACCTCCACCCAGATGACCCATACCTGCTTGCAGAAGTTGTTCAAGTTGCCAAGTTCCTCCTGATGGGATCCACCCTATGCAGCACAGTTCTGACAATGGCTGCTGTGGCCTCACCAGCTACACCTCACTCACCAGCTTACATGCCACAAGTGCCACCTGCTGGCACTGTTGTTAAACAAGAATACAACTTCCAGATGCAGCACCTGCTGCAGCAATGCAGACCCAGCTGTGGTTTCTGTGCAGACCCCAACCACTGGACAAGGATGTGTGCACTCATTGAAGTCTATATCCATGCTGGTAAGATCATGAGGGGTACAGACAACAGTCTCTATCTTGCAGACAGAAGCTGAATCCCACACTTCCGTGAATGTAACTCACTGAGAGAGGCCATTGACTGCATCATGGGTGACAGAGACCAGGCCAGTGCATGTGCTGCAACTCCTGCTGCTCTGCACAAGGCACCACTAACCTTTTCTGTGTTGCTCACCCTGAAGTCAACATGCAGTTGGAGATCCAGCCTTCTGCCTTTCTAAACACCATCCAAGATGTTGATGAACCAGTTGCAGACTTAGCTGACCCCAACTTCCAAGCATATGTTGCTCAAGCTTGGGCCACCTACCAAGTGGATAAAGGTAACAAGGGCACAGTTGTTTCCTGTAGAAAGAAAGTGCACTTTGATGGGGTTGAAATTACAGCTCAACCCATGGCATGTCCAGCCAACCCTCCACAAGTAGATCCTTGTGCAGCCACTGTCAAAGAGGAAATCATTTCCCCTGGTGTTCAAAGTTTGTGTGCCACTTGCCAGGCATCTGAGCCCTCTGCATCTGTGCCAACATCCACCACTGCAAAACCATATGTTCCTCCAACTAATCCCACTCTGGCAACTGTGCACAAGGATCCCACACCCATGGCAGTTGTCCTGTCACACACCATACCCAGCAGCTTGCAATCAGAACCAGTACTGTTACTCATTCCCACTGGAAGACAAAGCCACACCCAAGTGTATTGTGGAGCATGTACTTGAAACCAGTGTTGCCTTGCCAGTCAAAGAATTGTTTGCAGTAGCCCCTGAGTTTCACAAACAGTTCAGGGACATCACCATGGCAAAATGTGTCACCACCAATGAGATTGAGGCAGTTCATAGCAACCATGACAAGGGAGTACATGTAAATGAACTAACCAGCTGCAACCCTCAATGAACTGTGCATGAATATGGAAACCACATCATCTGCAGTGACAATGATTCCATCATGGCTCACCACACTCTACTGCTCCACTGCATCGAAGCCAAGGTCCCTGGGACTGATATCACAATCAACTGCATACTAGATTCCAGTTCAGAAATCATTGCCATGCCTGGTGCATCTGGGAAAAGATTGGGTTGCCATTGCGCAGCAACCATCTCATGACTATGACCTCTGCTAACATGTCTAAAGACACTACTGTAGGCATTCTAGAGAACCTGAAACTTGACTTTGGAGCTGGGCCAGTCATGCTCCAGGTCCAGGTAATAGAAAATGCCAACTTCAACATGCTTCTTGGTCGTGTCAAGTCCAGGCCTACTCCAACCAACTCCAATGCTTGTTGAGGTCTGGGGAGAGGTTTGGGAGCAAGTCCAATGGAAAGAGTAGAACTCTGACTGGCAGAGTGTTGGCAGCAATGAAATCTGCCAAGGTAAGGGCAGAGCAAAGTGAGGGCATCAGGTTTAGCTCATGCACTACCCCCTTGCACGATCTCAGCCCTCATATTTCAGAGGGGGAGTGCAGACAGACAGTTGGAGGTAACTCCAACAGGCAGAAGATGGAGACAGAGGGAGTAGGAACTACATCAATATTCGTATAGACCATCGGAGTCCAGGGACCACCAAGGCTTAGTTGGGGTTGGAAGATGGCTGGTGGAGACAGGGTCGGATGGTAGGGTGAAGATGATGTCAGAGTGCAAGCACTCAACATCAAAGACCATGGTGGCATGGAGCATGGGTGCCATGAGGGTAGTGGTACAGAGGGACAACACGAGTTGCTCCTGTGTAAACATAGGGCAGAGATTGTGAGGATTTACCTGCATGTAGTCCCTATCCCCCCCTTTTGGGTAGATGTCCCAACATTGCATAAGTGCGTTGGGTTTGGCTCCCAGGAAGCCAGGTTGGAAGCAGATGGAAAGGTTAAACTGTGAAAGGTACTCCGACCAGTGGGCCTGTCAATGAGTGAGGACCTTGGAGGTGGAGAAATACTCAAGGTTTTTGTGGTCTGTCACCATGTCAACAGGTAAGGCAGAACCTTCCAGGTAATGCCACCAATGGTGGAAAGCCTCAAAGATAGCCAACAGCTCCTTGTCATGGGTATTGTAGTTGAGTTCTGGCATGGCCATGGTGCGGGAGTAGAAAGTGACTTGGTGGAGTTCACCATCAGAGCAGGTGATCGACAAAATGCCAGCAATGGCATAGTCAGAGGCATCAGTTTCAACTGTGAGCAGAGCATCAGGAACCCAGTGTGTGAGGACAGGAGCAGAGCTGAAGGCATCCTTCAGGCAGAGGAAGGTGGAGCAATACTCCTTGGAAAAGTTCCAAGGAGCCCCCTTTCACATGAGGTGAGTGAGCGGAATGACAATGTTGGAGTAGTTGTTAATGAATCATCTGTAGAAGTTTGTGAAGCCAAGGAAAGACTGGATGTCTCGCACCTTCCACAGCTCAGGCCAGTCGTGGACCACCTGAACCTTCTCAGCAGACATGGTGAGACCAGAGGGAGAAAGAACATAACTGAGGTACTCAACAGAGTCAGAGTGAAACTCACACTTCTCTGGCTTGGCATGAAGACCATGCTTTTGAAGGCAGTGGAGTACCTCTTTTACATGTTCACAGTGCAACTCCACATCCTGCAAATAAACTAGGATGTCATTGAGGTATACCATGATGCAGACATTGAGCATGTCTGCAAAGATGCTATTAACAAATCGCTGGAAAGCCACAGTCATGTTAGTCAGACCAAATGGCATTACCCACCACTCATAAGAACCATAGCGAGTGTGGAAAGCCATTTTCCATTCATCTCCATCTGCGATGTGGACCAGATGATAGGCATGGCAGAGATCAATCTTGGTATAGACTTTAGTGCGGCTTGGGGAGTCAAGTAGGTTGGAGATGAGTGGCAGCAGATAGTGATCTTTTTTTGTGATTTTATTGAGTCCTCCATAGTCTATGCAGAGGTGGAGTGAACCATCCTTCTTCTTTATGAAGAGGACAGAGGCACCATGAGTGGAGGTGGACTGCTTGATGAAACCATAGCCAAGGTGCTTGTCAATGAAGGTGTGGAGAGCTTCAAGCTCTGGCAGAGACAGAGAGTAGATCATGCCAATGGGCAGAGAAGCTCCTTCCTCAAGGTCAATCTTGAGATTGAATGAATGGTGTGGCAGAAGTTCAGTAGCCTTGTCTTTACTAAAGACGTCAGCAAACTTATGATACTCAGGAGGGACTGAGGAGAGGTCAGGAGACAGAGAGGAAGTGGAGGATGCACAAAGCTTCACATCATCAGTGGAGAGCTGTAAGCAGAACTGTCTAGAGCCAGGGAGAGCACAGGCTCTGACATACACAGCAGCATTGATGAGTGAGATGAGTGGAGCAGAGAACAGTGAGCCTGTCAGAGGTGCAGACAGAACTGCAGACAGAGTGGGGGGTGTCAGATCTGGAGCAAAGGTCGCAGCAGAAGGTGACGAAGGTGCCTGGGGTGTCAGCATTCCCTGTAATGATGGTTTGAATGATATACTGCCCAGTACCCAGTCAATTGATGGATTGAAGTGGGTGAGCCAGTTGTATCCTAATACCAGCAATCAAGAAGAATCCAATGGAGTAACATAAAACAAAACAGAGTTGACATTGCCAGAAGGAAAGTGGAGGGATAGATCTACCTCTTGGGAAATGACAGCATTTGTACTACCATCAAACAAGCAGAGTGGAACTGGCAGGGAAATGGAGGAAACAGGAATAGCATATTTTTTGATTATGGATGGGTCTACAAAACAATGAGAAGAGCCAGAATTGATCAATGCAGAAACAGCATCAACAGAGTAACCAAGAAGAGTTACAGACAGAAGTAAGGAACTGGGACTAGAGAGAGCAGACATGTTGAGTCGGATGTCTGGTTGTGCACAGTTGGGATCAATGCTTCCTCCAGGCTGTGTGAGCTCCCTGGAGGAGCAGACTAATTTTTTGGCTCTGCCTTCTCTGCGGGCAGAGGAGGCAGAGTCCCAGCCATAGCTGCATGGGCTTTGGCTGTGCGAGAGGTAGACCTGGGACAGTCCTTAGCGGAGTGGCCAGCCTCTCCACAGAAGAGGCAGAGGTTGTTCTTCATCCTATGCTGGAGTTCAGTGCAGGTGAGTTTTCCATCCTTGCCCAGAAGATGGGCAATATCAGACTTGGGCAGATCCTTTTGCTTGCCCTTGCCCTTGGCATTGGACTTCAGAGTGGAGGTGGAGGACGACAATTTAGACTTGTTGTTGGAGCTGGAAGGCTGTGACCTGTTGGTGGCAGACTTGGTGGTGTGTGAGATCTCTGCTTCATGCTCCCAGTAGCATGCATCAATGGTCTGAGTGAGTTTGTGGAGTTGTGTGAGGGTAGAAGGTTTTCCTATGCAAGTGATTTCATCCTTGATGCAGTCTGGAAGTCCACTATAAAAGCAGTGGCAGAGTGCACTGACACCATAGTCCTTGACCTGTGAAGCCCAGTGATTGAACTCCATGACATATTTGGTAATTCAAGAGCCATCCTTCATAGTAAGGTTCTTGAGTTGTTGGACAGCATCTGCTATGGCATCATGCAGACCGAAATTAGTTGTGAGCTCTTGTAAGAACTTGTGATAGTTGTCCATCCAGAGCAGGCAGTCATAATTGTTGGGGTTTAGTAGGTCTGGCTCAAACCAAGCCAGGGCCATACCCTTAAGATCAGACTGAGCGAAGGTAACCTTTGCTCTGTCAGAGCAGAACACACAGGGGCAGTCGTGGAAGCTCAGCTCGCATTGTACAAGGAACTCACAGAGTTTCTTAGGGTTAGAGCCATCAAAAGTGTCAGGCTCATGGACTTTGGTTTTTGGAGCAGAGTCCCCAGTGTGTGAACTAGACTGTGCAAGCGCATGGACAGCTCTAGCAAGAGCCATGAGGGGATCCTCTGGTGGCTCAGCCAGGTCTTCAGGGATATCCCTGTCACTGCTGCCCCTGCCATTGGGATCACCATCAGGGTCATCAGGGTCAGGCCCATCATCTTGGTTTTGAGGAGATGGAGTATGGAAAGTGGTTGGATGAAGGTCAGAGCAACCAGCCTGTGAAGTGCTTTCACCTTCGGTGTGAGAATGGTGTCAAGCAGAGAATGACTGGAACTGTTTGACAATGGAAGGGAGTTGATGCAGATTAGCTAGCACAACAGCGAGGTTCTCAGCAACCTCTCTTTGGGACTGAGCTCAAGTTCTCATAACAGTGTAAGTTTTTCAGAAGACAGAAAATGAGATCGTACAAGTGCGAATACAAATATACTGTCAAGTTCGGGCCTACTCTGACCAACTCCAATGCTTGTTGAGGTCCAGGGAGAGGTTCAGGAGCAAGTCCAACTGAAAGAGTAGAACTCTGACTGGTGGAGTGTTGGCAGGAATGAAATCTGCCAAGGTAAGGGCAAAGCAAAGTGAGGGTGTTGGGTTTAGCTTGTGTGCTACCCCCTTGCATGATCTCAGCCCTCGTATTTCAGAGGGGGAGTACAGACAGACAGTGGGAGGTAACTCTGACAGGCAGAAGATGGAGACAGAAGTCTTCTCTCATCCCATGTGGTTGTGACATAAGGCATCACAAAGGACTTTTGTCTGCTGAGCAAGGAACTGGCCCTGGATTGGCTGCAGTATCGTAGAGTGTGCAGGGTACCACCTGGCTTGTCTTCTTTGTGCAACTTCCAACTTCTCTCAGTGGTATGTCCTCATGGTGTGGTGTTGACAGTAGGATATGATGATGTCTTAAAGAGAGTGTGAAAGGACTGTTTATTCGGTAACTGGGACAGTCTTTGGGTATTAATTATAAGGAGACAGAGAATAAACTGAAAGGAAAAAGGATCAAGGGGTGCACACTGGCTGTGGATCAAAGAGGGAATGTGCAGCTTAGTTGCAAGTATCTGTGGTATAGGGTGGCTGAGGATGGCATCAGTGAGACTAGTAAGAGAGATAGGAGAAACATTGTTTTAGCTTGAGATGGTTGCTGCACAACAGCAACCCAATCTTTTCCCAGATGCACCTAGGCATGGCAATGATTTCCAAACCAGAATCTAGTATGCAGTTGATTGTGACATCAGTCCCAAGGACCTTGGCTTCGATGCAGCAGAGCAGTAGAGTGTGGTGAGCCATGATGACACCATTGTCACTGCGGATGAGATGGTCTCCATATTCATGCACAGCTTGTTGAGGGTTGTGACCAGTCAGTTCATTTACATGTACTCCCTCATTATCTTCACTACGAACAACCTCAATCTCATTGGTGGTGACACATTTTGCCATGGTGATGTCCCTGAACTGTTTGCAAAACTCAGGGGCTACTGCAAACAATTCTTTGACTGGCAAGGCAATGCTGGTTTCAAGTATGCACTCCATGATATGTTTGGGTGTGGCTTTGTCTTCAAGTGGGAACAAGTAACAATACTGGTTCTGATTGCATGCTGCCAGGTATGGTGTTTGTGATGGGACAATTGCCATGGGTGCAGAATCTTTGCATGTGGTTGTTGGAATGGGATTAGTCAGAGGAACATATGATTTCACAGTGGTGGAAATTGGCACAGATGCAGAGGGCTCAGATGCCTGGTGAGTGGCACATGAACTTTGAATGCCAGGGGAAATGATTTCCTCTTTGACAGTGGCTGTGCGAGGATTGACTTGTGGAGGGTTGGCTGGACATGCCATGGGTTGAGCTGTAATTTCAACCCCATCAAAGCGCACTTTCTTTCCACAGGAAACAACTGTGCCCTTGTTACCTTTATCCACTTGGTAGGTAGCCCAAGCTTGAGCAACATATGCTTGGAAGTCAGGGTCAGCTAAGTCTGCAACAGGTTCATTGACATCTTGGATGGTGTTTAAAAAGGCAGAAGGCTGGATCTCCAACTGCATGTCAACTTTGGGATGAGCAATGCAGAAAAGATTAGTGGTGCCTTGTGTGGCCATGTTGCATGGAGCAGCTGGAGTCACAGCATGTGCACTGGCCTGGTCTCTGTCAGCCATGATGCAGTCAATGGCCTCTCTCAATGAGTTACATTCAGGGAAGCATGGGATTCAGCTTCCATCTGCAAGATAGAGACTGTTGTCTGTACCCCTCATGATCTTACCAGCACAGATATAGACTTCAATGAGTGCACACATCCTTGTCCAGTGGTTGGGGTCTGCACAGAAACCACAGCTGGGTCTGCATTGCTGCAGCAGGTGCTGCATCTGGAAGTTGTATTCTTGTTTAACAACAGTGCCAGCAGGTGGCACTTGTGGCATGCAAGCTGGTGAGGGAGGTGTGGCTGGTGAGGCTGTGGTAGCCAATGTTGGTAGCACGCCATGGAGCACAGATCCTGTCAGGAGGAACTTGGCAGCTTTGATGACTTCTGCAAGTGGGTATGGGTAATCTGGGTGGAGGTCAGTGCAGACTATGGAGAGTTGGTGATGAATATGATCTGTGATGGCCCTTGGGAAGCTGATCAGGAACATGGAATCCCATTCTGTCTCTGCTAGCTTTTTAGTTTTAATGAGGAGGGTGGAAATCTTAGCAAATTTTTGCTGGTATTCTCTGAGGTCATCCTGGTTTTGCATAGGCTTGGACTGGTATTCTTCGATGAGGTGCTGCAAGTCTGCATGACAGTAGTGGTCATCACCTTCACAGCCAGAGTACAAGCCCTTAACAGCAACTATGAAGGCATCCCAGTCATTGGCCATGGGTGCAGCTTCCAGAAGTGTTTGCCAGACCTTGGCTTCTTCAAGGTCAGCATAGCAGATTGCAGCTCTGATCTTGCCATGGTCATCAAGAGCAGTGAGAGTACCAAGGAAGTTGATGTCCTTGAGGTATTGCAGGAGCTGTGCAGGTGAATCTCTGCTAAATTTAGGTGAGTTTTGTGTACCATGGAGTGGCATCTGAAATTGGAGATTAGCCATTGGCAGGTTAACCTGTGGTGGCAGTGCTGGATTGGTAATGGGTGGAATGGGTATTGGTTGTGGATGTGGAGTGGTTGGTATAGTGTGTGAGTGGACTGGTGGAAGTGTTGGCAGATTACTAATTGGCTGATGCATGGTCTGCAACCAAGTGAGTGGTCATGGCAGCATGGCAGATGGAACTGGGATTCTGGGTATAATTCAGAGGCACCAAAGAGACAGGAAAAAGAGGGCATTGATGATGATGAATCAGATGATTTGACTGGTGTTAAAGGTGATGGTGGGGTTTTGGGTCTTTGGGGAGTCGAGTGGATAAAGCCACTGGGAAAATCAGGGGCAGTGAGATCTAGGTGATCCGACATGACAGATATCTGATCTGCCAATATATCAGGAGGAGTGATTGTGGGTAGTACCCATGGAATGTCAGCAGGTAATTGCACATGATCTGGTGTTACAGGTGAAACAGGGTGGAAGAGGTTGGAGTCTTCTGACAGGTTGAGGTTGTGAAAGTGCAGGTGTAAATTTTCTAGTTTGGTGTGTTTGGTGGTGCACCTGAGCCTCCTTCTGGAAGTGACAGCAGAATCCCTCACAGTGGGCTCCAGTTGTTGGAAAAGTCCAAGTAGCTGTATAATATGAGCTAGATGGCTTAGATAACAACAATAAAAAATGAAGGGAATGAATTGCTCATCCCAAGGGATTCTGGACTGTCAAAACTAGAAGGTGAGACTCAGTGCTTTGTAGCAGTAGTGAATTGTGGCATGCATGGCATGGTCTGTGGAGTGGTACTGGCAATGCGAGTGGTGGAAGTGGTATATGTAGTTCATGTGTGGCAGTATGTGAGACATGCAGTGTAGACAAAGTGAAAAAGAAACTCATAGTGACCTTCCAATTGCCAAAAGGTATCATTCTGTACCCAAGTACAGGACTTTATAGTTCAGGCAAACCCAGAACCTAATTAAGACAGAGTACAAGTAAGGGAAGGCCACATGACAGCATGTACATACAAGACAGGCTGGAACAGAGGCTGAAGATATACTACAAGTGCTAAAGGAATAGAGACCATGGTAAATGAAAGAGTCTGAAGGAAAGGAAGCAACTGGAGCACAGTGTAGTGTGAGAGGGAGCAAGGGCATGGGAAGGTAGCATGTGAACAATGGCAGATGCGAGAGGTCCAGAAACATAATGGTAGTCATGGAACAGTCGATGATAGGGGCTTACATGTCCAAGGAATGCAGATTCCTTACACCAGAAAACCCTGGGATTCAGAAGTTTATCTGGAATCAATGTATAGTCATTAACCACATCCTTCAGCATTTGCAGAATGTCAGAGCTACTGTCTTGGCAAAGAAGTTCATCCTAGCTGCTCCCTCTGCTGTGATTGTTGGCCACAAGTGCACCTTTGAAGGTTGTGTTCCAGAGGAAAGCAAAGTGCAAAAGATCTGCAACTGGCCTGAATGCCACAACCTGACACAGGTCTGTGGGTTCCTCAGTGTCTGTGGTGTCCTCTGCATCTTCATCAAAGACTTTGCCAAGATTGCATGGCTGCTAGTCACACTCACACAGAAGGACATACCATTCACATGGGATGAACCTCAATGTGCTGCCATGCAATGACTCAAGGACAAAATTGTAAAGTCCCCCACGCTCCAAAGGATTGACTATGAGTGCAGTTGCAAAGTAATTTTAGCAGTTGACACTTTGGTCATTGCAGTTGGCTGCATCCTCTACCAGCTCAGTGAAGATGGAAAACAATACCCTAGTTGCTTCAGATCCATCACCCTCAATGAAGTGGAAAGCCACTACACCCAGGCTAAGCTTGAGTTGTACAGCCTCTTCCATGCATTGTGCATGGTACATGTATACATCTTCAGTCTCACTAACTTCACCATGGAGGTAGATGTGATGTATATTAAGGGCATGATATAATCCAGATCTACAGCCTAAAGTGATGATCAATCACTGGATCACTGGTGTCCTCCTCTTTTCATTCAAACTTGTGCATGTTCCCATGGACAGGCATGCTGGCCCTGATGGCTTGTCCTGCCATCTGCAGTCAGAACTTGACCTGCCTGAGGATGATGACCACAAGGACTGGTTAGACTGTTTTTACTCTTTCTCTACAGAGGCTATCAATGACTGCCCACTGTAAGAAAGTGTTTTCTGATGGCTGAGAACTCCAACTCCAGAAGAGGTAGGTTCCACTTGAGTCAGGTCAACCCTGAAGGGGCTTCAGTCTGGATGCAGGTTAAGTACTTTAGATGAATGAAAAGGGAACTTGCCCAAGAAGATATTTCTTGACTCTAAAGAAGAACTTTGACAGAAAGGAACTGAAGTGGTGATTTTTGCTCTCCAGAGCAAGACACAGAGAAGACAGTGATGCCTTGTACAGTATTCCTGCCCATGCTGTACTGTAGTCTCTAAGTGATGTGGCATGCACCATGACCACCTGTGTGCTTAGTCAGCTCTCCATCGTTCGACACCAAGTTCTTTTGGCCACAACCCCTAAGTCCAAATCCTCTTTGACCCTCACCTACACTCTCCACCCTCAAACCTTCCCTTCAACACAACAGAAGCGCAACTTCTCATAGGGAAAAGATCCATGTTCCCTACATCTGAGGGGGGGTTTAAATGCTGACCATCCTTGGTTGTCCCCCTTCCCCACATAGATGTCCTTGGCTTCATACCCATCCTCACCAACCTCTTCTTTGCACCCTCACCCTCTGACTCTCCTAGCCTTCCCCTCACTCGCTGTACCCTGTGTCACCTTCTACCCCACACTCAACCCCCTCTTCCTCCAACAATGCATCCATTCAATCTTGAACCCACACTGCACTCCTCAAACCTCTCCCTTACTCTCACCAATGTCCCCAAGACTCCTCATAGCCAACTCTCCTGTACCTCCTCCATCACCTCATGCCCTCGATTTTCCACACCTCTGAAGCCAACCTTTTGCCTGAGTGACAATCAAAGCCCTTCGAATGTGCAAACAAGTGAGTAATAAATCAAGCATGGAGGTAGGAATGGCTCATTGAAATGCAGCTGGTGGTAGAATTGCCACAGGGCATTTACACAGCACAGGCAGCTGGGGGTAGTGACCCTCTGTATATATGAACCAGCTCGAAGATTATTATATACCTGTAAAACCCTCTATCAGTGACATATTCACAATCCTATGAGAGTGCTTTGTGCACTGTTGACTCTGTTTTGTCCTTAAGACAACTTAACAGAAATGAAACCAAGAAAAACAAAAACTTGAACCCCTGGGAGACTTCTTCTGCTCGATACCATGTTCTTTTTATGGTACACTGGCCCCTCTTTCAACTCCTGGATTTGTGCTTTGCATGCGGGAATGAATTTTGTCTAGTGACCAACACAAGGAGCACAGTCTCATGCCTTCTAGCTCAGTCCTATGGTGCATAATGATACCAGCAGCCTTCAACTCACATTTCTAGTATCCCTGTCTCTGGGTATGTACCTCCAAGAGCTTTCCATTTCCACTCCTGCCTTTTCTGATGCTGAAAACAATGCATTTCAATGTAGTATACATTTGAACCACAATAGAATACTTCACCTTGAACTTGTAGCTTCTTGAGTCTACTTCAAAGATAGGTCTTCAACCCCAACAGGTGTGAATACAGGCTCTTGCTGGACCTTGGACATTTGTCCTCCATCAATCCACCTTTTTCTTGTGCTGGGGTACCTGATCCTCACCATAAATGCATTTGAATCAAAACAGAAAAGGTCACCTGTTCACACAGCTACCCTGGCCAAGCTTCTCTTCTAGTGCCACCTCCACCAGGGTTGTGTCTCTTCATGCTTGTTCCAGCTTTCCATACCTCTCCTGTAGCGACCTTTCACAGACATGTGGTGACCCCCAAGGATGTTTACATAGTCAGGTGTTTCCTTCATGGTCCATTGTTTGATTTTGGACCATCACCCTTCCTAGTGTAGAATGTTTGTGAGTGCTGTAACATGAAAGGAAAAGAAACAAGAATATAATGAGAGCACCATGGCTCTTTGAGTGTGTTGAGACCATAAGACTGCTGCTGCATTGAGTGAAGGTTCCGACTTCTGGTGATAATCAATCCGGTTTGGTCAACTTCCCACTGGTCTCCCCTTCTTCTTATCTAAGCTACCCTGTGCATTCCTTCCACTTTTCCTTCCTCATCTTTTTCTCGCCTTCACTCCCATGTCATCCAACCCTAACAACCTGCCTCCCAATGCTGGCCTCCCAGCTGACAACCTCACATGTGCCACCTCTGTCCTCCAGCTTCTACTGGGATCTTTGCAGGGTGGGAATGAGTCAAGGAACACATTGCTGGTGCAACTGGGGTCCCTCATGGTGCATTTCCTTTTCCTTTTTATTGACTGTCTTTCTACTGACACCACCCTTTGGCCCTAGGGACCATTGACACCTACTCCAACTCCCAAGCCCCAAGTTGCCATCTCTCCCACTCGACTGGATGACACTCCCCTCATTGTTGTCATTCAAGACAAGCTGGCTCCTGCAGCTACCACTGCCCTGGTTGACCACACCCCTGCAGAGCCCATGCCTGTGACCGTTGTTGTCAGGAACTGGATCCTAGCCCCACTCTTGACCTCCCAACCTTTGACATGCTCCTGGATGCTTCCATCATCCACATCCACATCCACATCCACATCCACTGTTGCGCCATCCTGCACACCTTCTCCTTCACTCCCTGGTCCTCTGGACCCTCCATCTCCTCTCATGCTGACCATTTTGCCTGACTGTCCAGCCTCTGTCCTAGATGCTGCCACACTGGCAGACCCTGCCACCCCCACTTGCCAGGCATTTGACACCTCTGAGCCTGGCCTGGATCATCTTCCTGCCAACTCTCCCTTGACTGGCCATGCATCCCTTGATCACCCCTCAGTGAGCCTTAACTTCTTTTGTCTATCTTTTCTCCTTAGCTGACTTCTTGAGGCCCAGAACACAGACTGTCTTGGAGAATCTGGTCTCCAGTGGTGCATTGTGAGTCAAT